CTAACTCGAGCTCGGTTCTCGTGTGGTTGTACCCTTTAAGGTTTAGTCAAGACTACTCTGACTGTAATTGATAACACTAATAGCTATTTATAGGCTTAATCATCCACAAATTGGTTGTTCATCTTCCTAGTTGTTGTATATTACCCAAAAATTATAAGCAGATTTAACTACTGAACCTAGACCCACCTCTACTAATATAAATTTAATGTTTTAACTAAAATAAGTATTTGCTTCTTTCTATATACTAGTGGTTAAAACGGTGACGTGTTCACTGCTTTTGTCGCAACTGTAACAATTTGTTTCCTAACGTTCATGAAAATATTAAAATATAGATACTGTAGTCTTAAAACTTCAATGGGGGTTTAAGGATACTTGTCATTTGTCAACGTGGAAGAATTTTGTGTAGTTAAGTAAAAAAGTGTGACTAAATTTTTTAATGTCGTTGGGGAAGATTAGAAATATGTGGACTTTTCGAATAGAGTCAAAGTCATCTTAACAACTAATTGTCCTTTCTTTTTCTTTTTTTGACAAAACCTTTTTTTTTGTCAACCAACTAAATATCTTTTCTAACATTTATTATCGGAAAATATTTATTAACAAAAATTTAAGTAATTCTTTTATTAAAAATTAATCTAATAACCGCTAATTCTTAGCAGAGTTAAAACTCTTTTACTGTTAAAAAAATTGTTTCAAATTTTCCACAAACTATCTTCTTATTATTAAAAGCGAGAAGTACAAAATAAAAAATGTCCAAAATTCTACTGCAATGAAATTTTTAAAAAATAATATTTTGATTCAATAATAAACTTAGATTTGAAGTATGTATTAATTTGAAGAAAAAAACATCTTCGTATATTACAATGTCTTCTAGTTTTTAAGAATTTTTAGGAGGCTCTCACATTAAGCGTGCAAGTGGATTTGTGTGGGCTATATGGAGTACACATAAGCCTAACGCTGAGATAAGCCCAAGTTATATACTTCTACAAATTTACAAAAACAAATCTTAATAATTAGTTTTTTTTTTTTTTTCTGAACACCATCTTAATAATCAGTTAATTGAAAATTTTGAACACACACTCATTTTCACCGTCAATGCGCATCTTTCGTAAATCAAAATTAGTAAACAATTAATGGTCGTGAATGGTCATTTCTTGTCCCTGAACCAAACCTCAATAATGTCCCTACCCCTAAATTCAATCACAATGGCACATTCTCTCAAACCCTCGTCGTCTTGTCCGTGAAGCAAACCAGAAAGCATAGCCCTAACCCTGGAAACCCTAAATCCCCTTTTCTGTCTTTCTTGCAAATCAAGATGATGCAGAAGCTCGTAAGCATCTTGATCGTCTCTCTGGCTATTATTGTCACTTCAGTTCAAGCAAAAACCGATAACCAAGAAGGTAAATACATTTACGGCTTAAATTTAAATAAAAGGAACAGCTTTGATATGTGATTAATCGAATAAACCGATCGAGAATTTAATCAGAAAAGTTTATGCAGTCTCCGCGTTGAACGTAATGTTCACGAGCTTAAATTCGCCGTCAAAACTCAAAGGCTGGAAACCTAACGGAGGTGATCCCTGCGACGGTTCTTGGGAAGGCGTCAAATGCAAAGGCTCTTCGGTCACCGAATTGTATATAATCATTACCCTAATTTAACTACGAACCCTAGTTTCAAAAACTTACTTGTGTTACAAGTTATCTGATTTCTTCTTCTTTTCTTCCCGACAGACAGTTATCCGGCTTTGAGCTAAGTGGATCTCTCGGTTATCTACTAAGCAACCTCAAATCTCTCACAACTTTGTGAGAATCCTCATTTAGTAGTCTCGTTTAAATTAGTTAAACTTGTAATCAGAAAATAACAGTTTTGGTTTTTGAATCTGGTGATAGTACAGTGATCTCAGCAAAAACAATCTCAAAGGAAACATACCTTATCAACTCCCACCCAACATTGTCAATCTGTAAGTTCATACATTTGTTTTTTTGATTACTTATTATGCAAGAAATAAAGGGTAATCTGCTAATTGATACAGAGACTTTTCTGAAAACAAACTCGATGGAAACGTGCCCTACTCGTTATCTCAAATGAAAAGTCTCCAAAGCATGTGAGTGAATCCAAAGAAATCAATGAAGCATGTCTTTGGTGTTAATTAGGGTTTATGATCACTTGTTAATTTATATATGTGAAATGCAGTAATCTTGGACAAAACAAGCTCAATGGAGAACTACCAGATATGTTTCAGAAACTGTCCAAACTCGAAACTCTGTAGGTACAATTCCTTTAGTTATGTTATTTTAACAGGAAGTTTTTTTAAAAAATCATTAAATTTGAGCCCTTACACACCCAAATTTATGTATGCAGGGACTTATCGTTGAATCAACTCTCTGGGAAATTACCTCAGAGTTTTGCTAATCTCACAAGCCTCAAAAAACTGTAAGGAATAAGAAACAAATCGTTATTTAAGGGTTTTTTTCGAATTCTAAATTGGATCTTGTCTTGTTATTGTGCAAGACACTTGCAGGAAAATCGATTCACAGGCGACATAAACGTTCTGAGGAACCTTGCCATTGATGACTTGTAAGCAACAAAAACCTCTAATTAGGTTGCAACGACACAATTCAGAAAACTCAAAAACATTCCTTTTCTTATTATATGATTGCAGGAACGTAGAAGACAACCAGTTTGAAGGATGGATCCCTAATGAGCTTAAGGACATAGACAGTTTACTGTAAGTGAAACGGTTTGCTTTCTATACAAGAAACAGTTTCAACATGAAAGAAAAACAGAGGATATTACAAGATTTCCCCTGTTTTCTCTCTGTTTTTCCTTTTATTTAAGGACTGGAGGTAACGACTGGTCAACTGAAACTGCTCCACCACCACCACCGGGTGTTAAATATGGCCGAAAATCTTCGGGTTCTAAAGATGGTGGAGGTGTAACCGCCGGGAACGGAATGATGATCGCTGGAGCATGTTTAGGAGTTCTTGTGTTGATCGCTGTTTTAATTGCGCTCGTGTCCAAGAAAAAATCATCTCTCTCTCCTCATTTCATCGACGAAGACAACAGTCATCACACTCCAAAGTTCAAATCTATTACCTCGCATGGATCTGCGCAAGAGCTTCGTGTCGATTTCGGCAACGATTACAAAGGTATACGCACATTTCAAACTATCTTGTTTTGCAAGTAACTGATAATCATGAGCTTGTATGGTAGATGGGAAATCTGGAGATTCTGATGATGAAAATATCCATAGAATAGGATCAAAGGGACTAAAACATTCTGTTTCGTCGCGTGTGATGTCTTTCACCGATACCGAATTCGCAAACAAGCTCAATGCGAAACGAACCACTTCGACTCGTTCCGCTGTGGAATTCGAGCTCTCTGATTTGCAAAGCGCGACAGCCAATTTCTCACCTGGAAATCTACTCGGTGAAGGCTCAATCGGACGTGTTTACAGAGCCAAGTATTCCGATGGCCGCGTAATCCCCTTATCTAAAGTGTTTCACAAGTAACAAACCAATAACTATAAACCACACTATCTATCTGATAAATATTATTTCTATGATTCAGACATTAGCGGTTAAGAAGATCGATTCGACGCTGTTTGATTCGGGTAAATCAGAAGGAATAACGCCGATTGTAATGAGCGTCTCGAAGATTAGGCATCAAAATATAGCAGAGCTCGTAGGCTATTGCTCAGAGCAAGGTCACAACATGTTAGTCTACGAATACTTCAGGAATGGCTCACTCCATGAGTTCCTTCATTTGTCAGATTGCTTCAGTAAACCCTTGACTTGGAACACAAGAGTCAGAATAGCCTTGGGAACCGCTAGAGCCGTTGAGTATGTTCTTAAATTGGAAAAAATACAAACGCAAACGCTCTTTAACAATTTTTTTTCTTTTGTATAATAATTGTTGAATTTGTGTAGGTACCTGCACGAGGCATGTTCGCCGTCTGTGATGCATAAGAACATCAAATCTTCTAACATTTTGCTAGACGCAGATCTCAACCCTCGTCTCTCAGATTACGGCCTCTCAAAATTCTATCTTGTGAGCATTATTTTTTCATTTTGTAGAAATTTAGATTGAGTTTATGAGAATTAATGTTTTTACATGGTGTGACAGAGAACGAGTCAAAACCTAGGAGAAGGATACAATGCACCAGAAGCCAAGAACCCTTCTGCTTATACACCAAAGAGTGACGTCTACAGCTTTGGCGTCGTTATGTTAGAGCTTCTCACCGGTCGAGTTCCATTTGACGGGTCAGTTCCATTTTATATGATCATATATCTTAAACCGAATCTCATTTTTAGACTATGAGATTAATTTTTTTTTTTTTTAAACGAATTGACACAACAAATCTTTGCTATATAGTAGGCTAGGTTAATTACTACTTTCTTTACTAGTAATTACTATAGCTTAAGCCTTAAGGTAAGGTTCTCAATCTCTAAATTTTTGGTAACTAAACAAATCCTGGATATTTCGGTTCATAGTTATTCATATCGAAGACTAGAATAGGTTAACAATTAGGTTGAGCTATCGATTCCGTGTTGAATACTGTACATGTACATTTTTTCTCCTTAAGAAAAAAATTGGTTTTTCTATTGGCTTGTGATATAAACAGAGAGAAGCCAAGGCCGGAGAGATCGTTGGTACGGTGGGCGACACCACAACTTCACGACATAGATGCATTGTCGAATATAGCGGATCCAGCTTTGCACGGACTTTACCCACCAAAATCATTGTCAAGATTCGCCGACATTATCGCATTATGTGTACAGGTGGAACCGGAGTTCCGACCACCGATGTCGGAAGTTGTGGAGGCGCTTGTACGGATGGTTCAACGGTCAAGTATGAAGCTTAAAGATGATCTTTCATCGTCTTATCGAGCCCACGACGATTATGATTACTAGAGTAGTTATGGAGAAAAGTAGTGACTTATTTATTTAAATATATATTTTTGTGTTCATCTTTTAATTTTTGGTGTATTCCTTCGCTGGATAAACATCCATCTGATTTTTTTAAAAGTAAAATTACATAAATAAGTAAAAGATGATTAATTAACGATAAACACAACTTTTCGGTATTCCGCGAGTGCCCATAAGGGGAAGGTGTTTCGGTATGTAGCATAGTGTAGCATGCATGTATTCATGAACGCTCCTACTATTTCCTGTATATTACACACACAAAATGTAACTAAGCAAGTTCAGATCTTGATCACACATCAAACTTTTTATATATGTTCTAGATCATATCTTAAAAAAAAAGGTTACCTGTTGAGGAAAATCCCCGTTTTCAAGTTGTGAATTGATGATTAGTTTGGCAGCACGATGAAGAGGAATCAAATCTCTCTCAGCCTGAGTGAATATATACACAATAGCATAAGAGAGTATCGGTTTCGATCGATACCAATTCGTGTATTGAAAGAAATAAAATGCAAATATATATAATTAAAATGTTTGAACCTGTCCCGTATGAATTAGAGCCATCATAGCCCATGATGTTTGCACAATGTTTGATCTTTCTCCTTCTAATGGTATGTATCTCTGCATACAAATCATGTTAAAAATGTTTTAACGTTTAATTTTCATGATAAATTAGGTGAAATAATTGGATAAAATCTCGACATACCTGTTCGGAGCATGATAAATAGCTTTCACCCCAACCTCCATCATCTCTTTGCGTAGTGAGCAAAAAGTGGACACCTTTGCGCATAGCTAAACAATCGTTGTAAGTTTCACCAGCTGCTGCTAGACCTCCAAGAGCAAACCAAGTAGCGTAAATGAAGCAAACACCCCAATTTCCGTACCTATAAATTTCTCCAAATACCGTAAATTGTTAGAATTTTTATTAACTTTACATCACTTTTTTGTTTACAATACATTTGCGTTTATTTTTAACTTTACATGTTAGAATATATAGTGTATATTTTCAATTACATTTTTAGTGTTCTGATCTTTTTTTTGTAAGCCAACACAAAAAACAGGAGAAGAAATCATAATATATGAGTTATGATGTGGTGTTGTACCATGAACCGTCTGGTGTTTGTTTGCCTTGTATAAATTGCACAGCTTTTTTGATGGACCTGTTGATCTCTTTTGTCCTGTGATCTGGATACAACTTTCTAAATAGATCAAGTGCTTGTATAACAGATGAGGTGCATTCCACAAACTTCCGCTCGACCATGGTATTAGCCATGAATTCTGTAGGATTGAGCAGCTGAAACACCAATTAGAAAAAGGTTAAAAACTTGCGTGATTTTGAATCAAGTATGTGGATGTTGATACAAAAACAAATTCTACATCGGATAAAAAAAAAAAAATTCTAATGATTTATAAGATTTAGGAGCGTCATTTACTCTTAAGAGCTAGTTTTTGTGGTGAGAACTAATTAAAGAGTTTTGTGAGTTTAATTAGTTTGTATATAACTCCTATCAGGTAGATTTCTTTCTTAAAACTTTTGAGTCGTATGCAAAAAAAAATGTAAGACACATATTATTTCTTACTTCCATCCATTCATATGCACGGGTAGGCTCCCACGCATTGACACCTCCATTTCCGCTCTACATAAAGAGTGGCAGTTTATAGTAACACAATTAGTTCAAAAAACCTCACACAAAATTTTAAGAAAATGATCGTGTGATTATAAGTTCACCTGTAAAGATAGCAAGAGATTAACAGAATCATATAATTGTTCATCATCTATTTTCTGGCCAACGATATCAGCTGGCATCATGGAAAGAAGTAGGCAACACTACAAAAATCAAAGAAATTTATATGGACCGATTTAAAACATAATTCAAGTTAAAACTCCAATGTTAGACTTGTTTTGCTTTAGTGATTTGGTTTGGTTTACCTTTAAAGCTTCAGCTGTACAATCTGAAACTTGCCATCCATGATCTCGATCAGAAAATGTCCATGCTCCTTTCGAAATGTGGCGGTACATGCTCTTAAAATCACCTGAAGGGTTTTCTCTAACCTGCCAAAATTCTTTGATTAATTTGTGGAAAAAACATGATCAGTTGAAGTTACAAGATTACAATAACGAGGACATATTTAACCTGAGATGTCTTTATGTAATTATGTCCTCTCCTTAATGCATCATCAGTTTCATCAGGGAGATTACTTGCAAGTAAAGCTTGAATAGCAAATCCGGTATCCCACAGTTGACATCCAAAGCTCTATATGTAAACTTAAAACTCTTAAAAAGTTTCTTATACTAGAGAATAGAGATCTTAATTAGTTCCAATCCATTAATACCTGCATTTTCATTCCATCTTCAGCGACCCACATGTAATCTGGAATTCTAGCCAGATGCTTCTTGAAGTAGTCTCCATTAGGATTTTCGACCCAACAAGCTAGCATGCACAGTACCTATATTGGAAAAAAAAAAAATTAAAAATTTTAAATTATGAGAATATTGACATATACTTATTTTTTGATTGTAGGGTCCTGATATGTTTTGCCTTCTCAACACATCCAATGGTTATGTAATGGCTATTTTCGTCTTCATAATGTATGTGTTTCATAGTCAGCTGAAGAGCTTTTTCCCTCACAAGCTTGTTCAATGGCCAACGTGTAAGAAAAGGCTCCACAAAGTTGTGAAGAGTGTCAGATATCAAATCTTGAACCAAAGGATGAGGATAATACATGTCTTCCTGCGAAAGAGAATGGCAGAACGTTTGTGGTATTTTCTCCCATGAAAAAAAAAGGATTTTCAAGATTGAAAGTATAGTCAAGCTAGCATACATACTTTTGCATATAGACGTCGAGTTTTATTCCAATTGATTTCTTCATAAGATTCCAAGTAAAGTTCCCCGCGCAAGAGCAAAATAAGAGGTGTTATTGGACCAACAAACCTCTTCCCATATAGGTAAGACATAGGTATACTAACCATCCGGCTATAACACAAAGTTTTCCCTGTATTTAATTTGTTGTTAATTAATTTGGAGCAGGACAAACATTATTTAAAGAAAAAAAAAACTATAGAACACATATATCTTGAATCAGCAGAACATAGTGAACCTGGATGTATTGGAAGAAAAGAAGGCAGCATCAAGATTTCTGGTGGCGTCGGATTAGTTCCAGACCATTCATAAACTCCGAGTATCTAGATATATAGTGAAAACCAAATGATGATTTATATATGGCACCTTAAGCATTCAACATCTCCCATTTAAGTTAACAAAAATATATATATGGCTCAAAAGATTTTACCGAGAGCCAAAATTTCCCCCAAGAAGGAATAAAAATCACACCACCACGGTCAAGAATCCATTGTCTAGCTCGTTTGCACGCGTCTTGTTCAGGATTTTCTCCAAGCATACGAAAACATATGTAATTCAACACGGTGCAGAACATAACACTCTTGCTTTCGATATGTAATCCCCATCCACCATCTTCGTTCTGCAAAAAGACAAAACCTAAACTCATGTAAGAATCATTTAGGTACATTCAATATTAGAGACCTTCACAACTAAAAGTATACCTGATGACAATAGATATGCCGTAGCATCTCTTTGCGATGTTCAGCATCGAATACTTCCTCCAGATGTCCGGTAATGTACAAACAAAATATCTATAAAAAAAAAAAGGAAAAAATATCGTTCAAATTTCCATCCTAGCTCTTTTTATAGTCTTTTAATTTGATTTTTTCAGAATAAATTCTATGTTTTGGATACCAAAAAGCTATTGGTATCTATAACATAGTATAGTTTCCCTTTCTTTTCTTTATGCAATTACTAGAGAAAGCGCCTAAACCTTAACTTTAATCCTAAGAGAATTAATTATCTCTCGTAGAAATATAAGATGCATGGAGTATCTTGAAGAAAGGTATATAGAGAGATGAAGAGACTTACGAGAGGAGGAAGGAAGAAAAGCGGACCGGTGATTTCTCCAGGCCAATGGCCGTCGGAGGCTTGCAAAGCTGAGAAGTAACGAACGCCTCTTCGTAATGCATTTGTCGTTGTTTCATACGTTATTTCCTCCTTTATTTTAGTAGGTTGCGGTATGCCTTGTTCGAATTTCTTCTCTCTTAGAAACTGTGCATACAATCAAACCAAACAAAATAAATAAACATTGGTTATAAATTATTTAAAAAAAAATAGATTAGTATTAGATATTTCATGACCAAAAAAAAACTCACTTGCATTCGCCATAAGAGATCACTGCAACCTTTAACACGAGAACGGTTGATCAAGAAACTTCGGCGAGCTTCTTCGACGGAAGCTCGTTCCTCTGGTGAGCCGGCTTGGTGATCAAACTCCCATGTTTGACGTCCGACGAAGTTATTGCTACTGAATAAATGCGGATCTTCACCATTTCCCTTTCCTATCTTCAACTTCCACATAACGACCGTGACCCTATATATAGTTATGATATTCTATCAAGTTGATTTCTGACACTGAAAATTGAACGTAAAGGAAATAGCAGTTCGATAGATAACCACTAATTAAAGAAGTCATTTGAGAATACCCACCTGAATAAAAATCAATAAGTGATCGATTGCAAGTCAGAGAAGTGTGGGTGTGCCAATTAACTTTGTCCGATGAGACTATATATAAAGGAGAAAGCCAAGCAATTCCCAATGGTTATGATGAGATTAGGTAGACGTACGAATTAGTCACATCCAAGAATTGCTCTGAATCGAATGGACAACATTTGGTAGCTAGTAAGCATTATCAGGATAATCAAATAAAATTAACTAATATGTTGTTGTGCTAAGATAGATAAAAAATAAGGAGAAACCAAAGCAATGCCTCATAGTTTTTTTTTTTTTTGGATCAAAGCAATGCCTCATAGTTATGATGAGAAGGAAGCATGGGCTTCTACGTACGAGGAAACAGATTAGCCAGACGTACATACGAAGTCACATGTCATTAAGATAATTAAATAAAATTGATTTACATATTGTTGTTATCCTTGTAACATAATCAAATAAAAATAAATTCAAATTTTGTATTTATACTTATGTGCAATAAACATTTAGTTCCTCATGAAGGAGATTAATTGTCCTCTTTGTGTGTTTCATTTTCATTTGTTATGGTTGTAACACTCTATTTGTGAGTGTTGTGCTGTGGACAAAAGTTGGTTTGGAATGAATTTCATATGACAAAAACGAAAAGAATAGATGATGTGTAAACACTATAGAAATAATGAATAAGAAAAACAAAGAAAGAGAACAAATTTAAAATCTTGTACAAAATTACAATAAAATGCTTTTATAAAGCTATGAATTAAAATAGGAAGCTACTTATTATAAAATCTAAAATGCAAACTTAAAGAAAAATAAACAATATTAGTTTCTAGGAATTATAAATAATAAAAATGTAATTTAGGATTGGGAAAGAAAACTATAGAATACGACTTTTGACAACAAAAAAAACTATGGGGAGTTTTTAGCGGAACTATGGGGAGTTTATTACGGACTTTACATAGCATGGGAGCGTCAGGTTACACGGTTAGAGTTGGAGGTGGACTCGGAGATAGTGGTGGGTTTTTTGACAACGGGGATTAGTGATTCTCATCCGTTGTCGTTCCTAGTACGTTTGTGCTATGGCTTCATATCGAGGGACTGGATAGTCCGTATTTCTCATGTGTATAGGGAGGCTAATCGTCTAGCGGATGGATTAGCAAACTATGCATTCTCTTTACCTTTGGGTTTTCATGCTTTTGCTTCAATACCGGATGATGTTCGTTCTATTTGGTTAGACGATGTGAATGGATCTACGCGATCTAGACATGTCCGATTGTAATTTTCTATTTTTTCTTTAATAAAGTATGGGAGACTTGTCTCCCTCTTCATACCAAAAAAAAAAACAAAAAAAACTATAGAATACCACTTATTTATTAAACAGAAAGAAAAAAATATTTGTCCAAAATTTCCCAAGAATCGTCTTGAGAACCACTCGATCCCCGTCGAGTATGTTCTTAGATCGACAAAAACAAACGAAAACGCTCTTTCATTACCTTTCTTGTTAACATAACTGTTCACAGTCTCTAATATTGCATAAGAACATCACGTCTACTAACATTTTGCTAGGCGCAAATATCAACCCTCGTCTCTCAGATTATGAACATCAAGTCTCCTAATAATATTATTTTGTCTTTCTTTTATATTTACAGAATTGTGTATAGATTATTAAAGAAGAGCCAAATTTCTTTTAAAGATTATTCAGGAAGAGCTATAGATCTTGATGAGTTAAGAAGGCAGCTTTTCGATATTCCGCGAGTGCCCATAAGGGGAAGGTGTTTCTGTATGTAGCATAGTGTAGCATGCACGTATTCATGAATACTCCTAATATTTCCTGCAAACACACATAACATTAACAAAGAATAATTGAACTCAGTACATACACACATTAATTTTACATTTACTATCATTAAAAAGTCATGGAGTTAAGGTCGATGACATTAATATTAGACCTGATTTTATTATTACAAAGTATGAAGTGGTAGGCAATACAAAGATACGAAAAAGTAGGTAAGATTATTCTAAATCTCACGACTTATGTAAGCTTCACCAGATATTCATATATCTGTCAAAGAGGATGTTTGAAAATTACCTGTTGCGGAAAGTCCCCATTTTCAAGTTGCGAAGTGATGATAAGTTTCGCAGCACGATGAAGAGGTGTAGGATCTCTCTCGGCCTGTTGTACAGATACAGCATAGGAAAAAATAGGTTTCAAGATAATTTCGTTGTACTTGAAATAAATGCAAGTGTAAGATTGAAAATATTTGAACCTGTCCGGCATGAATCAAACCCATCATAGCCCATGCGGTTTGCACTAGGTTTGATCTGTTCCCTTCTAATGGTATGTATCTCTGCATACAAACCATATTGAGAAGATTTAAAGCTTCTTCAAAACTAAAGGTGAATTGAGACGCTAGAATTTTGTGTTGATCCATAAAATTTACCTGCTCAGGGCATGACAGATGGCTTTCTCCCCAACCTCCATCTTCTCCCTGTATCGTAAGCAGGAAATCTACACCTTTGCGCATAGCCAGACAACTTTTGTAGGTTTTACCAGCGGCTGCTAGCCCGCTCAGAGCAAACCATGTCGCGTAGATAAAACAGATACCCCAGTTTCCATACCTATCATTACTCAAAAATAAACTATTACGTTAGAGTTTTTCCAAACCATATTCATTAAACATGTCTTAATTATGTTAAATGCATACCATGAACCATCAATCGTTTGTTTGCTTTCTATGAATTGCACCCCTTTCTCAATCGACTTGATGATTTCTTTTGTCCTGTGATCCGGATAAAGTTGTTTGAACAGAACCAAAGCTTGAATAACAGCTGAGGTACATTCTACATACTCGCGTTCAGCCATAACACTAGTAAAAAAATCTGTGGGATTGAGCAACTGCAACACCAATTACAAAGGTTAGACCTGAATGATTTTATTTTTAAAGATTCTCAAATCCGCAAAAAGGACAACAAAATGTATTCTTATGTGTTGTAGCTCTTACTTCCAACCATTCTTGTGCACGGACAGGCTCCCATGCAGTCAAACCTCCTTTTTCACCCTACATCAAATAAAGTTGTATTCGTGAATATTAATTAGAGACTGAATTTTTGACAACATTAGTCTTATAGATATTATCTCACTTGCAACGATAACAAGAGATTAACAGAATCGTATAGTTGTTCAGGATCTATTTTCTGGCCAACGACCTCAGCTGGCATCAAGGAGAGCAGCATGCAACACTACAAAACACATAAGTAAAGGTTAATCTGGGCTGGGGCATAACTCTTGTGAAAACTCTAACTAATTCTGCTTCAACAACTAATTTGATTACCTTCAAAGCTTCAGCTGTACAATCTGACACTTGCCATCCATGATCTCGATCAGACAAAGTCCAGGCTCCTTTGGAAATATGGCGATACATGCTCTTAAAGTCACCTGAAGGGTTTTCTCTAACCTACAAAGTGCTTTAATTTAGGGGGAAAAACACATGCAATTGTTCCATAAAGCATTTCTAAGGAACAAGACTATAATTAAAAGCATATCAAACCTGAGAATTTTTTATGAAATTGTGTCCTTTCCTGAGTACATCATCAGTTTCGTCAGAAAGGTCACAAGCAAGTAAAGCTTGAATCGCAAACCCTGTGTCCCAGAGTTGACTTCCAAAGCTCTGCAAAAATTTAAAATACTTAAGAAATTTTGTCAACTAAAGTCTACATTAAATAATTTATGTATTTTTATTAGAACCTGCATTTTCAGTCCGTCTTCAGCAACCCACATGAAGTCCGGAATTCTAGCGAGATGTTTCTTAAAGTGATCTCCACTAGGATTCTCGATCCAGCAAGCAAGCATGCACAGAACCTGCATAAACATTTAGGCATGTTTTTGAAATTTACGTTTTCAAGAGAATACATGCACAATATTTCAAAGTTTCTCAATGTCTTACCTTCTCAACACATCCGATGGTAATATAATGGCTATTTTCGTCCTCATAATGTATGTGTTCCATTGCCACTCGAAGAGCCTTATCCCGTACAAGTTTTTTTAACGGCCAACTTGTAAGGAAAGGCTCCACAAAATTGTGAAGAGTGTCCCATAACAAATCTTGAACCAGAGGATGAGGATAAATCATGTCTTCCTGCAAGATTAAAAACGATGTAATGCCTGTGGATTTTCTCCCCTGAAAGAGAAATTTGCATAATAAAATTGGTTAACCATACTTTTGCACATAGACGGCGTGCTTTGTTCCAATTGATTTCCTCATAAGGTTGTAAGTGGAGTTCTTTGCGCAATAGCATGATAAGAGGTGTAAGAGGACCAACAAATCGTTTCCCATACAGATAAGACATGGGCATATAAACCATCCGGGTATAACACAAAACTCTTCCTGTATTTATTTTCCATCAAGAGAGGGCAATGTTAAAACAAAATCTACAAACATATATGTATATAGCAGTTTCAAGTTGATCCATACAGTATAATCTCCAAAATAAGAAAATAACAAACCTAAGTGTATTGGAATGAAAGAAGGGAGCAACCAAATCTCGGGAGGCATTGGGTTGGTTCCAGACCAATCATAGATTCCGAGCATCTACAAACGAAAAATCGAGAATCAATACTAAAACTTTCAACATCTTTGAGTTTATATTAACATATGGTCCAAAAGATATTACCGAGAGCCAAAATTTTCCCCAAGAAGGAATATAAGTCACACCACCATGGTCAAGAATCCATTGCCTGCCTCGTTTGCAGGCGTTATCTCGCCCTCCATTGGGACCTTCTCCGAGCATACGCAAGCATATGTAATTCAGTGCGGTGCAGAACATAACACTCTTTCCCTCAATATGTAATCCCCATCCACCGTCTTTGTTCTGCAAATTAAGAGACAAAAACGAAACCCATGTGAGGATCTCTACTCTAGTCCACTTTAATATTATCCGAGCCAATCCTCGAAAGTACCTGGTAACAATAGATATGCCGAAGCATCTCTTTGCGATGTTCCGCATGGAATATCTTCTCGAGGTGTCCTGTGATATACAAACAAAAAACCTGCAGAAAAATTTTCTCTGTTTCACTAAGTCCTTTTCCTTATTACTATAAATATCCTTAAAACAAAATTGCGCAATAGAAACAATGAAGCCCTAATTCGAACCCTAAGAGTATTCTTCGATAGACATAAACTAATAAACTAATAATCGAAAGAAAAACGAAGAAGAAAAATACCAATGGAGGAAGGAAGAAGAGAGTTCCGGCGATTTCCGCCGGCCAGTGGCCATCGGAGGCCTGCAAAGCCGAGAAGAAAGAAACTGCTCTCCTTAACGCATTCGTAGCATTTTCATAAGTTATGCCTTCGCCGTCGTCGATCTTCACCGGCGGGATCACTTGCTCGAATTTCGCCTCTTTCAAAAACTGTGCGTACAGTCAAATCAGCTCAGAGCCTCGGACCAAAATAAAACATTCTTCGCGTTGAACAAAAAAAGGAAAAAGGAATAAAGACAGAGTATGAGTAATGGCCCATGGGCCATTAACTTCTAGGGCCCAAAAGTAAGAAGTTTCATTACGACTTCGTCACTGGTTGGTTCTTTTTTAATTTTTTTTTGTTAAAATTCTTTTTTATTACTATTTGAATAACTGGCTTTCCGAAACCCATAATAATTTTGAATAATCTGATTCTTCTTCAAATGATTTGCCTAACGTGATTTGGTTGAGTGAAAATCAATCAATTCAAACTAAAAATTGGACAAGGTGAATACACAATATAAGCTAATATAGCAATCTATTTAGATTTTAGGGCATTTTGTAATAAACAAATAAATCTCGCTTGTGAATAAAAAACTCACTTGCATTCGCCACAAGAGATCACTGCAACCTTTAACACGGGAACGGTTGTCCAAAAATTTCTGGCGAGCTTCTTCAACTGCGGCTCGTTCCTCAGGTGTGCCGGCTTTGGGATCAAACTCCCATGTTTGACGTCCGACGAAGTTGTTGCTGCTGAACAAGTAAGGGTCTTCTCCATTTCCCTCTCCTATCTTCAACTTCCACATAACGATGATCCTATATATGTATACTTATAAGTCCATATATATATACTCAACGAGTTTAGAATTTCATACAAACAATCATATGATGGTATATTATATATATAGTCCAGTTTGTAAAAACATGCGTACGGTATATATAGATAAACACTCTATATAAGACTATATTCCATGCATGCTTATATATATATTTGTATGATTTTCCATGTCTAGTTTTATATATTGAATTTAAAGAGCCCTTATTTATGAATATGAGATTGAGAGAGAATAAGAAAGACAAGAGAGTGAACGAGAGAGTACTTGTGCTGGGTCGATGTTTGTCTTTGCCGTTGATGATTATACTTTGGCGAGTTTCATGTACGTATGTTTATATAGAGGTAGGTGGATGATCGACAATTGAATAAGAATAATTTGAGCGTATTAATTAAATAAATTAAGATCTATTTAATTATTCTTATAGTATTTGTTCTTATCTCTAACGTACGTTTATATATATTTTTGAGTTAGACAAATGTTTTTCTCAATTATAAAAGGTACAGAACGTAAATGTAATATGTATCTAATATGTATAGTTTACAAACAGAATTAAAGACAAAGCTTTAAGTTGACATGAAAATTACACTCTTCAATTTTACATAACTTAATTATAGTTACAAGTTTTCTCTCTTATTTTTTTCTTGTTTTTAGGTTTTAATTTTATTTCTCAACGTGTTAATTATTCCGATAAAATCCTATTATTTGCTTTTAGGATAAACATAAGTGAACTCCAAAGACTTCCCGAATTTTTTGCTCATAATAAACATAAAGTACTCTTATTATCTAATACTAGTTTGTAGGTTCCACATATTTAAATGATTAGTCCTATAGCAAAATATCAAAACTCATATAATCAAACATTCAAACTCATTTAACAAATGATATGGTGGCCCACCTGTTTAGTTCATGCAACTCAATATAGAATATATGTACTTTAAAAACAAAAGTGATTTTATTCAATTAAACGCCGTATAAAAAAGTTAGAAAAGATACGGTCGCACTTAATTACCACACCGCAAGCAGTCACGTCACGAACTAAGCTCTTTCTGGACACTGGCTAGTCGGATCACTGTGTGGTCTGGACACTGGGTTATCAAAAAAAAAACTAAGCTCTTTCTGTGGTACGCATCCTATGTTACACGTGGCCGTATATAAGCGTTAATTGCGATTGACAAATTGAGTTAGCTCTCTTTCACTCTCACTACATCTGCTTTTGTCAAATTACTATATTTAGATCATAACGATCATGTGCGTGCGCCCTACATACGAACATTTGTCCACTATGCATCTAATACGGTGCACGATTCGTTTATGGTTAGGTCGGCCAACGGTCATGATTAAATGCTGATTGATACATACTATAATTTAGGTTCCTTTTTATAATGGTCTAATGTGCAGTAACAGTTGGGATTGAATTACATACGCTTAAAAACAAGTGGCGATCATTAATGATTGTGAGTCGTTAACAAAAACAATATAATGACGATTCATTTTTTTGTCATTATGTGTAACTCGTGAATTATCGTGAAAAGAAAGCTCTGCAATTTTGTATCTAAAGCCCCTACTTTCCTAGCTATTACAAAAAAAATAGATCAAATGTTTTTTCAAATTTATCTAATAATTAAAATCGTAATACATGATATATATGTTATTTCAAAAAATATTGTATGGTTTTAGTTGAATAAATTGAGTGAGCTTAACATGTCTATATTTTTGGCTCGCTAGCTAGAAACATTAAAAAAGAAAAGTGACATTGGTTTAATACAACCCAACTAGATCGTAAATTTAAACTTCATAAATTGTAGGTGTATCCAACGCTCATATTCACAACCGGACATTTGAAATCCGCCGTCTACAACCAAACTTATCCTAGGGCTTTAAATACACCCTTTGTTTCGGATGACATCTAAACCCCATGTTTTTAGCTACTAGTACACTAGTCTCTATAAACTATGTTAATGAGATGACTCTTCAGTCTTCATTGATACTCACGTCACGTACGAATCACTTATATCTTTTTCCTCAACATTAATTTCTTTTATATAATTGAACGAGATAATTCCTCTAGTATGGTATTGAGAGCTGGACTCAAATTATACAAACTCTTATACGGAATATCTTATGGGCTTTGGGTGCTAAGGATGACCTTTTCTGATCTCTTTATTTACTTAATTTTTATCTTTTTGGGGCAAAGCTTTCTTCTGAGTTCTGATCTATGAATATAATATAGGCCACACGAAGAGATTACTTGCTTCACTGGTAAATATTCAATTTCGAACTAGTTTTCTCCTATACTAATGTTGACTAACAAAAGCATGCATGCAAACTACCGTTGAAATGTGACATTCTTTTTTCTTATTTTTTTGTCAGTAGAACGTGACATTATTCAAGAATACCATCGAATCGAAGTCACTTTTTTTTTTCCCCAACAATCTACTTATATTCAGAAGAAAGTTGGTTAAGATATATTCGGATATCCAAAACGGAGGATATCCATACAACCCGAAAAGAAATTAGAATAAGTACAGCCCTGTTTCATATTTGCCAAGATCATGGATCAATTTTTATGCTGAACACAACCGATATTGTGAAATTTGCATAACGACTGTTGTATGTAGGTTTGAAAAACTAGTTTAGTTTAGTTTTCTATTTTTAAATAATTAATATACAGTAATACTTCTTTCATTTATAAGGACATCATTTGGAGAATACTGAATACCCTGAGTCTGAGTTACAAGACGAAGAAGAGTCTTGTAGAAGAGATACCCGGCCTTAATAGAGGAGGCGGACTATAAAACATGAGTGAAGCAACCGTGAGATATATACTGAGATAGGTGGGCGATAACACAGTGGATATTACTTTTGAGATAGTTATTTTTTTGTTAAATAATGAGATGATTTAGGTTTCGATTCCACCAGCTATATAAAAAACAATATCACGTAAAGTCGTTATTATGAGGAATATATGAAACATAAGATCATGAATCGTTTTAAATGCATATATATAATGCATTTATACGTTAGAACGTTATGCTTAGTTTTTTTTTTTTTTTTTTTTTTTTTTTGAACAAAGGCTTGAACGTTATGCTTAGTTATGTTTTACAAGACAGCCACAAACTTCCAAAAGTTTTCAAGATTAACCTCGTTACGCGTCTAAAAAGTTGATGAAAATCTAGATACCAATTTCATTTTTCAAAGTTATAGTTTAATAAATAAATAAAACTTCAAAACGAATTATGTATGTGTGTGCGTGTAAATGAATTCAATTTCACTCACTTCTCTTCTTTTCTCCACATATATTACGTGCATCTCAATGCACGATGCATAAAATATGCCATATCTTCAGATTATTAATTAATTAAGATCTAAAGAATGTGGAAGTTGAAGATAGCAAATGGAAACAAAGAAGAGCCCTACTTGTTCAGCACCAACAACTTCCTCGGAAGACAGACATGGGAGTTTGATCCGGAAGCCGGCACAGCAGAGGAACTAGCTGCCGTCGAAGAAGCTCGTCGGAAATATTTTGATGATCGTTTTCAGGTTAAAGCTAGCAGCGATCTCATATGGCGTATGCAGGTATTTATTTTTCTTTTCTTTTTGTGTCAACATATATAGTTTATGAATCAAAAGTAAGGATCGACGAGCCAAACCGGGAAACCTACAATGAAAAACCAATAATATGGTTCGTTGTATTTTTAAAATTTAATTAGTGATGCCTCTGTTACTGAATTTATTTCCCTGTCATTATCCTGCATTAAACAAAAAATATATATGAAGCTTGAAAAACGGGTAATTCGTGGATAAAAAATTGTTCTTGAGCACCTTTGTACTATTTTTGGATATTCACAAAATTCAATATGTATGTTCACTGACAATTTCATAAACAAGTTTTAGTGTCAAGTCCAATACGTGTGATCATTACAAGGTCACATTGGTTAGATCTATCTAGACTATTATAAGGCTATAAGCTAGCTTAAACATAGACTATAATAACTCCATGATGATGCTAATTTTCAGAAAAAGGGTTTCATAGAATATAATGTATATGCACACATTATAAAGTATATGCACACGATTAACTGCAATGCTTGTTATATAAAGTTCTGAATTAAGTTATATTTTTCTAAGCAAATATATATACGATAATAGTTAGAAGTATCAGACAATTCTGTAGAAGAAAAATGTTTCCAATTGACATTGATATTCAAAGGAAATAAAATAACACATCCCATAGGCCATAGTTCTTTGTAAATATAGCATGCATAAAGACATGGTGGAACTGGGTAAAGAACGTGATTATGGGTTAGGTCCATATTTTTAGTTTTTTGCTAACCTTTAAAAGGCAATAACCGTTAACTTTTTAATCTAAAATCAAGACCTTCACATAATATGAAAACTATTTTAGTAGACCCGAATTGTAAATTTATTATAACTCTAAGGGCCTAAACTGTAAATAAATTAGACTTTAAAGATTTCGCCGGTCAAAGTCGCGAGGACAAGTCAAAGTCAAACCTTCAATTTACAATCCCTAACTTCAACGGTGTCGTCACCGGGAATTATCACCGGCGTCAGCCTCCATGAAAATGCCATTTTATTTCCTAAGAGGCGAGAATGAAAACCTTCTCGCTTCACATTCCCACTCGAAGCCTGATCGTGTTTCTTCGACTGGGCTCGCCGGAATGAAACAGGAGCCCTTTTTTTCAAACGGTGATTTAATGCAGAAAGACGGAGCAGAGTGTTGATTATATAGTTTTAACTTGTATGATTGAAACATGTTTATTGAAATTCTGGTGTTTGGTTTTGGTCCTGTGATGCAGTTCTTAAAGGAGAAGAAATTCGAGCAAGTTATACCTCCGGTGAAGGTTGAAGATGTCAATAAGATCACGAGCGAAATAGCTACAAATGCGTTAAGGAGAGGGGTCAATTTCTTATCGGCATTGCAGGCCACTGATGGACACTGGCCTGCTGAAAATGCTGGTCCTTTATTCTTCCTTCCTCCATTGGTATGTCTCTATCTGCTCTAAACTTCTTATCACTGTATGTTTCATGACAGTAGTGCTAAGAACAAATGAGTGTTTTAGATTTGAAAAAAAAGTAATCTTTGTCAATAATGAGTGTACATAGATTCTATCCAAGTTTGGGTATGCTCACCAGCAAGTGGCACAGAGGTTATTATCCAATTTCCTCTTCTCTGATATTTTTGTTTGTTTGTAAGATAACAGGTTTTCTGTCTATTTGTCACTGGACATCTCCATGAGATATTCACTCAAGAGCATCTTCGAGAGATCCTCAGATACATCTACTGTCACCAGGTATATTATAAGTACATCTGCAAAACGTACCACTTATGCTACTTTTATAAACTCTTTTCTATCAATTTTACCGTTGAGATGTGTTTATTTCAAGAATGAAGATGGTGGCTGGGGATTACACATAGAAGGAGACAGCACCATGTTCTGCACCACACTAAACTACATTTGCATGCGCATACTTGGAGAAGGTCCTAATGGAGGACCAGGAAACGCGTGCAGACGGGCCAGGGATTGGATTCTTGCCCATGGGGGTGCAACATACATACCCTCTTGGGGCAAAACTTGGCTTTCGGTATATATCTGCATGAGTTTTTTTAGTCTAAATAAGATTCAGAAGGTTGTTTTAATTTTTGTTGAATGTTTGTAGATACTTGGTGTCTTTGATTGGTCAGGAAGCAACCCAATGCCTCCAGAGTTTTGGATCCTACCTTCGTTTCTTCCAATACATCCAGGTTTTTTTTTTCACATCTTGAATATCTCCATCTTTGCTTCAATAAAATAAGTAATGACTAGGTTGTAACAATCAACTAAGACTTGAGCTCTTGAAATTGCGTCGTCACTTCTAAATTTTAGTCTGAAACCATTTAACGAAAATCTGCAGCGAAAATGTGGTGTTACTGCCGGTTGGTTTACATGCCAATGTCTTATCTTTACGGGAAGAGATTCGTTGGTCCAATAAGTCCTCTTATTCTGCAACTACGCGAAGAAATTTACTTGCAGCCTTATGCAAAAATAAACTGGAACAGAGCACGCCATCTATGTGCAAAGGTAAGGTCAATCATTGTTCCTTCCATAAATAGATTTTTTCAGGAAGATAAATTCACAGAAAACCTTCCACTTTCATCCTCAGGAAGATGCGTACTGTCCTCATCCACAAATTCAAGATGTTATATGGGACTGTCTTTACATCTTCACCGAGCCGTTTCTTACATGTTGGCCATTTAATAAGCTGCTTAGGGAAAAAGCTCTTGGGGTGGCAATGAAACACATACATTATGAAGACGAAAATAGCCGTTATATTACCATTGGATGTGTTGAAAAGGTAAAATAAATACAGTCCTTATGCAGAAATGCTGGAGTACTCAGAATTTATCTTCGAAATAACTAAAAACTCCAGATTCTTTTTGTAGGCATTATGCATGCTTGCCTGTTGGGTTGAAGACCCTAACGGAATTCATTTCAAGAAGCATCTTTTGAGGATTTCTGATTACTTGTGGATTGCAGAAGATGGGATGAAAATGCAGGTGTCAATGAAAATTCGGGATCTATTTGTTATGTCACTTAATGGAAAGTTTGTGTGGCATGAAAATTTTATGAGTCACGTATTTTGCAGAGCTTTGGAAGTCAATTATGGGATTCAGGATTTGCCCTCCAAGCGTTAGTTGCAAGTGATCTCGCGAACGAAATCCCAGATGTACTCAGGAGAGGATATGACTTTTTAAAAAATTCTCAGGTTCGATATCCTCTGCAGTATGATTTTGTGACTTTAAATTATCAGAACAAGTGAAGGTGTCTTACGGAACTGAGAATTCTTAAGGTTAGAGAGAACCCTTCGGGTGACTTTACGAACATGTTCCGTCACATCTCCAAAGGGTCGTGGACATTCTCTGATCGAGACCATGGATGGCAAGCTTCCGACTGCACAGCCGAAGGGTTCAAGGTGATTAGCCAGATTTCGATTACTATAATGAGTTGGTCAGCTTTCCACCTAATTAGCACTTATCTTGGTTTGTAGTGTTGCCTGTTGCTTTCGATGATGCCACCTGACATTGTTGGCCCGAAAATGGATCCTGAACAGTTATATGAGGCTGTTACTATCTTGCTGTCTCTACAGGTGAGTTTTATACCCCATATAGAACGCACTTCCTCAACTTTTTATGATAAGAAATTTCTGTTCACTTGCTCTGGCTGCAGAGTAAAAATGGAGGTGTAACTGCTTGGGAGCCTGCCCGTGGACAAGAATGGTTGGAAGTAAGAACGAAATCCCATCAAGATTTTGTATCACAACGTTTTTGAGGCACCGGAAAGAAATTCTCAGAAACATTTTTTCACTTTTTTCTCGTGTTTCAGTTGCTAAATCCTACTGAAGTTTTTGCTGACATTGTGGTTGAGCACGAGTACAATGAGTGTACTTCATCAGCAATCCAAGCTTTGATTCTGTTCAAGCAACTATATCCGTATCACAGGACAGAAGAGATCAACACTTCTATCAAGAAAGCCGTGCAATACATAGAGAGCATACAAATGCATGATGGTTCATGGTATTACATAAATGACTTTCAGACAAGGTGAAATTGTTCACAAAGATTCTGGTTTACCAAAAAATCTTGGATTGATAGGTACGGAAGCTGGGGAGTTTGCTTCACATACAGTACATGGTTTGGTTTGGGAGGCCTCGCAGCTGCTGGAAAGACGTACAACAACTGTTTGGCTATGCGTAAAGGCGTTCATTTCCTTCTCACAACTCAAAAAGATAATGGGGGTTGGGGTGAAAGCTACTTGTCATGTCCTAAAAAGGTATAATCACCTAATACTCATTGCTTGTAAAGGTCTTTTCCCCAGTTCCTGCGATTCATGAAAAATACACTTGGTTTGGTGTGCAGAGATACATTCCAAGTGAAGGGGAGAGATCAAACTTGGTGCAAACCTCTTGGGCAATGATGGGTCTACTTCATGCTGGACAGGTTCAGAATCGTGATATGCTGAGAACTTTTACTTCCTTGCCATAGGAAAGATCTTAGTCATCCCCATGAAAGTCATTAATTGTTTCTTCTAATCTCACACTACAGGCCGAGCGAGATCCGGCTCCTCTTCACCGTGCTGCAAAGCTCTTAATCAACTCTCAACTGGAGAATGGCGATTTTCCCCAGCAGGTACTTTTGGAAACATGACACAAAAAGCTGCTCATTTTAAAACCTTAGATATGCCCTCACAAGATTTATGTAGAAGCTGATGAACATAATCCCCTCAGACTCAAATTTTAACTAGTCTTTTTGCTGCCTAAGATTTTCTTCTGTTCTTAGACAAACAAGGCACACCTACATTGCTAATTCGAAAGAAGATTTCGTGAATTGATGCTAACAAAATGCATAACTACAGGAGATAACTGGAGCTTTCATGAAGAACTGCTTGTTACACTATGCAGCATACAGAAACATCTTCCCCGTGTGGGCACTTGCAGAGTATAGGAGACGAGTTTCATTGCCCTATGAAAACCTTGAACAGAGAGAAGAAGTTAGATCCATCACAACGTCTCAACAGTCATCACAGGTCATTGACCATGATGTAGGATCATAAAGTCATGACCTCTCTTTTGCAATAAGCTATTAATTATTTATATGAAGGTGGTTGAGTATTCTACTGAATAAGCAAACTAATGATAGTGTATATTCATACATACACATCTATACTATATGTTCATATGTATTATATTTATGTATGTTCTCAAGCTATATAAATGTATTATATTATATGTCTGTAGTTATGTACGTATCGAAGATTAACCAAAATCTTTTCCACCAACAAGTAATCTCATTTTTGTCTCTTAATTCTCTATCATCCCAGAAGTAACCTGTTCTTGTCGGTGTTTTATTATCACAGATTTACCAAAATTCCACCTACTTTATCTTAAATTAATTTACTTCCATATATATATGTATGTATGTATGCGTTGAATTAAGAAATCAGGTAGCTCACAGTTTTGTAATGTGGAGGTTGAAGATAGGAGAAGGCAACGGAGATGATCCCTACTTATTCACTACTAACAACTTCGTCGGACGACAAACATGGGAGTTTGATCCTGACGCAGGCTCGCCGGAGGAAAGATACGCCGTCGTTGAGGCTCGCCGGAGTTTCTACGAAAACCGTTTTCATGTTAAAGCAAGCAGCGATCTCTTGTGGCGCATGCAGGTTCGTAATTTATTCCTTGGAACATTTTATTTAATCTTATTAACTTGCTAATTGAAATAATGAAATCCCATGTAATTCATACTATATTTTACTGCTCTAGCAACGTGCTATTTTAGTAAAAAATAAACATTTTTAAAAGTAACACGAATGATTTGACTCCTACATATTTACCTTCCTCATTTAAGAAAGTTTTTTTTTTTTTTTTTTTTTTTTAACTCACCATTTAATACAGTTTTATTTTGTTCTTTTTTTCTTTTGCAATGTTGGAATGAAAAAAAGAAATTAAATTCATATTTTGCGAAATTACGAACAAGGCCCACAAAAAAAGTTTATTTGCGAAATGTATCCGTTATTTCAAAAGTAACGAATTTTGCAACAGTTTTTGAAGGAGAAAAAATTTGAGCAAGTGATAGCTCCGGTGAAAGTTGAAGGCTCCGAGAAGGTAACCTTCGAAACGGCGACGAATGCATTACGGAGAGGTGTTCATTTCTTCTCGGCGTTGCAGGCCAGCGACGGTCATTGGCCAGCCGAAAATGCCGGTCCTTTGTTTTTCCTTCCGCCACTGGTTAGTAGTTTTTACGGAGTCAATTGTATAATCTGAGATTATTAAAGATTCCAATTGTGCAGTACGAAAAAACGATAATTTCAAATGGATCGACGAATGAATTTGGATTTGGGATCAGTGTGATTTAGTTTTCGTGTAAGTGGGGATGTTGAAATTGAAAGAGGGAATTTTTAAGTGAAAGTCTGAAACTTTGTTGCTCCAATGCACACACTGTGTAGGTGTTTTGTCTTTACATCACGGGACATCTTGATGAAGTATTCACTTTAGAACATCGAAAAGAGATTCTTCGATACATCTACTGTCATCAGGTACATTTAGCTCCACTTAAAAATGTCTCTTCTTCAATGTGATCATGTTGGATTTTTCTGTCCATAGAAGGAAGATGGTGGGTGGGGATTACACATTGAAGGTCATAGCACAATGTTCTGTACTGCGTTGAATTACATATGCATGCGTATACTTGGGGAAAGTCCTGTTGGAGGTCATGAAAATGCGTGTAGACGAGCCCGGGAATGGATCCTTAGTCATGGTGGTGTCACCTACATACCTTCTTGGGGTAAAACTTGGCTTTCGGTAAGTATTCAGATCATCTGGTAATCTGAGAATGACTAGAAAAGTTGTATCATAAGCGTTTTTTTGTTGTCTGCAGATACTTGGTGTATTTGACTGGTCAGGAAGCAACCCAATGCCTCCTGAGTTTTGGATCCTACCTTCTTTCTTTCCCGTGCATCCAGGTTTGTTTCTTGACATCTAGAAATAAGATTTTCTTCTTTAAAACTTATGAGATCGGGAAACTAAGTGCCTCTTGTTGTAGTTTGAGCAAAACCCTGATTAAGAATTTCTTTCAAAAACTATTCTATTAGTGGAAGCACTAATTAACGGAATTCTGCAGCAAAGATGTGGTGCTACTGCCGGATGGTTTACTTGCCAATGTCGTATCTCTATGGGAAGCGATTTGTTGGCCCAATAACACCTCTCATTCAACAACTGCGGAAAGAACTGTACTTACAGCCTTATGAAGAAATCAATTGGATGAAAGTCCGCCATTTTTGTGCAAAGGTAAGAATGTTAGGATGTATCGTCATTCCTCTTTAGGATTTTCTTTCATGGAAAAGAACACGGAGACATTCCTCTACTTTACCTTAGGAAGATACATACTATCCCCGTCCATTGGTTCAAGAGTTAATATGGGACAGTATTTACATCTTCGCGGAGCCTTTCCTTGGACGTTGGCCATTTAACAAGTTTCTTAGGCAAAAGGCTCTTCAAGTGACAATGAAGCACATACACTATGAAGATGAAAATAGCCGTTATATCACCATTGGGTGTGTGGAAAAGGTAAGAACACCTTACCCTTAGACAGAAAGCATAGAGAATCTGGAATTAACTTCTGTCTCTTTCTGCAGGTACTATGCATGTTAGCTTGTTGGGTTGAAGACCCGAATGGGATTTATTTCAAGAAGCACCTTGCTAGAATCTCCGATTACTTGTGGGTGGCGGAAGATGGGATGAAAATGCAGGTATGTCCCCGGAGATTGGAAATCCAATTTTGTTATGTTTAATAACCTTGAGTTGGTAAGAAATCGAAAATTTCTTGACCGGCACAGATTTATGCAGAGCTTTGGAAGTCAACTATGGGATACAGGATTTGCGATGCAAGCTTTACTTGCAAGTAATCTCTCCAGTGAAATCTCTGATGTACTCAGGAGAGGACATGAGTTCATAAAGGATTCACAGGTTAGATACCCCTGCAGCACTACTAACCATTTATTTTGAAAAATGAAACATTAGCTTACAATTTGAAAAACAACTGAAGGTTGGAGAGAACCCTTCAGGTGATTTCAAAAGCATGTACCGTCATATATCTAAAGGCGCATGGACCTTTTCTGACCGAGATCACGGCTGGCAAGTTTCAGACTGCACAGCTGATGGCTTAAAGGTAATTCAGCCGTTTAAACCGAACACATTGACATGTTCTTTACTGACCATGCCATTAAGTACTACATCCTTGCTTGTTTTTGGTTTAATAGTGCTGCCTGCTGTTCTCGATGCTGGCACCGGATATTGTTGGCCCAAAACAAGACCCAGAGAGACTATATGATTCTGTTAATATCCTGCTTACTTTACAGGTGAGCATTATAGGTCACAGAATCAATATTTTCAATGAAATACTCGTTTTCAGGTCGTGACATTTTCACTTGTTTTCAGAGCAAAAATGGAGGTGTATCTGCCTGGGAGCCTGCTGGTGCTCCCAAATGGTTGGAAGTAAGAACCATAAACCATGAAATGTTTTCAAACAACCAACATATACTTTTTAAAACATTTGTGGTAGCATAATCTTCTATGTATGTGTCTCAGTTGCTCAATCCCACAGAATTGTTCTCCGACATTGTGATTGAGCATGAATACAGCGAATGCACGTCGTCTGCAATCCAAGCACTGAGTCTGTTCAAGCAACTCATCCCCGATCACAGGACAACGGAGATCACTACTTTCATCAACAAAGCTGTGCATTACCTAGAAAACATGCAAACGCCTGATGGTTCATGGTATACTAACAATTGCAAAGTTTCCCAATCTATTCACAGAAATCTAAACAAGCCAAGTCAATAAACATTGTTCTTTGAATTGACAGGTATGGGAACTGGGGTATTTGCTTCACGTACGGTACATGGTTTGCTCTTGCAGGCTTAACAGCTGCTGGTAAGACTTACAAGGACTGTGAGGCAATACGCAAAGGCGTTCAATTTCTTCTCGAAGCTCAGAAAGACAACGGAGGCTGGGGAGAAAGCTACCTCTCTTGCTCCAAAAAGGTATACGCTTGCACATTCTGATGAAATAAACTTGATGTAGGATCATTCAGTCACTATAATCCTCTTGGTCTATGCAGATATACATAGCAAAAGAAGGGGAGATGTCAAACGTGGTGCAAACTGCTTGGGCTTTAATGGGTCTCATTCACTCTGGACAGGTTTAAACTTTCAATATTGATCGATGAAAATACAATTAATGAATCAGTTCTATATATGACCAGTGTTTTACACAACAGGCGGAGAGAGATCCGGTTCCTCTTCACCGTGCTGCGAAACTTATCATCAATTCACAACTGGAGAGTGGAGATTTTCCTCAACAGGTACGTTTCCTACACCAAAATGGCTTACTATTATCTCAAAACTTCCAAATTCTGCTATCGCTTTGCTGATAGAACTGGGTCAAAAAAAGCTAGAAGCTAATTGTAGTTGGTTTTATGACTTGTCCAGCAAGCAACCGGAGTGTTTTTGAAGAATTGCACGTTACACTACGCTTCATATAGAAACATTCATCCGTTGTGGGCACTCGCAGAATATCGCGCACGAGTTTCTTTGCCATGACGACACTTTTCATAAATTTTCTTTATACCAGGAAACATGTGAATTTATAACCTATCAGTCTATTACAAGATATCTTTTATGCGATATTGAACATACATCAATCCAGTTTATGTTGTAGTCAAAGTATCATCATTCACATTTAATGGTTTTAGAAAGTTTTTCTTTTCTTTTTGTCTACCGTCCATTTTCTTTAGCACGTTGAACAAAAGAGTCAAACCACACAAATGTGTTATTATTTCTTATGTTTTTTGTGTTACAGAATCTGAAATTAGATTATCAGCCAAAAATAACACCCTTAAATAACAACCATTAGAAAAAGAGAAAACCCGTTACCTTGCATCTACTTCATTTGTTACCTCCATAAAGAATCTTTGATCAATCAAACTCTATTTTTTCTTTTTCAAATCACAGTGAAGTTTTCTCTTTTGCATCATAAAGAGTCAAAAGGGTAAATCAATATATAGAAGAAGAAGATAAAAGAAGAGAATGTGGCTACCAAAAGCAAATGGGGCAAAGAAAGAAACAGGAAGTGGTTCAGTAGCAGTTGCAATAGACAAAGACAAAGGAAGCCAACATGCTCTTAAATGGACAATCGACAATCTTGCTTCTCGTGGCCAAACCATTTCTCTTATTCATGTCCTCTCCAGATCCCATTCTTCTTCAGGTCCCAATCTTCTTCTCACATTCATGGAAATTTCCAGCTTTTAGGGCTTCTTCTTCTCGTTAAAGTTTAATTTTTTTTTTGCTTTCGTTGTTGCAGATCTTGAAGAAGGAACCCCCCAACAGAAACAGCAATTGGAGAAGATAGCTAAAGATCTCTTTGTATCCTTCCACTGCTATTGTTCCCGTAAAGAGGTATTATTCTGAATCAAAACCCTTAAAGGTCCTAACTTTGAAAGAAAAGACCCTAATCGATTCTGCTTGAGCAGATACATTGTCGAGATATTTTGCTGGAAGACGCAGACAAAGTTAGAGCTATTACCGAATATGTTTCATCTTCCGCAATCGAAAACTTAGTCGTTGGATCTGCATCGCGTAATGGCTTCATGAGGTAATTTAATTTACCTTCTTTCAGATTCTGTTACAAAAAACAAAGTCTGTATTTTTTCAACGGATTCTGTAAATTTTGATGATTCTGAGCAGAAGATTCAAGACGGATTTGCCAACAACTGTGTCAAAGTCAGCTCCAGATTTCTGCAATGTTTATGTCATTTCAAAAGGCAAAATTGCTTCAGTACGAAATGCATCACGTCCTGCTCCTTACCAAAATTCGATGCAGCAATGTGAAATTGACAATCATCACCCACATACTCCTGACAAAGCACCAAAGCATCATGACCATTCCAATTCTGCAGGTTAGTTCATTCCTCTTTGAAAAGAATAAAAAAGTTCTTTGCTTTTTCAAAAGCTGATCCAATTTTGTGTTTCCAACAGGTAGTACACCGTCTAGACCTCGTAAATCAGTTGAAGTAGATGCTACAAGGTATAGGAATTTGAAGCTATTGAATTGGTTGATGTATTTAAGTGTAATGTCTTACATTAAGATTCAACATTTTTGTTTTTTGGTAGATCGCCGTTGATGAAAAGGAAGCCATATGGGGACTTATATGATTCAGATAGCGACCTTTCGTTCATTAGTCCGTCTTCTCATCGTGACTCTGACATTTCATTCATCAGCTCAGGGAGACCGAGCGTTGAGCGCTCTTCCTTTAGCCTTGATTTTCCTGAATCTGCAAGGACTTCGAGAATGTCAACGAGCTCAGAGCAAAGTATTGGCTCACATCGCTTGGGAATTAAGTTCAGTGATCCTGGTTTCCCTAACGAATCCTCTACATTCTCTGAAGAGAGCTGTAGAACATCCTCCTATTCCTCTCAGAGCTTGGTTAGTATTATTATTACTCAAGAACCTTCTCTTTTTCTTCTTATAAAGATTGGTTTCATTTTAGAATACTTGCTTAGATGGGATTGTGTTGTTGCAGGATGATGTTGAAGCTGAAATGAAGAGGCTGCGTCTAGAGCTGAAACAAACAATGGATATGTATAGCACAGCTTGCAAAGAAGCTTTAAGCGCTAGACAACAGGTAGTACTTAATACTAACATCAAAGTCAATGTAGTGGAAATGAGATTAGTACATTTGAATCAAATATCGTTGTTTGAACTTTTAGGCAACGGAGCTGCAAAAGCTGAGAACCGAAGAGGAGAGACGGTTGGAAGAAGCAAAGAGTTCAGAGGAAGCAGCAATGTCAATAGTGGAAAAGGAGAGAGCTAAAGCCAAAGCAGCCTTGGAAGCTGCTGAAGCTGCTAAGAGATTAGCAGAAGTGGAAGCTAAAAGAAGGTTGACTGCAGAGATGAAGACATTGAAGGAATCAGATTCGTTCTCTCGCGGATTTGTTCGGTATAGGAAATACACGGTTGAAGAAATCGAAGAAGCTACTTCAAATTTTGCAGAGTCTCAAAAGGTAGGAGAAGGAGGCTATGGGCCTGTGTTTAGAGGCTTTCTTGATCACACAAGTGTTGCTGTTAAAGTTCTACGCCCAGACGCAGCTCAAGGGAGATCACAGTTTCAGAAAGAGGTAAAAAAACAATCTTTCTTCGTTTCTTATTTTATTCAAGAATGTTTTCATCTTTGAGAAACATATGTTTATGTTTTGGCAGGTTGAAGTATTAAGCTGCATAAGGCATCCAAACATGGTGCTTCTTCTTGGAGCATGTCCAGAATTTGGGATTCTTGTTTATGAATACATGGCCAAAGGAAGTTTAGAAGACCGGCTTTTCATGCGAGGAAACACTCCGCCAATTACCTGGCAGCTACGTTTCAGAATCGCTGCTGAGATCGCCACGGGACTCCTCTTCCTCCACCAGACCAAACCTGAACCAATTGTCCACAGAGACCTTAAACCAGGAAATGTTCTCCTTGATTACAATTATGTGAGCAAGATCAGCGATGTTGGGCTAGCAAGATTAGTCCCTGCAGTAGCAGAGAACGTTACACAGTACAGAGTCACTTCAGCTGCAGGAACTTTCTGTTACATTGATCCTGAGTACCAACAAACTGGAATGTTGGGTGTGAAGTCAGATGTTTATTCGCTCGGGATCATGCTTTTGCAAATCTTGACTGCGAAACAGCCAATGGGTTTGGCTTATTACGTTGAGCAAGCGATTGAAGAGGGGACTCTTAAGGATATGCTTGATCCAGCAGTACCGGACTGGCCTATGGAAGAAGCTCTGTCTTTAGCTAAGCTTTCGCTTCAATGCGCGGAATTAAGAAGAAAAGATAGACCTGATCTCGGGAAAGAGATATTACCTGAGCTCAATCGGTTAAGAGAGATCGGTGAAGAGAGTTTAGAGAGTGTGTTTTATGCAGGAAGTCAAGGAAAGTCCCCACACACTAGCCAAGTCTCGATTTCATCATCTGTGAGTGTTTCTCTCTGAAAAATCTTTGAAAGTTTGATCTGTTTATTTTATTTTTTGTAATGGTTTTTCGTTGTTCGTAGAGTGATCCTTGTATACCGAATTCGGAATCTCCAGCTGCAGAATCTCGATCCTAGTTTTGAGATGAAGGAAGCAAATGCGGTAACTTTTTACAGAATCAGATGATCTTTCAAGTGAAGCTCTAGCACTCAGTCTGCAGGAGTCATAAAGCAAGGCAGAGCAAGTTTCTTTGTTTTGCTGAAAGAAGTTTTAGTGTGTATATACAATATAGCCTAGAGAGAATTTTGGTACAATTCTGTTAAATAATCAGTTATGTAACCCGCCTATTATTTATTAGGCCCATACCGGTTTTGAACAATCGATATTCAATACTGTATTATTAAAGAATTCGATAATGTAAAAGCCCATATCAATAGGCCCAATGGCTCAGACCGGTTTGACTCAACTGGAATTGCGGTTTTAATTTGGTTTTGAAAATAAAAAATGGTTAAACCCAGAGAGAGAGCTACAGATAAACCCTGCAACAGCTTCTTTCTTCTTCTTCCTCTTGATGTGGGTAGAAGCAAAGTATCGACCTTTGTCTTCTTCTCCATCGTGTGTATGGAGATTTTACATACCTCCTGCTATTTCGAAACCCAAACCTTGATTTCTCCTTCTCTACAATCTTGTAAATTTGGTTCCAACTCTCTCTTCTTCTCTCCTCGTCGCGTAACCTTGCTCTCGGCTTACCACCACAGTGGCCGATTCTCTGTTTCCGCCTCGTTTCAGCACGGAGATTCAAATTTGAGCTCTAATTCTTCGCAGAAAAATCACGAGGACCATACCTCTCTCGCACATAATTCAATTGCTGAGTTTCTCCGACGAGACATTGGACTCTCAGAGGCCGATTCAGATTTCATTTCTGAAAATTGTCCTAAATACACGCGAATGATTGTAGAGGGTGTTAGGGATTTGGAGGAATGGAATTCGTGGAAAGGGAGTGGAGAAGCTGAAGGAATTGAGGGTTTAGGGTTTAAGGAGAAAGTGATTTATATGGTGAAACAAAAGGGTGATGGTGGGAAAGTTGCCTTTTTGGAGAGTCTTGGTTTGAGTTTGTCTTCTGCTATGTATTTGGCTCATTACGTCTCCTCTGAATCGCTTCCCATACTTCTCCATAAGGTAATTCACCAGATTGTTCGATTTCTCTGCATCATCAAAAGAGAGTTTGGATTTGGTTTTGATTTTGGCATGGTACTTAATCTTGGTTTTGGATTATAGGTTAAGTACCTCAAGGAAATATTCTTTTCTGGCAGTGATGAGAAAGGTCTTGTTGGAAAGTATGCACGACGAATGATGCTCTACTTATCCATTCCTATTGATGAAGATGTTCAGCAAACTCTTTCCTTTTTCGAAAAGGTTTTGTGTTTCCTCGGTGATAATAGTATCTGATTTTTGTTTTTCATTCTCTATATTCTTTAGTAAGGTGAATGTTAAATGTCCATTAGATTGAAGCAAGGCGTGGAGGCTTGGATATGCTGGGCTCTGTAGATGCATCATTTAGATTTTTAATCGAGTCATTCCCTCGGCTTCTTCTACTTTCAGAAGAAAATGATATGAAGCCTATTGTAGAGTTTCTTGAAAGCATTGGTATCCCTAAATATTGCTTGGGAAAGGTACTTCTTTTGTACCCTCCTATCTTGCTCGGCAAAACTGAGGAGATCAAAAGAAGGGTAGCCGCAGCTCTGGAAAAGGTATGCTAGTTGTTTGATTGGACATAATTAGCATGGAGCTGCACTTTCTTTGTTTTCTCGTGGTTGCTGACTATTGCAAATTGGGCTTGTATAAGTTCAGGTTAGTGTAGTGAACAAGGATTCTGGAAAAGTGTTGCTGAAGTATCCGTGGATTCTCTCAACAAGCATACAAGAGAACTATTCTCACATCGTCTCATTTTTTTACAGTGAATCGGTAAGCACAATTTTGACAAGAAAGAATACATCATGTTGATCAGATAATTGGTGGTTTTGTGTTTGATAAGTTGTCTTTATCATTGTTGTTCCGTGATTGGTCTTACGAAGACATGGTTTGCTTTCTTAGGTGCTCAAAATGGATGTTGACCACGCAATTAAGAGATGGCCTTTGCTTCTCGGTTGCTCAGCGAGCAATATGGAGATGATGGTGAAGGAATTTGATAAATTAGGTGTTAGAGATAAAAGAATGGGGAAGGTTATACCCAAGATGCCTCAGCTTTTGTTATGTAAACCCCAAGAATTTCTGAAGGTAAAAAAGAAAACACTTTCCAAGATGTGTATTCCCTCATTCTATTATTGTGCAAGACTGTTTCTTTAACCACGTTATTCCTTATCTTGTAACAGGTTGTTTGCTTTTTGGAAGATTTGGGATTTCAAAAGGAAATCGTGGGTCAAATACTCTGTCGATGTCCTGAAATATTTGGCTGCAGCATTGACAAGACCCTGCAGAAAAAGCTCATCTTTCTCACACGTTTTGGTGTTTCCACTACCCATTTCCCCCGAATCATAAAGAAATACCCGGAATTTCTTATATACGACGCAGACAAAACAGTACTTCCACGGTATCTATCTTATCCCAATTAGCACATCATCTCAGTGAATCTTTCTATAGATAATGACCCTACTTTTGTAAATATATGCTCTTGCAGGCTAAAGTACTTAATGGAGATTGGGATATCGGAGAGAGAGATTGCCTTCATGATTCGCAAATTCTCACCGATCTTGGGATATAGCATCGACAAAGTGTTGAGACCGAAGTTTGAATTTCTGGTGAACAGCATGGAGAAGCCGGTTAGAGAGGTAATAGAATACCCGAGGTACTTCAGTTACTCGCTGGAGAAAAGGATAAAACCGCGGTTTTGGGTACTCAAAGGGAGGAACATAGAATGTACATTACAGGAAATGTTAGGCAAAAACGATGAAGAGTTTGCTGCTGATTTCTTGGGTTTAGGAGAGCTTCAAACTCACAGTGAAACCTCTTAGTTTATATTTATAGGCCAAAAGTTTCTTTGAGAAAATCACTATGTAATGAGATTGGTGATATCTCCGAAGCCTCTTCAGTTTTGTCTGTTTGCATTGTTCATATAACCGCTAGTGTATGTACTTACTGTTCTTGTATACAAATTCCTAACTTCTTTTTATCAAAAAAAATCAGCTCATGTGTATAAGAAGTGTATGAATTGTCTTCGAGAGGTTTGAAAATATTCCTACCATGTTTTTTGAATCAATAAAACAGAACCGGTTTATTGAAAATTAAGAAAACAAAATTATGAAAAATATGCCGAATTTTCTCTCTGGAAACGGTTTCTCGCATTTTTTTTCTTTCTTTTTCTGAAACTGAGGAAACTGTATGCGAAGATGTTCATATTCTGAAAATTCACAGAAAATTTATTTGTCTCTTCTTTACGTTTGATAAAACATGATTGCTGAGAAAATGATTGGAGCGAGTCACTGATTAACGTTTTAAGCAAAAATGGGAAACGCTATAGGCAAAGCATCAACTGACATCGGAGGTTTTATCGGGAATATTTTCACAGCACCGTTTAAAGCCACACTTGGAAGATCCTGTTTGTAAGATTTTCACTTCACTGTCTGAATTCTGTCGTGAAATCGTTGGTTTGGTTGGTTTTCTATCGCCTGTTTTGAGGATTTCTCTTCTTCACTTTTTTCTTAATTACAGAGATGTATGTTCGGGACCATGGGATCTTGCATGTTTCATAGAACATTTCTGTCTTCCTGATATTGCGAAGCTGGTGCTCATGTCAAGCCTCTGTTTCATAAGTAGACCTTTCTTTTATTTCCGATTTTTTGCAATCACTATGGATTCTGTCAACTTTCCTTTGTTTTGTATAATTTGTATTTGTTTCTTTTTTTCAGTTTTGATGTTCATCACCCTCCTGTTCAAGCTTGGAATTTGCCAGTGTGTTGTTAAAAGCATCTGCAAAATGTCATGTGCCGCTTGTGCAGCTTACTGGTTCGCCATTGGAGAGATGGTTAGTTGCTTGTGGCACAGTTTGACCAACATAAAACGGGTCCGCCGTCGTAGAGAACGTCTCGGTGATATAGAAGCTACGAGATATGATTACCCAAGTGATGGCGAATCAAGTTCATCGGACAGTCCCAGTCGAATAAACAACATTAGACCAAAGCAGAGAAGAAGAAGACTAGGAAGCAAACACAACCACCACCATCAAGGCAGCAATCGCAACAACCGCCGCCTCATAAGACTATCGAGTAGACAATTGTCTGTACGAGTTGGAGGCAAATCAAGAAGAGTAAGAAGAAGTGCAAGAAAGATAAAATCGAGGAGAGTTAAGATCATAGGAGTCAAAGATGTGGTTGATTAAAATGTCTCTAGAATTCCTTAAAGAGTGTCTCTAGTCTCTCTAAACTCAAAAACAGAATTATCTCATTTATTCAGATAAAATGAAACACAAAACCATTAATCCTTGTGAATAAGTTTTCAACCAACCTCTCTCCCTCTCTATTTGTATATGTGCAAGAGAGTATATAAGCCGGGATGGATAAGTAACGGTTCACTTTCAGAGGAAAACCGGAGCCATGACGAGAGTTATAGTCGCGAGCATTTTTATGAGGACATGAATGGATGGACCGGCTGTGTCCTTGAACGGATCTCCCACGCTGCAATTTTCAGATGATTTCTAATGAGAACGCATTTGGGAATATAACTTTGAATGACTTTTGAAGTAGAACGAAAATACTTACGTATCACCAGTCACAGCTGCTTTGTGGGCTTCACTTCCTTTTCCCCCAAGTGCCCCAGTTTCTATGTATTTCTTTGCATTGTCCCAAGCCCCTCCCGCCGTGTTTAGGAAAAGTGCCATTAAGATACCACAAACTGTTGCAAACATGAGCATAGAAGCTACAACTTTTGCTCCGAGCAGAGGTTGTCCTGTGTAGTAACCCAAGATCCGAAACACCAAACCTGAGAGAAAACAAGAGGTTTGTTTTTGGTCACGATCTTGTGGTTTCACTTTCAATACAGGAAGAACAGAAAAAAGAGTAAACATTACTGACTTACCAACTACAATGGGTGATGCAATAGCTAAAGCTCCTGGCTTTATCATTTCCCTTAAAGCTGCAGATGCGACAATGGCGACACAACGACTATAATCTGGCTTCTCCTTGTACTCCTGCAACAAGATATTGGTTTTGCTAGTCAACAACGGTACAAGCCAATACACAAGAAAAGGGGAAGCACTCAGAAGGAAAAAAAATATGCTCACCATTATGCCAGGCCTCTCAATAAATTGTCGTCTTACTTCGTTGACAACCTCTTGTGCAGTTCGACCAACTGCCGCGCATGCCCAAGCACTAAAGAGGAAAATAAGCATGGAACCCAATAATCCACCTACGAACACTTCTGGGATAGCAATATCAACCTGATTTGATCCGAGGATGAGCGTGAGAAGTTGTCTCAACATCGGGAATACAGCAAAGATGCATAATGAAATTTACCTCTTTGAAAGACACATTAGCAAACGCTGAAACCTCGTCCATATACGCACTAAAGAGAAGGAATGATGCAAGTGCAGCAGATCCAATGGCAAACCCTTTCGTTGTTGCTTTTGTGGTGTTCCCAACAGCATCAAGAAGATCAGTGATCTCACGGACACTTTCTGGCTGCACGAAACATGTATTATTTCTACATAGAATAAGATGGAACATAAGAGACTTTCAAGCCAATCATGTGACATCTTACCTGCTGGCTCATCTCGACAATCCCACCAGCGTTGTCAGCTATGGGGCCAAACATGTCCATAGTAAGGACATAAGCTGCAGTGCTTAGCATTCCCATTGTAGCAACGGCTGTTCCAAATAGACCTCCAGTGGGAATGCCATTTTCGTCCACTAGTCCCGAGGTATTGCCCAGCCAATACGCAGAAATAATAGCTACACTTATAGTCAAAACTGGAAGAGCAGTTGATTCGAGGCCCAAGCTGACCCCAGCAATGATATTAGTCCCATGACCAGTCGAGCTAGCAAGAGCCAACGTTCGAACAGGCTCGTGTTTATAGTCTGTATAATATTTGGATATCCAGACAAAGATATAGGCTGTGATGATGCCAACCAACCCACAGAGGGCGAAATTGAACCATGCAGATGGAGCTTGTTCAGTGTAAAGCAGCCAGCGAGTCGACTACAAACATAAATAATGCTGTCAGAAGAATATAGCCAAAAATTTGTTCGAAATTACAGTAATAACAAGGATTTCACTAGCGTAGGCTAATGAAAAGTCTGAACCAAAAAAACCCACAAAAAGCAGAACTAATTGTAAAAAGAACGAAAGGAACAAGACAATCAATGGTTTGTGTGTACATTACCGCGCCAAATGTCAAAACAGCTAATATAATAGTCAGAGAATATCCTTTCTGAAGTACAGCCATTGGATCCTCTACCGGAGATTTCACACTAGCATCACGTGTTCCCTTGATTGATAGAATACCAATTGATGATATAATCAAGTCAAAAGAATGAACAACTAGAGGAAAAAGGATAAAGCCTGATGGATCTGCGTAATAGAGAAAGATTTGAGTAAGTATCAAGCATGAACAAGAGGTTTAATAGGATGTTTATCAGCACATATTTAACAACCACGGCTAGAAATGGTCAGGTAATGTTATTGAAAAAATTCGACTGCAGTCAAGTGTAACTTGCTAAAAGAGTCATGAAAAGTAGTCTTCCTTCAATCTTCACATTATGCATAGCAGGTTCGTACAAGGTGTTTAAAGCAATAACTCTATACAACTTATGTCTACTTTTTACATCCTAATAAGTAACAATGTACCCTCAAATCCTCAAGGAGTGACCAACATGCAATAAGCGTAGATTATTTTTCTGTATACAGAGTGTAATTTATGAGCTTGAACTCTCTACACAACTCTTCCTAAGTTTGCATTTCAGATCATAAAATCCTAGCAGTTCAGTTAATTTTCTCAGCATAAGTCAGGAACTCAAACCATACGTTATATATTTGCATGTACCAGAAGTAACTTTAAAGAGAGATGGCCCACCTTCAATTTTGCACTTCTTAGCCATTGTTCCACCTAGTATCATTGCACTGATGATTTCTGCAGCTATACTTTCAAACAAATCAGCACCTCTAGCAGCACAGTCCCCCACATTGTCTCCAACCTACAAGAAGATGAAAATGGCTTTAAATGCCTAAATAACGAAAACACAAAGCAAACCCTTATTCAACTTTTAATATGCTGGGTATACTGTAGAGTGATATATGCCCCAAACAAGGATGTCATGTTTGGAAATCACAGATAATCAAGAAAGTAAGAACCAAAAAGGGCAAAGATAAAATACCAAATCAGCAATAACAGCAGGATTTCGAGGATCATCCTCAGGAATTCCCTGCTCAACTTTCCCAACGAGATCTGCCCCAACATCAGCTCCCTTAGTATATATTCCACCACCCAACTGAGCAAATAAGGCAACAAACGAAGCACCAAAACCATATCCCACGAGAAGAAGAGGCACTGTAAGAGAAACAGAAAATTCAATCAATAAATCTAACAAGTCAATAACTCCACTATCGCCCATGCAAATGCAAATTCTGGTCAATACATCAAGAGAAATACATATAGGGTTGACTGAAAATCTTAGAACTGTTTTGGTACCCCACCTCATATCAACACAAGTCATGACATATTTAAGAAAATACTGCTCATGTCTGAAAATGATCCTTTGAAAAGATAAAAATAACTTTTTGAAACTCAGAATAGTGATTATAGAATATGCACACAAGATGAAAATGAATATTTTTCATAGAAAGCAGAGCAGAAGACTTACGGTCAGTAACATTCATTGAGCCTGGTGAATCCACGCCCAACCAAACATAAAATGTAGAATAGAGGATGGCTATACCAATCACAGCCATACCAACAACAACCAGAGCTGAAAACCCACCAGCACGAACGGCTATCTGCATTATATCTGCCACTTAGTATTTGGAAACATATACATGTCGTGTTACCAAAATAGCTAAACTAAAGAAGAACCTGCAATGCTTCTCTCGCAGATCGTCTGGCAGCACTGGAGACCCGCACATTAGCACGAACTGACACCCACATTCCAACATATCCAGCAATACCTGAGCATAGAGCCCCCAAAAGAAATGCAGCAACAGTAATATAGGCAGACATCGCCCTGCAGCGAAATAGTAATATGGCTAAGCATTCAAAAGATGAAATAAATCTTGTGACTGTAATCATGTATCAGTACCTTCCTAAACCAGCAGCCTCTTGCTGGGGAGTTAAGCTACGGAATAGATATATGCAAAGAATCACAAAAGCTAGCAAGATGGCCATCTTGGATATAGTGCTATACTGCGTTCTGAAAAACCCTTCAGCTCCATCACGTATAGCATCTGATATCTATAAACCACACAAATTAGAATTAAGAAAGTTTGATGAGAACAAGGAAGAAAAGATGTCAACATCATGACTAACACTACATGATTTGAGTGAGCTTACCTCAACCATCTCTGGAGGTCCTTCATCTTTCGCTAGAACCCACTTGGTTAGATATATTGACAAAAGAAAGCTGATGATGCATACTGTGAAGACGAACACGATGATGGGAGAAGTACTTGCTCCTATGTAGAAGATCGCTCCAAAGCAGAAAAGCAGAATTATCGAAAGGACACGGACATTTAATTTCCTAAGAATCCGGAATATCTGCCAAAGAAAACAACAGAACTTTAAACAATTTCAAAGAAAAGAAAAACGAGATGCTCGAGAAACTAAGATGCTAAAAGGATAAGAAGGAAACCAGTTATAACATCACACAAGTTTTTTTTTAAACGCATCTCTGCAACCAATAAGAAAAGCACTCTAGAAAGAGAGGAATAATAGTTTTACCAGTGGACTATAGGTTTTACTACGCATGTTGGGAAAAGCCCTAGGCCTGTCATTGAAAGACATCAAACTGGCCTGCTCAACATCTTCATCCATCATCATGTTTTGAGCTGAATTTGCCCTTCGGACTATGGGTAGAGGCGTAAAATCAGTGCTATGGGGCAACTCAGCCCCAGAACTCGGACGCTGAATGTTGATACACTACAAATATTTTTCTCCAAATGTTAACAGCACATCCAAAAACGGACACAAGTTAGTATGAACCCTCTTAACTCTAGCTATATCGTGATTCCAGCTTCTTCAAACTTTCTCAGTAGAGTTGCCACAACAAAGTTCCCACTATAAACACAATTTCTGAAAAAAAAAATAGAAAAGTATTAAGTTGTGATGTTTCTCTTTACCTACCAAATAGCATTTTCAAATTTAATAAAATCAGACTCATCAGAGTAAGGTTCTACAGTAAGAGGTTTAGCTATATTTTTAATCGATTTCCCATTAGCGTAATTGCTTCTACGATCAATTCCCCAGAAAAGCGCGATTAACAAACAGCGCATGAGACCTCAAGATCTAATCGACTAAGATTTTACTGAAATAAAAAACGCAAGGGACTTTGCATTCCCGCTTAATGAATCGAACATCATTACTTCAATCGAGAAATCGCATTAGATCTGTCTTCCGTACTAAGAGAAATTCACATGATCTCTAGACAGGAAATGGATACGTGACCAGAGGCGAATCAACGAAAAAAAAAGAAACATACGAAGAGTTTCTCCGGAAACAAACCCTAAAATTCGGTAAAAAACAGAGAAGATGACGACTCCGGTGAGTGATCAGAAGGAAAGCGCCATTAGCGAAAGCGCCATTAGCGAAAGCTTGTCCTAGCCGAAGAAGCGCTCTCTCCTCTCTCTCTCTCTCTCTGTCTCCGTTCTAAATCCGAAGACTTTTCAGAAAACTTTCGGAATATTTTTTTCCTAAGTTAATTTTGCTACTACTTTTTTATTTTCACTCCTCAGTGGTTCAATACTAATTTTATGACACATCCTATCCAATGAATCGTTGACACTTAATCACTATTCTCACTTAACATTAAATCTCGTTTGTGATTTATATAGTAAAACACCCATCAATTTTTAAATAATTTACATTGGGTCATCGAATTTACCCGGCCCGTTGTATGGGCCTAGCCCAAAGTTATGTTGTGCCATTCGGCCCATATAATAAGACAATTCTGCAAAGTAAAGAAGAACCACTAACGTTATCAGTACCTTACGGGTCCGATCACGGAGCTCGCCTTTCATCGTCAATCTCCGGCGGACGAATATCTCTTCGTATCCTTGTACGTGATTCTACTTTGAAAGCAGAGGATGTTGATGACACTAGCGGCGGCGACAACTGCTGTTTCATTTAACTCAAAGATTCTCGTGTTTAGAATTCGTTGCTCGGATTCTAATCCTAAACGTGGCTTTGGCTCTAAAAAGGTTTGATTCCAGAAATTCTTCGTTTTATGAGCTTTTGAGTGCTTCCAGTTAATTTACAAATGATTTGATTAATTAAAGTACTGAGACAAAAATGTGAAATCGCATCACAGGAAGAGAAAGACCCGGCATTGCAGCAAAGGTACAGTTTTTGTGTTTGTTTTAAGCATTTAGAATTTTTAATTGCTGTTATATTTTCATTTGAGACTTCTTTGCTGCAGGAAATCATCTTCTAAACAGTCTGTTTCGGTACCAAGAAGTAAGTAGTATAATTTTATTTAAGGCATATTTTCAGTAACAGATGTTGTTGCTGCTCTCCTTCATGGTGTCTGGAACATAACTTCCTTTTTTGCATTCTTCCGTTTTGCATTTGTTTGCAGAGGCACCTGGTCTGAATACTCAATTTGAAGGAAAATCTGGTCCATCTTTCGATATTGACTTCGAGGAACGACTCGAAAACATCAGAAGGTACATTTTTTTTTATGATTCTAGCATGAAGATTGGCTTTAGAGAAATATCGGTTACAATAGGATTACTTAGGAAAAGAACCTGAAACCTCTGATGGCCCTCATTTTTCCGACCTCTGATAATCACACTTGACTTTCTCAATTTTACCCACAACGACATGATCTTCCCTTGATTTGATTCTTTTTACCCACAACGACATGATCTTCCTATGAAAAGGTTGATTCTTTTTTTTTTCTTGATTTGTTCATCACTTGTCTTGCTTCCCACTTCCCTCACCCCCTAGACATAGTCCAGATAGATCATTGTCCTCCCACTGGTATGGAATTTTTTTCTGTGACCTCTGCTCTTTTGATGAACCAGGTCAGCTCTTGAGCAGAAAAAGACTGAAGTAGTTAAAGAATTTGGTCCAATTGACTATGATGCACCAGTCAAGTCTGACCAGAAAACAATTGGTCTTGGTACTAAGGTACACATACATAACATCTTGCAAGTGTGTATTTTTTCTTTTGTTCTAAACCCTCTTGAGGCCTATAAGGTACTCATACATAATATCATGAAAAACCTTGGTCCCATGCCATGACAGGTTGGAGTTGGCATAGCTGTTGTTGTATTTGGTTTGGTTTTTGCTCTTGGTGACTTTCTTCCCACGGGAAGGTGCGTTATGTGTAAGATGACTCATAAGATATTTTGATCTGATCACAGTTTTAAGCAGCTTTATCTAATGAAGGCAGCTTCAAGTCCAAGTACTGTGTCATTTACTGCTTGTCCTTTTCTTCTTTTTATTCCAGTTTGTAATTGTTTATGTAAAGTTTCTGATGACATCATATGTTTTAAGGATCAACTGGGTTGGTTTCCGTGATTCACATTTTTGCCATACCAAGTCACGTTGTCAGGTGATTTAGCCGGTCTCAGTGTTAACAATGTTTTTTTCCACTTTTCAGTGATAGTCCAACTAAGAACACAACAGTAGTCAAAAATCAGATCTCAGAAGAAGAGAAAGCCACGCTTCAGGTAGTATAAGGGGCTGATGTCTTTTTCATGAACTTTGACAATTTGAATAATGCAAGAGACGTAGTAAACCTCTCGAATTTTTTAATTTTGTCAGCAAAGGCTCAAAGAGTTTGAAACAACTCTCAATGGCACTCCTAACGATCAAGCTGCTCTGGAGGTGAGTGAAGACATGCATATATTGTGCATTTAGGCATTCATCTCCCTGTAGGCTGCCAATAATAACAGGAACAACTTAAACTAATAATCTGGTAGCTAAGGATTAGGAAAAAAATTTAAAATGCTTTTGGTTCCAAAAACTTAGTATCCGTTTTTTTCTCATTTTCACCTATTTAAACAATTCAGACCTCTATTTTTATTTTTTATTTTTTGTTCTTCTGGAATGAGTCGAATCTCCACATATCTTGAATTGCATGAAACTTTTTTTTGTTTGCATTAACCGAAGTTGTTAACGCACACATAGTAAGCTGAAAACAAGTTGGGCTTCCTCTTCTGACTTAGTTATAACGCTGAAATTTCTTAAAGTTGGGGTACTATGCAGGGCGCAGCTGTGACACTGACTGAACTTGGAGAGTATTCCCGGGCTGCTGCGTTTCTTGAGAAACTGGCTAAGGTTTGTTTCTGCCATACTTTTATCTTTCATTATGTCAAGTCATTCATTTCACAATAACATGCTGATACGAGACTTAGCTAATAGTGCACAAAGTGGGATTCTTGCTCTGTAGGAGAGACCAACTGACCCTGATGTATTTCGACTGCTTGGAGAAGTAAATTATGAACTTCAGAACTATGAAGGCAGTATCGCTGCATACAGAATTTCTGAAAAGGTAAATGCTCTCAAACTTCGTGGACTAAGCTTTTTTAATATTTCTCACTTGCATCATTGAGCTAATAGTACAGATTAAGATTGTCGGAAGAATTTTCCCATGGTGACATAAGATTGAACATATGCCTATAGCTGCTACTACCATGTATATGTTGTTAACAGAGTTAGGACAGTCAATTTTGCTATCCATAATAGTGATGGTCTACCTTTTGTTCTAATTACCCTAGGTTTCTAAAGGGATTGACCTTGAAGTCACACGAGGCCTCATGAACGCGTATTTAGCTGCGAAGAAACCAGACGAGGTAAATCTGTTTCCACCAGATATGAATAAAAATATGTTAACTTTTTGTCTACGAAGCTTAATCATAAATACTCTCAACTTCTCCTCCGATCCATTTCTTTTCACTTTTGTTATGATTCTCAGGCAGTCAAATTTCTTCTAGACACTCGTGAACGTCTGAATACAAAGAAAACAAGCACATCAGACAGTGTTACAGATGAAACAAATCTAGACCCAATTCAGGTAACTTGGTTTCCTAGTAATGGACTCTTAACATATTAGTCTGGTCATGACAATACATTTCAATACAGTTCCTTGATGAAATAGACATTTCTTCTTGTTTCTGATGGCTTATCTGTTTCATATTTTACGTCCGAAGAAACCAGATACAATTATGATAGTATACTACCAAGATCTATACTAGGCTCAGTTTTGTGCTTTTATCTCTAACCGGTTTTTAACGTTGGGGGCAATATTTGCTCAGGTTGAGTTGCTTCTCGGAAAAGCTTATTCAGACTGGGGACATATCAGCGACGCCATAGCTGTTTATGACCAGCTAATCAGTGCTCATCCTGAAGACTTCCGAGGCTACTTGGCTAAGGTAAATTTCTCGTTCGTCCCCACCTCAAGAAGTTGAGTCACTCGATATACTTGCCATAAACTCCATGTGAAATGGTGTTGTAGGGAATTATATTGAGAGAAAATGGAAGCAGAGGAGATGCAGAGAGAATGTTCATCCAGGTGAATCATTTGAATTCATTAAACCTTCTTCATTCCAAAACAAGTCCAAATGAGTAAAAAAATATGACAAAGCACTCAATTTGTTAATGTGTGTAGGCACGCTTTTTTGCACCAGATAAAGCTAAGGCCCTTGTGGATAGATACTCCAAACTGTGATCACTATCTGATTCTGTGTGTATATATATATTTGTCTGTTTATTTTTATGATTTTGATTTTATCACTCTGTTTTTACACGAGACAAATTCACTTCATCTTTAATTGGACCGAGTCTAAACATCATGGTTACTGGTAAATATCCTGATGATGAATATTGACTGAACTAGGAGAGTATTCGCGGACTGCTGCGTTTCTTGAGAAATTGGCTAAGGTTTGTTTCTCCTATACTTTTCTAGTATCTTAAGTCGATCTTCATATGGTTGCAAAATAGCTACACCAAATATGAAGACATTAAGTTCCAACTGATCTTCATATGGCTAGGCATTGAAGCTACAAACCGCAAGAGATCTGGTTTATCAATGATTCCTGTGTAAAGCGGCTCTGTTTCCTGTTGGTTCAAGACATGGAGAAACTTGGCAATGTTTGGAAGTACCATTTCCCGGCAATGGAGATGTAACAAAGGAACTTTTGACAAAACGCTTCCCTTTTGGACATCAAGCCCTTTTGGTCTGCGCAGTTTATATGGTTTCCCAGTTGTTGGTTCGATATCAACCTGAGGCATCTGTTTCCATCTCTTGTGAACAAACCAACCGTACTTATAATCCCCCACTATCGGAGTACCAAGTGCTTCAGCGCAGTGTACACGTAGCTGTTTTTTAGAAGGTGGCTTGATCAAGAGAAAACAAGAACAAAATCTTTCGCAAAGCTGGTAAAGAGGATAGCAAAGTTTAATAAGTACCTGATGCTTTCTGCTAGTAATAGGACGAAGTTCTAACCATGAACACCCGTTGATCATAGGTCCCAACACTCTATACTCTGTTATTGCTTCTTGCGAAGCTTCAAAACCCGAACCCTGAGCCAAAACCACCCTGTCTGTTTTACCATCGTCCAAAAGCACCTAAAAACAGGTTTTTGAATCATTTTCAGATACAAGCAGTGTGTAAGCAAGCAAAAGTTATAATGAGATAACTACCTTTGAAAGAGGAGCTGAAATTAGTCCTTCTTTTTTCTTTGGAGAACCAATCACCAATGCCCAATATTGCTGATACATGGCTTCACACGCTTTGTTCCAAGCCTAGGATTGTGCAATATTTACGAGTCACTTAACAATTTTATGCTCAACCTTTCCTTACTAGACCGTAGTGTGTTTGGTTCAGAATTTCAGATAAGTCCTTGTTACCTTACAGCTTGAGTTTCTCCCCTTGTAATCACTGAACACTGAGTGAAGATAATCTATACTTTCTTTGGATCGACCCATTACTAAGAGGCCGCTAGTTTCCCTATCAAGACGATGTACCTGACCATTGAAACTCAAATAAGTCAGAACCAAATCGATTTATCAAGATAACTGAAAATACCCCCCAAAAAAAGTGAGTTTACCAATCTAGGACCTTCATCTTTACCAAAAGACAAAGCTGCAGCTGCAAGTGCATCCATGCTGTTATGTATAGGCACATTTCCCTGAAACAAAGAATGATAACTGAGTATGCAGCTGCTGCTTAATCAACAAGAGAAGGTAACAGCTTACTTCCATGAAGTCATTTTGCAGGAGCAAATAGAAAACTCTATTACCTTGACTGGAAGCTTAGGTGGCTTATTAAGAACGATAATAGCAGAGTCCTCCAGTAGAGAGAAAAATAAGGTTAAAACTTGTATATAAGATCAAGGAAAAGAGACCAATCACTGTTTGAAAGCATGTGTAAAACATCCGCAAATCCAGAAGAGTAGAGAATTACCTTAAACCTGACAAGCCTTTGAAGATATGCGATTTCGTCTGCGTTTGGATACAAGGTTCCACTTGGTATAGTGTCATATCTCTTAGAAATCCTCATCTCAGCGATTGACACCGGCAACCAGATTTTATCTCCTATTTCCATTACCTCGTTATGCTTAATCTGCAGATAAAAGTGTGCAATGCTACCTCCATTAGAAAACCTATTCCTAGGAAATGATCACACCAACAACACGAAGAAGAACAAAGATCAATTATACCTTTCTCATAGGAATAGCTCCATCTTCTTTCTCTCTTGAAGTATCCCTACGACCTCGAAACTCCATCTGAACCTGTCACAAAGGTAAACCCCAACAAGCAGAAAAATAAACTAAAGTGAATACAATTGAAGGTACATGGAGGGAAATTCATCTTGAAGGTCTCTAATAGAAAGAGAAAATAGCACAAATGTTAAAATATATTCACGGAGTCTATCTGAATTTCATTAGACAAATGTGATGATTCAAAAGAAGCTCAATCAAAAATTTGATCACAAGTAATGAAAAGTTTTACCAGAGACACTCACAAGGCCCTTTGTGAAATGAGTTTGAATAGCCTTATCATGGATTTCTTCGAAATAGTACTTCACCCAGCTTATGGCTGTGACGTGGCCGCTATCTCCCTCGTCGCCGTCAACTCCGGCGTTTTTGCCAGGTAACGGATAACCGGGGAATGGCGGCAGCGATATCAGCTGACGTGGCAATGGTCCTTGCTTCGGTGGTCCCAGGTGTGCTATGTTGTTTGTCACGCGGATCACCGACGATGGCGGTGGAGCGACTCTCGAGTACCGCCGAGTTACTACGCCCAGGAAAATCTGACGGAAGCATGTCTTGGCCTTCCACATGGGGGTGTTTATCAGAAGACTGGAGGACTCTGTGTCTAGGTCAGAATGCCGGCGGTTCTTCGCGCGCTACGGCCGAAGATGACGAAGAGAGAACGAACCGGGGAATGCCAAAATGGGCCTGTTGGGCTTTCATTTCTTACTCATTGATGCGTCGATCCAACTCGGGTCGTGCTAACTGCTAAACAAAATTCATGGTCTACTCCACCAGCCTATCGTCACGGTTCAGTTAACCACTATTGAGTGCTAAACAAAATTCATGGACAACTAAATTATTTTGTGATTTTACAATTTTTCTCTTTAATTACCGTTTTATGTTTTACACCAAACCATAAAATAGAAAAAAAGAGTACAAAATGATGGTATTTATTATGAGAAAAATAACTGTATCCCCAATAGGTTTGGACATTATAATTAACTTATTGAATTGAGAGGGTACATCAAATCAAATATATGACTCACATTGGCTGTACCTTATTACCATCGAAATAAAAAACATAAAAACAACGAATCAAACATATTACACAGCACAGCACAGCCGGAGAATCATGACGCTCACAGAGCTATAACTCAATCGATCGAACAAACCGATAAATAAAATACCGACCACTATGATAGTTGTTGGTTCAAAAACACAAGAAAGAGAACATGAATGAAACCCTCTTTCTCCAAAAACAACCCAATTCTGTGGATTTTTAGAATGCGGTGGAGACCGACAGCTTACCGAGTTTCATCCTCCAAGGCACGGAATCCAGCAGTGAGATCGTCATACAATTTCTTAAATTTTGCCACCAGTGTATCCTCACCTTCTGCTGGGTCTTCGAACTTCTGAGACCTGTAGTTTCCATATTCCGTTTCATACCATTTTATTAGAGCGCTAAGCAACAGATTCATGGAAAAAAACGAGGGGAAACAAGTAGTTCACTTACACTAAACGGTAGAAAAGATCTCCCAAGCGATGCTTGATGAGAGTGTAAGTAATCTTTTGACCGTCCATTCCAGCTGCTCTCTCAACCGCCTGTGTATCAACAACATTTGAGACCGTCTTACATTTAATGGGATTTTATCGAATATAGACAAACCAATTTACCTAAATCCCCACTTAGCATAGTAGAACATTTATGAATTTTCTCATCTTATTTACCTGGTTGGCTAGGTTGTAGAAATGGATAATGTTACGCATCATCCAGACCGACTTGTAGAAAGGGCAGTATTTGTCATATCTATCAAAGATCATCCAAAGAGTTCAAGAGTAAAACAACCTGCTGAGAGAGAAAGAGAGAGATAACTAAAGCAAAGCGAAGGGAGCCAACAAATCTTACGGTGTAAACGCGTTTTGAGCAAGGTAGTCTTCCCTCAATAGCTTAGCTGTTTCCAAGGTGATTTTGTCACCTTCTGCTAGCGCATCTTTTCCTACAAGCTGCACCCAAAGCATAATGTGTGGGTTAAATAAGTTCCTTACATGTATAGCTTGAGTGCCTTTCTTCTATAGCTTAAGTCAAGTTTAGAATGCCAAGATTATCGTTCAAAACCTCCTTAAATGTATTTGGATCGCTAAGAGACAAGAGTTCATCAGTCACAGTATTAGGTACCTATACAAGGATAAGTGACACGTACCTGGACAATTTCATTAAGATCGTCTTCCCTCTGCAACACCTCTCTGGCCTTTGTCCTGATGGTGATGAAATCTGGATCAAACTTTTCATAGAAAGTTTCCAAGGCCTGAAAAAAATACAAGCAGCTTTTTATAGATAGAAGAACTTCAAGATAGTAAACCAAGACAGGTTTGAAGAACACCGAGAATTTTTAAGCATACCGTTGAATACTTAGAGTAAGAAATCAACCAATTAACAGAAGGAAAATGTTTTCTCTGGGCAAGCTTTTTGTCCAAACCCCAGAAGACCTGCAGGAAAAAAAGAAATCAACCAAAATGGATGAGTGAGCGATTCAAAGCAGAGAAAATGCTTACATATACAAGTCTACGGCAGATCTAAACTAAACACCATCTGGTTCATCACATAAATGAATATGTAAATCTACAATAGACGAAAGGGGAGCAGCCATGAACCAACAATCACCTGCACAATACTAAGGGTTGCCGAAGTCACAGGATCTGAAAAGTCTCCTCCAGGAGGTGAAACAGCACCAACAATTGTGACACTTCCATCACGTTCTGGTCCACCGAGACATTTTACTTTACCAGCACGTTCATAGAAAGATGCTAAACGTGCTGCTAGATAGGCGGGATACCCACTGTCGGCAGGCATTTCAGCCTAGAAAACAAAGCAAAATAGGTGTCAATAAACTGAGAAAAAGAGAAGTGAGACGAGGACAACACAAACATCCATACAGCAAAAGTGAAACGCAAAATATTACCAGCCGTCCTGAAATTTCTCTTAATGCTTCTGCCCAACGGGAAGTTGAGTCTGCCATCATACTAACATTGTATCCCATATCTCTAAAATATTCAGCGATTGTGATTCCTGGAATTCACATTACAGAAATAAAAAATGAGCATCATAATTTAAAAAGTCTGTCACTGGAAGATGGGAAATGGGCTTCATCAAAAACTATTATATCTGCGTACCTGTGTAAATTGAGGCTTCACGAGCAGCCACAGGCATGTTAGAGGTGTTGGCAACAAGTGTAGTACGTTTCATGACAGATTCCTCACGGCCATCAGGCAATGTCATTGTCAATTGTGGGAAGTCCATAAGAACCTAATTTATGAGAAACCATCAGATCAAATGTCTGATTTGTTTGAACAATATGCAGATTCAGAATGAGAAGAGATATATACCTCAGCCATTTCATTTCCTCTCTCTCCACAACCAACATACACAACAGCATCGGAGTTGGAGTACTATGTATATAAGAACAAATCAGCTTTAAAAATTCAATATATCCAGTAATTAAGTGGGACAAAACCAGAGTGTCACAACCTACCTTGGAAAGTGCCTGACTGATAACAGTTTTCCCACAGCCAAAAGCACCAGGAATGGCACAGGTTCCACCAAGAACTGAAGGGAAAAGGGCATCAAGGACACGCTGACAACAGGAAAAGAAAGCAATCAGCGACACACATCTTCAAGTGACTATCACCACTGTAAGAAAAATTAATCGAATCATCACCTGCCCCGTAAGTAGAGGAGTATCGGCAGCAAGCTTTGATGCAACTGGCCTAGGCGTACGTACAGGCCAGCTCTGACATATTATGAAGCAAAACAATTTAATAAAGTGAACAAAATAGCTTAAAATTTATGCTTGCAAGTAGGAAGGTTAAAGATACATGCAAACCTGAAGCATGGTGTAAGATTTCTTGATACCCTGGAACTCAAGCTCTATCACTGTATCCTGTGAAATAAAAATCACCGACAAACAACCATGAGCAACAAGCCAAACATGATCTCCAAAGGGAAGAGTTTACCAATTGATCAAGTTAGCCATATATTAACTCAAACGTTGAAGTCAGAGAAATCCAGGAAAGAAAGAGTTTGAAATGTATTTAATCATAATTGTTTGAGGGAAACTTAAACTCAAACCTTAAGGGAATATTGACCAGCTGGAGCAATGTAAGTGATCTTCCCCATGGCATCAGGAGGAAGGGCAACATGGTGATTCATCAAAGTGTTCTCAAAGACAGTCTGCATTCCGAAGTTATATTTGACTTTCAGAAAAAACTATTCCCAGTGTAAACAAGGGAAGCACCACAGTAACAGTGTAAAAGGATTCCCTTGCCAAAAGCAGTTTAAAGAGGAAACCAATAAACTTACAGCATACAAGTCACCACCAGTTATTGTGTCTCCCTCGACTGCAAACAAGTAGAATTCAGTTGACCATCAAGATTAAAACCATATGAACACTTCCGTAGACAGGTATCTGGAGTAAAACACATTACCAAATTTATTGGGCTGGAACTCCCAAGGACAATCTTTGTCAAGAGCTGGGACAGACACACCACGAGGGATGTACACATCACCGGATATTCTTGCAATAGTCTTCAAAGGCCTCTGTGACATTTAAAGAAATGAAACCAAAGAATCGTGAGATATTTCCCAGCTCTTGTAATGGTAAAACGAATCATAAAAGTCAAAACTTCATGTCTGGCAAGATTATAAATCCAACTGAACCTGAATTCCATCGAAGATATTTCCCAGTATTCCTGGCCCGAGCTCCACAGAAAGTGGCTGTAGTAAATTCAGGACAAAATATATGTTAGCTACGGGCGAACAACACTAGAGAAAACCAAGATAAATAACTCGCGAACCTTGTGTGTTCGAAGAACGGGGTCATTAACTGTCAATCCAGCTGTTTCCTCGTAAACTGATAAAAAGGAAGTTGCCAAATATCAGTTAAGATATCTTACTTCCACAGAAGTCCAGATGCAAGTATTTGACAGATAAGATAAAGCAGTAAAGTAAATTACAATAAGAGAAGAAACAAACCTTGGATGGTGGCAGAATCTCCTTCAAGACGGATGATTTCACCAATCAATTTATCATGCCCAACACGCACTAACTCATACATAGCAGCACCGGCCATACCATCGGCGACAACAACAGGCCCTGAAACCTGCATCCCAATACTTGTATATTACCAATCTGATTACGAAAAATGATTTTGACAAAGAAATGTCAAATCACAGAGAACTATCAGATCAGATCAGAAATTCAAAGACGAGTTACTGAACCAACGCGGAATCAACCGAGTCAATCACTGATAACTATCAGATCAAATCTAGTTATCCCACCAATCTTACCTGGTAAGCAGATCAACTATTTCATCTATCCATCACCAAAAACTAACATCGCAGGAGAGGAAAAAACAAATTGAAACCAGATCGAACGAAACGGGATAATACCTTACGAACGTAACCATACTCGCTCTCCTTCTCATCGTCCTCGAAGGTCGTAAGCTTTCCTCCGTAAAACGCCGGCATTTTCTCAGCAATCAGAGATTCAAAAAACTCAAATCCGATCGGCCAAAAAATCAAAATTCACCTCCTAGAAAATGCCGAGATCCGATCAACAACAACAAATCAAAAATCGCCAAAATCAGAGATCGAGGAAGAAGAAAACTCTTAAGGTTTTTCAAAGAGAGCGATTCAATAAAATCAGAAACAAACAAAAAGGATCAGAGAGAGAGATAGAGATCTCCTAACCAGTGAACAGACAGGAAGAGTGGTCACAAGAAGAAGAGATAGGTGGATGCACGTAGATGATAGATATTGAAAGAGTTGGAGAAGTTTGATCTGATTGACGAAATCGTGGAGTGATCCTCTACATGACTCCACACGATACGCTCGTCGATCTGACTTTGTCGTTAATAGCCACGTGACAGTTTATTTATGGGCTTTATAATATCTAATTACGGCCCAATAAGTAGGTCCGTTTAGTCAACAATGACATGCTTGAGAAGAGATCTCTCTCTGATCAAGCCGGAAAAATCACAGGAAAAAGTGATCAGTTTTATTTTCTCGGGAAAATTAGTGAAGAAAGGGAAAGGCAAGTTTTTGAAGTGGAGAGAGAGATGGGAGAAATGGGGAAGGCGATGGGATTGCTGATTAGCGGGACGCTTGTGTATTACCACTGTGCATATCGTAACGCAACTCTTCTCTCTCTCTTCTCCGATGTTTTCATTGTTCTCTTATGCTCTCTCGCCATTCTAGGTCTCCTTTTTCGCCAACTCAATGTCTCGTAAGTTCCCTCACTTTTTTGGCCTAAATCTCTCGATTCTTTCTGTTTACGGTGTTGGATTTTGTTCTTTGGTCTCTGATTTAGTGATTTGCTGTTTGGTGACCGAGAGGATACGAAAGTTGTTGGCTCCTTTGATCTGTGACAAGTTTGAGTACTTGCTCGAATTGGGTTGTGCTTTGTAATGTGGTTGTGCAATCAGTGATGTTAATTTAATAGTGAAATTGATTTGCTTTTGATTTCATGTCTTCTCGAAAGGCTTGAACTGAAACTAGGCCTCATTTTAGTTCTGGGTGAATCTATGATGCGTCGATCTTATTTAAATATTTTCATCATTCTATCATCTTCTTCCGTTCTCTGTGATCAATGCATAGTCATAATCCCAGAATTTTCAATAATTTCATGATCTTTTTGGTCTCTGTGTATATAATTTGATCCAAGACCATTGCTTTTTCATACCACATGATTTACAACTCTATAACGTTTCTCAAGGGTACCGGTGGATCCACTAGAGTGGCAAATATCACAGGACACAGCAAGTAGCATCGTTGCGCGCTTAGCTAATACCGTTGGAGCAGCAGAGGGTGTTCTGAGGGTTGCAGCAACTGGACATGACAAGAGACTTTTTGTCAAGGCAAGTGTGTCCTTAGTTACTATTCTTAGATCATGCATGTATCTAAACGCATTAGAATCAAAATATTACCACAGAAATTCTCTTAAAACTCTACTGTCTTTACCCAGTTACCATATAAATGCATTGCTGATTGTTAACTCAGTAAGTGTGCTCTATACTGAATATGTTTGTTTTTTGCTTTTTCCTTTAGGTCGTAATCTGCCTTTACTTCTTATCAGCTCTCGGGCGACTCATATCAGGTGTAACCGTTGCTTATGCAGGTAAAGCATTCACATTTTGTCTCAAAACTTATGCAAAGTTTCATTTTAGTGTGGAAGAGTGTGCTGTTACCTTATGAGTAGCATTACATACCAATATGTCGGTTTTCATAGCAATTAACAGAAATTGGCCATTTGGGGGACCCTTCTTGCTTGTGTCAAATATTGCAAACCAATGATCTCTGACTAGTTCTTCTCCCTGAAACAGGACTATGCTTGTTCTGTCTCTCCATGCTCTGTCAGACTTCTCAATCTCTTGGAAACTGTGTACTAAAGCGAGGAAATGGCGAGATTTTAGAACAAGAAGCACATTCTGATACATAATATGTCTAGCTTTTGTTTATACTTATTCGTCTTTTCTCATGCTCACATGTTCATAGCTTTAGAGTAGTTTCCCCTTATGTACACTGGATTTGTATACTACCTTGTGAAAAATGTAATGATATTGTTTCACCTCCACACCATGTACTTGCAGATCCTATCTATAACTGTATTCTCTGTTTACGTTAATTTTGGATCTCAAGGCATCAGACAAAACAGTCTGCAAAAGTGGTATGAAAATCGGATAATATATACACACGATTCAACAAACAGTTGCAAGGAAGATTACAAGAAAACAGAGGGCTAAGCCACAGCACCTTTTCTTATTTAATTTCACTAAGACTGGATAGGATCGGATCAGTCTGTAAAAGGTTTGCTTACTCTACCCTATCTAAAAGTCTAAACCATGTCACGTCTTTGTAGTTGCTCTTGGTGATATGAATCCTCGATGAATTGTGTTCATGGATCTACAAATCTTGGAGAGCAAGAACCTGCAAAGTTTTGATATTTGTTTCATCAGAAGTCGAAGAAATTCTTGAAGTGTCTATAGCCAAGGCAAATTTTAGATACTTAGTCCATATTATCTCATACTAGCTAAAGAAGGGTGTACTGCCCAACACTCTAGCAGAGGTTTTTCAAGTTCATTAGCTCTTCAAATTTCCCTACTTTCAGCTCGTGAAATCAATAGAAAGTTTTATATACTATTGTTGCGACCATCATATAGCTTACCCAAACATTGGTTTGACAGAGTTTTGGGGTTTATTCCTCGTCGTCGGAGTGAGATGCAGTATTTGAAGTCATCTCCGTCTCAACTGACTGAGGCTGTACACCTATAATCAAAAACAGAGGCACAGACCAAGTTTTACGAAATGCTCAAAAGACTAAACATTTAAGAAAAACTGTACCCAACAAAAAAAAAACATATTTTGACGCTACAACATTTGCCACTGAAGGATGCAAATACCTCATAGACCATTCTGCTATAACACAGAGTGGCTATCCAATAAGAAGCAAAAGCAACGAGATAACTAACTCTACAATTTAACTTTTCAACAGTAAAAGAAGAAGAAACATGTTCCATAACGACAATGCCTATAAAGAAATGGTCACCCATTTCCATCACTGACATCTGAACCTGTTAAAGAACTTTCAACAACTCTATAATGATAAGCCAAGAATTGCCTAAGTGCACCTAAGAATGTTACAAAACCTATGCAAATTTCGACTCTTGGTAAGTAAAGAAACAAAGCATTTTCAAATCAGGAATTGACGATCAAATTCATCAAGATCAGACAATTGGGTTAAGAAGAATATAAAAACCTTTGATGAAGTAATCAGAGCAAGGCCATCCTCGAACCGATGAGATTGAAATAGATTCTTCATCAGAGATCGGATTGGCCAGCTTCTCAACGAGCTTAGCGATCCCATGAGTCTGGGATCTAGGCGGTGGAACCCAATACGAAGCACCGGGAACAAAAGGGAGCCAATCTGGTGCGGATCGGCGTACCATTATCCGGTGGACAGCATCTTCCAACTTATGGAGAAGAGGATCCGATTGCGACTTCGATGCAGCAGCGATATCAATCTCGTAGATTTCTCCAAAGCGGTTAGACCGGCGATTCGAGGATTGAGATCGGAAGAAGATGGTTTGAGATGAAGGGAGAAGAGAAGCTGCGGCGAAACGGCATCTAGAGAGAGAAAGTGAAGGAGAGAAAGATCGAGCCATTTTAGAGATTAGGAGAAAGAACGAAAATGGTTTGGTCCCTTTTTCTAGTCTTTTTAACGGATAAGGAGAAAAAGAGCATTCATCTTATTTAATATTTATCGGAATTTCCTTTTTTCAAAGTATTTCCTTTTTTCCCTATCTGAAATTTACATTTTTTTTGGTATTAATGTTGTCTGAAAATTTACTTTTTCCGATAAGAGTGGTCTTTTCGAGTATATTACAAAAAACATGAGATACAAACTACAAGAGATAATAGGATTTAGGAATAATAATAATCTATCTAATGAAAAAGAATTCTGACTATTCGTCTAGTGGGCCACTAGTCCACTCACGGCCGGCCTAATAAGTCACCTGAAGTTGGACTCCAACCCACGTAAAAAGTGGGGCCGAAAAAAATCCTATAATCCAATAAGCAATTTCATTTATTTTTTCACTCGTTTATTAGAAAATATCAATATTAATAGTATCATTTTTATTAGCTCCAACTTGATAATAATTACAGTATACACCCTTACTTTTAACACATTCTAACAAAACTCTCTCGAAACTCTTTTACCAATAAAAATTTGGACAGAGACAAAAAAAAAAAAGGTGTGTTCTTCACTTTTTCTTTCCTCAGTTGGTTTGTCCAAAAAAAAAAAATCTCCACCGCTCTGAGAGAAAAAAAGTGGGAAGAGGAGAGAGAGAGACAACGCACCAACTGTTACGGCTCAAAGAGATCTCGATCGGGATCCACACGACGGAGATAGAGATAGAGAGTGAGAGAGCTAACGGATATGGGATCTCAGCTACTTGAGTGTTGCTTCCGTTTCGTCTTCTACTGTCACTCCCACAGCTCCAACTGTTTTCCTTGATACTTTCTTTCTCGGCGTTTCACTCGGAAGCTTTACTTACAACACACTCTCAGGTACGAACCGACGTCGTCTTCTCTTTTGTTTTCTCAGATTCGGTTTTTGTTCGTCTGTGATCATTGTTAGTTCATTTTGGGGGTTTAGGTATTGTTTTAGTTTCGCGTTTTGGTGCTGCTCTAATTTCTTTTTCTTAGTTTTTGTGATTTGGGGATTTTGTTGGATATGGCGATCTGAGTTCGATTTCTGCTCAATCGCATTTGAGATTGAAATTGCTTCTAAATCCCAGAGATCTTACTGGGTTTCAAGGGATCACACTTATAGAAATTTTGATTAGGGTTTGTTTTTTTTCCTGGGTTCTGTGATATTGTTTTGTTCTTCTGTAGCATTATTTGGGAAGTAGTTGCAAGAAACTTTGTAGATCTCAAGTGATATTATTAGTATATTACATGTTTACGAATAGTCTTAAGTCTCAGTGGTGCTGGATCTGTCAGAGAAATGGTAAAGGTTTTTGGAAAGGGAAAGTGGCTTAATCTCAAGTGATAACCAGTCCCATCAAAACAGCTCTGCTAATGTTTGGTTTCTGAGTCCCATTTTCTTAGCATTTAGGAATCTATCTTGCAGCGTACAAGTCCTGGTCGTTCTTGGTACTATCTTCTTTTGTGGGCATAGGATGTTGAAGCTCTTTGGTCCATTTTGATTTGTGGTGTTTCGCTTGTCACAGTTCTCTATCTGCCCATTTCTCATGGATTCTTTTTTTATTCTTTCAGGGATTTGAAATCCTCACGTTTCAGCACATTCTTTGTGGTGCCCATCTATTCTCTAGCCAGTTTCGAGTTTCCTGAAGAAATCAAATGGGTTCAAGATACGCATCTCACCAGCTCAGCAATGGGCTTTTTGTGTCTGGCCGCCCAGAGCAACCCAAAGAAAAGCCTCCAACAATGAGCTCGGTAGCCATGCCATACACCGGTGGTGATATCAAGAAATCAGGAGAATTAGGGAAGATGTTTGACATTCCGACTGATGGGACTAAGTCAAGGAAGTCTGGCCCCATAACTGGAGGATCTTCAAGAAGTGGTACGCAATCAGGTCCAGTGCCTAATGCAACTGGTCGTATGTCTGGTTCTTTAGCTTCTGCTGGCTCAAATTCAATGAAGAAAACAAATTCTGGGCCTTTGTCTAAGCACGGGGAGCCTTTAAAGAAATCCTCTGGTCCGCAATCCGGTGGTGTAACAAGGCAAAATTCCGGCCCTATTCCTATACTCCCAACTACAGGTCTCATAACATCTGGGCCAATTACCTCGGGCCCTCTAAATTCATCTGGGGCTCCTAGGAAAATTTCTGGTCCTCTAGACTATTCTGGTTCGATGAAGACACATATGCCTTCAGTTGTCCACAACCAGGCGGTAACTACCCTTGCTCCGGAAGATGACTTTTCCTGCATGAAGAGCTTCCCCAAGCCTGTGCTGTGGCTGGTTATACTTATATTTGTAATGGGGTTCCTCGCTGGAGGGTTCATTCTTGGAGCAGTTCACAATGCAATTCTCCTCATTGTTGTTGCGATCTTGTTCACAGTTGTTGCTGCACTTTTCATTTGGAATATTTCTTGTGAAAGGCGTGGTATCACAGATTTCATTGCTCGTTATCCTGATGCTGATCTTAGAACTGCCAAAAACGGTCAATATGTGAAGGTCACTGGGGTAAGTATCCATGCATCACTCCCAGAAATTGCTGGCTTTTTGGCATTTACTGTGTGCTGCTGCATTGTCATGAGAAATGACAAAATGTGATTTGGCTTCCTTCCTTGGGTTTCTCTACTATGTTTCTAATATTGGGTCTTATATTTTGTTCATTCAAAAGGTGGTCACTTGTGGTAACGTGCCTCTGGAATCATCCTTCCATAGAGTTCCCAGATGTGTTTACACGTCTACTTGTCTATATGAGTACCGTGGATGGGGTTCAAAGCCAGCCAATGCTTCACATCGTCGCTTCACATGGGGACTGAGATCAGCAGAGGTTAGTAGTGGCATGATGATATTTCATTTTACAGAAAAATGTTCTCTTTCAGTGTGAAATGTCTCTAAACGCATAAATGTTGCACCTACAATACATTGCAGAGGCATGTGGTAGACTTCTACATTTCTGATTTCCAATCTGGGCTCAGAGCATTGGTCAAAACTGGAAACGGTGCAAAGGTAACACCTCTCGTCGATGATTCTGTTGTCATCGATTTTAAGCCAGGAAGTGAGCAAGCCTCTCCAGACTTTGTAAGGTGGTTGGGTAAAAAGAATCTAACCAATGATGATCGAATAATGCGGCTTAAAGAAGGGTATGAAAACACAACTTGTAGAAAAGAATGATAAAAAATAGACTTAAAAGAGTTACTAAAGTTTATGTTGGTATCTGTGATACTTCTTTCATATGCAGGTATATCAAAGAAGGAAGCACAGTAAGTGTGATTGGAGTGGTTCAGAGAAACGATAACGTGTTAATGATAGTCCCGACGACAGAACCATTAGCAGCTGGTTGGCAATGGAGTAAGTGCACATTCCCTGCAAGTCTCGAAGGAATTGTATTGAGATGCGAAGATTCATCGAACGTAGACGCAATTCCTGTCTGATGCAGTAGTAGTAAGTCTTTCTTTTCCTTCTTCTTCCACGGTTGGTAGACGAAAATCTCACTGTTCCACTTCGGCTTCATTAATATTTTTCATGAAATCTGAAATGTGTTCTTGGTTGGTGGCTTTTCGCGCTCTACTGATGATGATTCCTTTGGTTGGTTTATGGTAGTGTTTCCTTTTTCTTCTGCTTTCCTTTAATATTTCTTATTTTTTATATCGAGTTATTATTACAGTAGGATGATAATGATGATGATGGATCTGGATTTCTTTTCTACGACTTAATTTGTGTTGTGGGCGTTGCCTTATGGTTTGTAATTGTAAAGCTCTGCTAGTAATTCTTTTTTTCGACCTAATTTGTGATCTAATGTAATGGGATTATCTTTTTAGTTTGGAATGTACCCGTTGCATGTGGATTGTGTTTATTATTTCCCATTATCGTTTCTTCCTGAGATCGACTCTTTCCAAAAAATACAACCACCTCTCATTACTCTCATTTATACTTTACTTTGGGTTCATTGCCAACTTGTAAAAGATACATCTTTACTTACTCCAAGTCTCCAACAATGATTAACAACCTTTAGTTTATATTTCGGTGAAACTTTGAATTTACAGAGCTTAGACAGTAGAGAAAGAGAACTTTTGACAAAAAGAACCTTGGAGTACTTCAAATATGAAAAACGAGTCTTGACCTATTGATAATGATACAGTGATTCAGAGAAATTACAGGCTTAATGGAGACGAAAACACAATTTTGTAATTATGAGGGGGAAGAGCCAGCAAAATATAAGCTTTCTTATAACTTTGACGTTGAGATAGATTTCATCAAATGTAATGTTATTTGGATGAAAGAGATCTTTTCACCCTCCAATCCATTATGCGCCACTTGCGTAAAGGCGGGTCCATTCTTTGGCTGCACAGATATAGTTCACAAGGATGTGAGATACCAACATAACGATCAGAAAGAAAACAAAGAGTATTGTAACAAGTTAAGTTCAGAGTTAAGATCACATCACCTGTCTCCACAGCTTCTGCCTCATTACTCTTCCAGTGCTTAGCAATGTTCTCAGACAGCGGATCATCTGGGTTTGGTGCACTTAGAAGAGCTTGAATACTTTTTGAGGATTGCCACATTGATAGAATTATGAGAAAGAAGTCAAGCCCCAAGAAACCTATGTTTTTTAGCAGGAAAGAATCTAATGTAAATTAGCTCATATACCTTAAGAGCACTGTTCGTATTTGTAGTGCAGGGCTCCATTTGTCCTTCAGAATATCAAGACAGATTCTTCCAAGCTGTACATGCAAATAGACATAATTAGAACAATGAGTTTGGTTGTGTAGATGATAAAGGAAAAAAAGAGGAAGGAGTTAGAACAGACCTTGTCAATGTTAGGATGGTATATCTTTGTGAGAAACCTGACCTGTTACAAATTAAATTATTAAAAGAGCCAGCAAGTGTTAGAGTTTAGAGAAATGCTCTACACAAACCATTTCCAAAAACTCCAACATTCAAAAACTGAATCCACTAACCCATACGATAAGAAAAACAATGAGAAGAAACGTGCCATTACATTTAAGTCACTCATAAGCCAAACAGAATCACCATTCTCAGAGATCATTGGTATGTACCCAAACCAATATATTTACTTAATAACTAGATCCTCATTGCTATTCAATCACCATCGGATGCAAGGACTTCATAACATGAATGAAAAACAAAAGGGGAAAATTAAAGCCCACAAATCAAAGAAACCTACCTTGGGAGCTGCCATAGGGTATTCTTCGGGCAAAAAGAGCTCCAACTTGAAAACTCCTCCTAGAAGATGGAATGAAGCAAATGATTGGCATATACTACTCAATAAACGTTAAAAGTTTGATAGAGAGCAGATCTTATTCGAAGGAGAAAAACATGTAGTTTTTAACTTAGCATCTACTAACGCAACAGCACTAGGAAACAAAATCAAATGTGGTAGTAATAAAACTAAGTACAGTTGTACATACACTCAGGATTATACTTATCAGTACTGTCATCAACAATCTGCAAGAGCATTAGCAATCATTGCTTGACATAATAAACATGTTGTACTCTCAAAGCAAAAATCTAACACTCAGATTATCAGAAGACACTATTTGACTACCACCATAAACAAGAAATCGAAGTAGCCCGCATAAAAAGAAGTACTTATCTTCAATACACATCAACTAACAGCTACGCGTATGCACTCTTCCATAAGAAACGAAAAAAATAAAACCCCTCAAACCAAGGAAGAACATCTTGTAAACTATCAATTACCTTCATAAGGTGATTGTGAAGGACCAAGAATCATAACATTGAAATACCGCATATTATCCTCAGATGGAGAGGCACTTATACCGGGAGCTGCAGCAATCAATCGAACAAAACTCAATTCAAATCAGATTTTATCTTACTCTACAACCAAATTGAAACTCCATGGACGATCACATTCCGGATCCACATTTCAACCATCAAAATTGATATTATCAGCTCAAAATCAACACAACAGACGAATCAAAAGAGTTTTACCCGGTTCACTGAGCAGACGTTGAGTTTCCTATCAGATCGCAAGGAAAACAAAAGTTAAGAAAATTACAAGAACATAGATATCAAAATTCGGTGATTCGATTCCACATCGAAAAAAACGAAACGAGACTCCGATAGAAACAGAGATCGGCGAAGCAAGTCCAAGGAATCAAAAAAGAGATTGGAAAACAAACCTTGATGATTCTTCGCGGCAAATTACTGTTAGCCATTATCACTTGTCGATCGAGCTCAGAGAGTTAGGGTTTTTGAAGGGAGCTGCTGATGATAATCGAGAACAACTTCGTCGTCGTCTCTCGAATCTGACGATGATTTTAATTCGATTTCCTTTCTCTATCTTTAAAATTTTACTCTGGACGAACGAAGATAATAATATTAGTATTCGATAATTAGCTTTTATTACGTATTTTTCCTACAACCTTTGTTTATTGCTGACCTCCCCCTAAATTCTTACTTATTTATCGATTTTTCTTACATTTTTCAAATATTACATATATTTCCCTATTTTTTTGTTTATTACAGATACAGTCCATGAAAGCCTTTTATATAAGAGGCCCATATATATCCATTAAGCTTGTTATCTTATATATTGGACATGTAAAAGTTTTAAAAATGTACTGGGTTGGGCCGATATAGAAAGCCCAGAAGAATACGACTCTAAAGTAGATCGCGGACAAGGTAGGTAGGTAGGTAACTGTGAGTTAGCCGTTGAGGATGTAACGGTAACTTATGACGTCACAAGCTTGAGAATTCGAAAACTATCCGTTAGTGAATTTCCCCAACGGTAAAGAAAACTTGTCTATCTATATAGTAATACACACAACACAGCTTTCGCTACCACTAAATTATCTAATCCAACACATGTAAATCGAAACTTATTCTCTTTTTGTCTCTTCTTGTATGATTATCTCTTCTTCTCCGGCGGCAAAACTCAGCCAATCATCGGTGAGTTACTTTGTACTTTACTTTAGGGTGAAAAATGAAAACCGTGTCTATGTAACCTTTGTAAATTACCTTTTTCTCTCTATATGTACTTAAATTTCCAGTTTTTTTCTTGTCTTATTGTTTGGGTTTTTTAGGCGAAATTTGGCTGTTAGTGCTTTGTTTGAGTCTTTGACTCATGTTGATTTTGATTTCTACGTTCTTCTTTTTGATGATACTTCGTTTAAACTTATGGATTCCAAATGTTGAATGATTACGGTGCAATGTTTTATACCATGAATCGTTTATTTTCGTTATTATTTATTTGATAATAGTCCTAATAATGTTATTATTTGATAATAGTCCTAATAATGTTATTAATCAAGATATAATTTTTTTTTGCGAGGGATCATTAATTCTGATGAGGAGGACAAAAGCTTTCAAGCCAACAACAATTTCCACTACTTAGAGTTAGAGCTAAAGCCCAAACATGAATTGCAATTTCCTCCAGGTTAGTTTTCACTTTTCAATGCTTTCCAAAAAAACACTAGTTTCAATAATAATTGAAGCTCTTTTTTAGTCGAAATACTCATCACTCAAAGCACTTTTTAATTCTACTTTAAAAACACACTCATAAACATTTAGTAGTAAAACACTTAATCAAAAAGACCAACTATATATAAATGAAGCAGAATTTTTAATTAAACTCACGCCTAAAAAAATTAGTTGACGCATGTAAGTCTGAAAAACATACTTAGTAAACACCAAATCATTTCAACAAATTGTAGTTAAAAATTAGTCGAACCACTTAGTCATAGACTCACGTCTTAAAAAATACACATCAGCACTAAATCAATTCAACCAAATCGCTTTAATCAAAAATCAGTCGAACCACTTAGTCATAAAACTTATGTCCAAATTCTAATAAAAACACTTAGTAAAACACTAAATCAATTTACTTAGAGTCGAAACACATTTTTCCAAGCACTAAACACATTACTTAGAGCATGTTATCGCAACACATTATTCGCAGCCGAAGAGCGCACGTTAGTCGGAGAGCGCACGTTAGTCGGAGAGCACGGTAGTCGGAGCACGTTAGTCGGAGTATGTTAGTCGAAGCATTGTTCTGTTAGTTTCACCGCTCATACAATGAAACTTACCTCTTTATTATTCAAATTCATAAGCTCCCGGCAAATCTACTCTCTGGCTCCTCTGCAGCTCGATTTTGGACTCGTTGGATATATTATTAGGCTTGGGATACAAAGTACAAACAACATCAAAGATTCTATTTAGGCTCCGGTTTTCTTTTTTTAATTGATTTGGTAATTTTTTAGTGGTTTAATTAAGGATTGTCTCTGTTAGACCTTGACAATTCGGTCGGTTCCGATTCATTCGATTGTCGCTGTTTGTACTTTCTAAGCAATGTACATCATCTTAATCAAGGCTTTATGTTATGATTTTTCTAGCTATGTATAGATATAATTAAGGCTATATATATATATATATTTCTTTTCGGAAATTTTTCATCATTGAGTATTAACTTAATACAAGTTGGCCACATGGCCTCAGAAAAAGAATAATAAAAATTGTTTGCCAAAAATAATTTTTTAAAAAAAGTAGCCGTCGAATAAGACCTGTACCCCCACACACCTGGCAAGCCGCCGGGCATTGGGACACACATGAATATCAAAGATCCGATCTAAATCATTTCATAGATTTTATCCATTGTCTGTTTATTTTTGTAAAACTTCTTCAAATTACTTTATTAACAAGTGGTCAGGATAGTTCAGATTAACTTCACAAAGACAATTAAAACCATAATGATATTTATTACTAGATAACTATATCAAATTGCATGTATTTGAATCATATCGAATTCTATCTATAATATATGTGAATGCGACGTGAGTCAATAAATGATTTAGACAAAGTTCAACGAGACGAGAGAATCGACTTTGCGCATCTTCCAGGTAGGCAGGTATGTAGCTAATACTTAAAAGTGGTTGGTCGGTCGGTCCTAACCCAAATGCGTGATTTATTTCGTTCGATTCAATACGCAGCTCTAGTACTATTTCGAATTTATTTTAAACTAATGTTGACGCAGTGCAAGAAAGTATAATTAAAAACCGACAAAATGTATAATTAATTGATTCGCTTTGTATAAGAAACATGTCATGCTTTTTTCATATATAAGATCTTTATTTCCCACCAAATACAATCAATAAACTATTAAGAAAGTTCTTATTGAAGAAAGAGTGATGATTTTCTAAAAAGTAAATCTTTTAATTTTGTATTACTAGGCGAATTAATATCAAACTGTAACCGTTGGCTGGGGTTTGCTAACGATTTAGCATTGAGATTATGATAAACTCTTTCTAAAATGTTCGAAACAAAACCAGCAAAGTAGATTATAGCTAAACAAAGACCAAAAAAACTCGTTCAAAAATAGTCGACAAAAAATGTATTATTAAACTAATAAAAAACAAAGACTTCCTTGGCACCTCCTCGGCTACTCCTATAAATAAAAGCTTTATCTGTTTACTCAAAACACACCAAAATCCATCAAACACACATAACAAAATGAAATTCTCAATCACATTAGCTATCTGCTTAACCCTCTCCATCTTCTTAATTGGAGCACAAGCCAAAGTTCCCGTCGACGACCAATTCCGAAAGGTCAACGAAGGAGGCTACACTGATTACAGTCCAATCGAGTACAACCCCGACGTACGTGGTTTCGTTCCCTTCAGCGACAACTTCCGTCTCTGTTTCTACAACACAACCCCAAACGCATACACTCTCGCTCTTAGAATCGGAAATAGAGTCCAAGAATCCACTCTCAGATGGGTCTGGGAAGCAAACAGAGGCTCACCGGTCAAAGAAAACGCGACGTTGACTTTCGGTGAAGACGGAAACCTCGTACTCGCCGAAGCCGATGGTCGTGTGGTATGGCAAACGAACACGGCTAACAAAGGCGCCGTGGGGATCAAAATCTTGGAGAATGGCAATATGGTAATATACGATTCCAGTGGGAAATTTCTATGGCAGAGCTTTGATTCTCCCACCGACACACTTCTCGTTGGACAGTCTTTGAAACTCAACGGTCGGACCAAGCTCGTAAGCAGACTGTCTCCATCGGTCAATACAAACGGACCGTATAGTCTCGTGATGGAAGCCAAGAAGCTAGTCTTGTACTACACGACAAACAAAACTCCGAAACCAATCGCTTATTACGAATACGAATTTTTCACCAAATTAACTCAGTTACAGTCTATGACGTTCCAAGCCGTGGAAGATTCCGACACAACGTGGGGTCTAAACATGGAAGGTGTCGATTCTGGTTCTAAATTCAACGTTTCAACGTACCTCTCACGGCCGAAACACAACGCGACGTTGAGTTTTATTCGGTTAGAATCAGACGGAAACATCAGAGTTTGGAGTTACAGTACGTTGGCGACAGCCACGGCTTGGGACGTGACATACACGGCGTTTACTAACGACGACACTGACGGTAACGACGAGTGTAGGATCCCTGAGCATTGTTTGGGTTTTGGTTTGTGTAAGAAAGGTCAGTGTAACGCTTGTCCTAGCGACAAAGGGCTTCTTGGTTGGGACGAGACATGTAAAACTCCGACTCTCGCAAGTTGCGATCCCAAGACATTTCACTACTTCAAGATCGAAGGAGCTGATAGTTTCATGACAAAATATAACGGTGGATCATCGACGACTGAGAGTGCGTGTGGGGACAAGTGTACGAGAGATTGCAAATGTCTAGGGTTTTTCTACAATAGGAAGAGTTCGAAGTGTTGGTTGGGTTACGAGCTCAAGACATTGACTAGAACCGGAGATTCTTCGCTGGTTGCTTATGTCAAAGCTCCTAATGCTAACAAAAAGTCATCTCTTTGAGGTGTGAGTGAGTGTCATATAAATGAAATTATTGTGTTGTGTTTTAATAAGGTTAAATTTCCTTTGTTTACCCCTTTTTAAAATGGTGTACTGATTCTCAAGTTACATCTTAATAAAGTGAAGTGAAATAAATTAGTGAATCTAGTCTATTCGTAAAAAATACGATGCTTGGTCAGTAACGCACGAGACCTCACGTGCACGTAATACACTAATTAGTTGGCCTGTCAAGGAATTATTAAATTGAAACTTTATAGTATTAAATAGTTTTTAGCTAAAAATTTCAAAATTTTAAAAAGGGATAGCATATATAGGATGCTTCAACGCCGCGTCACCTTTTTGTTTCGTAAGATTTGCCCAGTCAACGCTGGTTATTAGTTAATACTTAATAGTTATCAAACATGTACATATATACTGTATATATTAATATATGTTTTGGAGTTTTCAAGAACTACACATATCGTTTCCTAAATGAAAAATACGAAAACGTTTAGTTTATAAATTTATAGACCCGTCTAGTTTTTTTTATTTAAAAAGTCAGCTTGCAAGCTGCCGTATAACACCAGAAGTACATGATAGTACTTTTATACATGAAAAAAAAATACATATTTTCAGTTGATTGGGCCTGTAGGCCACGTTCGAGCCCATTAAATTCGAGCTCACCAATAGAACACCTATATATACCTCTTACGTTTTACGTCCCGCTTTTCCCCAAACCAAAAAACCCTTGAAAGCGTCGTCACCGTCAATTATCCGACGATCTCTCATAGGTTCGCTTTTCTGTCGCCATTATCTGTCATCGGACCGTGCCGCTGGTCTGTTTATCTCGGGGTTCATCTTAATCGTATCCTATTGATTTCCTTAACTTGTCCACAAAGTTAGTATTGTCAAAATATCGATTTCACGTTTGGATTGCTGGTGACTTGTATGTGCTTTTCTGCTCAATTTTTCACTGGTACATCATTGCTGAGATCTCTAAACAAAAGCGTCACGATCACAAAAGACGAAATTGCATGGAAAATAAAGATTTGATTAGCCAATTGCCTGACCATTTACTACATCAGATACTCTTACTACTTGCAACGAAGGATTCTGTCAAAACAAGTGTCTTGTCGACTAGATGGAGATATATTTGGCAACGTGTTCCTGGATTGGACCTTAACCATACTGACTTCAGACACAAGAGACTAAAGGGTTTTGTCAACAGGTTTCTAGATTTGGATAAGAAATCACAAATTTCGCAATTGAAGTTGGAATTTGACGGCAGAAAATATAAAACTGAAGGATCTAATTTCAACAAGTGGGTCAACTCAGTGGTTACCCGTGGAGTTCAACATCTTGTGGTTGTTGCTTCTGTATTTGGTTCTTATAATAACAACAATTATTGTCCCATAAAGCTTCCGGGAAACATCTCTATGTGTGAGACATTGGTACACTTGAAGCTGGTCGAGGTAGGCATTCATAGTTTTGACTCCGTTTCTCTACCGCGTCTTGAGACTATGCATTTAGTATCGGTTTGGTTTTCAAGCGATGCGGCTCTAGAGAGGCTTATCTCATCTTCCCCAGTTCTTCAAGATTTGTACATTGAAAAAATTTGGAATGTGGATGTTTTACGAGTGCGGTCTCAGACACTAAATAACTTGAGTATACGCATTTGGAAAAAAAAATTCCATTGGGACAAACATTTTCAAATAATTGTGCTAGTGATTGATGCTCCTAGGCTTAAGTCTCTGAGTTTTCAAATCGACCAATTTAAAGACCTTGTGCTGAATAGTGTATGTTCTCCGCTCAAAGTGGATATTAGTATCTTCAGAAGAGATTTTAATCCTATGAACTCATCGGCGATGAAAACATTTCGTACATTTCTTGCTTGGATATCGAATGTCGCAAATCTTACACTCAATTCTTATTGTCTAGAGGTATGTATATATTTTGTAACTATTCGTCTTGAATTACTCTGTCTCGAAAACTTATTACTAATTTATTTTTCTTGGTTTTTACTAGGCTATGTGTGTTTACTCGAAAACTTATTACTAATTTATTTTTCTTGGTTTTTACTAGGCTATGTGTGCTTACTCGAGACAGGAACCAATGCCTCAGTTCTCTAACTTAACCCATTTGGACGTTTCTATGGATTCCTCTGGTTTAGAGGTGTTACCAACGTTTCTCGCAAGTTGTCCAAACCTAAAATCTCTAGAGTTGGTAATTTATCTTTATAAGTAACTCTTGAATTTGTTTTTGCCCAATTACTTAACTAAACTATACATTCTCATTACGTTTTTCCTTTTTTGTCCTTCATATTATGTAGTGGGCCCACTATCCTCTAGATATATTGGATATTTCAAGATCAATTGTGCCTAAGTGTCTGCTAACATCGCTCGAGATTGTTGCGATATACAGCACGGCTGAGATATCCAGCTCGGTTGAGAATCAGGTCGAGACCGAGCTTGTCAAATACATCCTGGGGAATGCAGCAGTTCTCAAGGAGCTTAATATTCAATTCTATCTCTGGGCAGCCGAACACAGGTTTCAACTTAGCAAGCAAATCCTTGCGTTTCCAAAGCGTTCTTCTGCTTGTCAAGTCTTTGTTCATCCTCCGTTTTGAAGTTGTTGTGGGCCTTGTGGCGATCAAGCCCAAGTGTAAACGTTATGCTTCTTAGGTGTTTTTTACATTCCATACTTGTTCCGGTTAGACATCGTAATTTTTTTTTAATTTTATGATTTATGTGATTGGTAAATTCAAGATGCCGTGTAATATTATTGATAACGTAGATATCTTTGTCGGCCATTATTTGTTCGGGTTTCATTTGGTACACATGTAAGAATACGATACATGGATCTCAGCTAACCCATGTATACGTGTACTTCAATTTTTAAATGAAAAGCCAAATCTTGGCCCCGCATCAAAGAAAAATCCACAAGTTTGATGTTTTCTTCAAAACTAAACCCACAGCTTTGATGTCATAACCACAGATCGATCGAGGTCATAAACTACGGTGCTGTAATGTTTTACTAAAAAAAAACAACCAATCCACTCATAATACAATTTAGAAAGGTTGTGTGTGTGTATTCAAGTTTTAGACAGAAAATCCGGATTCAAGTCTTCTATTCTAGAAAACGATAATATAAAGAAAAATTCATAAAAAGGTTAATCATGTACGTACTGTACAATCAAAAAAATTAATTATATGATATTCGATAATCTGCACTAGTCACTAGACAAAACTTATCCAAATCATCAATCGCACTCGGCCCCATTGTACAGCACCAATTTGCTTGATCTTCTTCTTTAGTCAGGTCGCAATTAGCAGCTTTGACTTTTCAAACGAATACAGCCAATAATCCAAAGCTAAACAACTTATATATACCACCCACATGATACATCTTCTACATATAATCATCTCAGTCCTTAACCCCAAAAAAAACAAAATCATGTCTCAATTTCATATCTTATTAACTTTAGCACTTGCCATTGCCACTGTTTCAGTGGTTATAGCTCAAGTCCCTCCAGAGAAACAATTCAGAGTCGTCAACGAAGGCGAATTCGGTCAATACATCACCGAGTACGACGCGAGTTACCGATTCATCCAATCATCAAACCAGAGCTTCTTCACATCACCATTCCAGCTCTTGTTTTACAACACTACCCCTAGCGCGTACGTCTTAGGTCTCCGAGTCGGACTCAGGCGTGACGAGTCTACCATGCGTTGGATATGGGACGCAAATCGCAACAATCCCGTCGGAGAAAACTCTACACTCTCACTCGGCCGTAACGGCAACCTCGTCCTCGCTGAAGCTGACGGACGAGTCAAGTGGCAGACTAACACAGCTAACAAGGGCGTCACCGGATTCCGAATCTTACCCAACGGCAACATGGTCCTACACGACAAAAACGGCAAATTCGTTTGGCAGAGTTTTGATCACCCCACCGATACACTCCTCAACGGCCAGTCGTTAAAAGTTAACGGCGTTAACAAACTCGTTAGCCGTACATCTGATTTAAACGGCTCAGATGGTCCGTACAGCATGGTGCTGGACAACAAAGGTTTAACCATGTACGTTAACAAAACCGGTACGCCGTTAGTTTACGGCGGATGGCCGGATCACGATTTCCGCGGCACCGTAACGTTCGCCGTTACAAGAGAGTTCGATAATTTAACGGAGCCGTCAGCTTACGAGCTTCTCCTAGAACCCGCACCACAACCCGCTACGAATCCGGGTAATAACCGCCGGTTACTCCAAGTCCGACCAATCGGAAGCGGAGGAGGAACTTTAAACCTGAACAAAATCAATTACAACGGAACGATTTCGTATCTAAGACTCGGATCTGACGGGAGTCTCAAGGCTTTTTCGTATTTCCCACCAGCTACGTATCTCAAATGGGAAGAGAGTTTCTCATTCTTCTCCACTTACTTCGTCCGTCAATGTGGCTTACCGTCGTTTTGCGGCGATTACGGTTACTGCGATCGAGGGATGTGTATCGCGTGTCCTACACCAAAAGGATTACTCGGATGGAGTGATAAATGCGCGCCACCTAAAACGACGCAGTTTTGCAGCGGAAAAGCTGTCAACTATTATAAGATTGTCGGTGTTGAGCATTTTACTGGGCCTTATGTTAATGATGGACAAGGCCCAACTTCTGTGAACGATTGCAAGGCCAAGTGCGATCGTGATTGCAAGTGTTTGGGTTACTTCTACAAGGAGAAAGACAAGAAGTGTTTGCTTGCTCCTCTTCTCGGTACACTTATCAAAGATGCCAACACTTCTTCTGTTGCTTATATCAAATATTAGTGTTTTATCGCACGATTTCTATACCGAATTCTACTTGAATTCTTAGAGATTTAATGAATAATTGGTGTGCTTTGTAATGATGCACCGTTGAATTACTGTACTACCTCTTTCATTTCAAAGCCATTGGCTTTATTTACTATATATATACAAGTACCTTTTAGAATCAAAATACCATGTGAAACTTTTCATTGTTTCGTTTGCCTCTGACGAGTTTTGTAGTCCACTGGTCCTCCACTTGGACGAGTCATCACTTGGTTAATTCAATGGAGGATTGTAGTGGGTCAGTCGGACTCATATTGTCAAAAAAAAACTTTTGTCACTTCTCCAACTCATTGGGCCTTTAGGCTCTGTCATAGCCCAATAATTCTATCTTAATCGGACAAACCGTGTGGTCCACGTACCCCGTCCATTCGAACAGAGTTTTTACAAGTTTTGTGGTCTTACTTTTCAAATCGACAGTTGTACTTGTTACTTAGCATTAATAGAAAGAGAATGCTTGCCCGGCTACTATGCATCCATCACAATCAGACTCACATTACTGTTTTAATGTTTTAACTTACATAATAGATTCGATCATCACAAGATAATATCGTGAGTTTTGATTTTTAACTGTTAAAGCTGGCGTAAATGTTTTTATATCTGTTAGCATTATCTCGGATGAAAAAATGATTATGTAGTGTACGATAGTCTAGTGGCGGGTTGGGATTGTGTAGTTTAGAATATATAAAATTACTTTCTGAAATATTTTCAGTATACAAGACAGTAAAATCGAGAAATTGATATAGCTAGTTTGAGAAAAGCTTTTTTTTTTTTTTTGGGCCCAAAGCTAATCTAAGAAGTTAAGGTAAACTTTGTCTGAACAATTTTCATGAGATTATACAAAAGGGGAAGAATAAATCGTATAATCATCATATATTTCTGACAGAACAATCTATAATTAGTGATTTACTCAAAACTTTATCGTATTCACGATAATTTCCGAAAATTCCCAGTAGACTTGTCTTATCCAAATCATAAATGAGCCATTGGTTATCTGTATAACGAAGTCAGAATTATGCAACTTGGGACTTTTCAGCTAAAAGTCTAAATCACAAAAACTTGGGACTTTTCAAACGAATACAGCCCAAAATCCAAAGCTCAGATCTTATATATACACACAAAGGATATAACTTTTAGAAAATCATCTCACTCCACTAAATCTCAGTAAACGTAAAGAGCACAATCATGCTTCGATTTCATTTCTTGCTAATCACGGCACTTGCCATTTCCACTGTTTCGGTGGTCATGGCCCAAGTCCCTCCCGAGAAACAATTCAGAGTCCTCAACGAACCCTCCTACGCCCCATACATAACCGAGTACGACGCGAGTTACCGATTCCTCAACTCACCGAATCAGGACTTCTTCACATTTCCTTTCCAGCTCATGTTCTACAATACTACTCCTAGCGCCTACGTTTTAGCTCTCCGAGTCGGATCCAGGCGTGACATGAGTTTCACGCGTTGGATCTGGGACGCCAATCGCAACAACCCCGTCGGTGACAACTCCACACTCTCATTCGGCCGCAACGGCAACCTTGTGCTCGCTGAGTTAAACGGCCATGTCAAGTGGCAGACTAACACAGCCAACAAAGGTGTCACCGGATTCGAGATCTTGCCCATCGGCAACATGGTGCTACACGACAAACATGGAAAATTCGTTTGGCAGAGTTTTGATCACCCAACCGATACACTCCTCGTCGGCCAATCCCTAAAAGTTAACGGTGTTAACAAACTCGTTAGCCGGACATCTGCTATGAACGGCTCCGATGGTCCGTACAGCATGGTGCTGGACAACAAAGGTTTAACCATGTACGTTAACAAAACCGGTACGCCGTTAGTTTACGGCGGATGGCCGAATCACGATTTCCGCGGCACCGTAACGTTCGCCGTTACAAGAGAGTTCGACAATTTAACGGAGCCGTCAGCTTACGAGCTTCTCCTAGAACCCGCACCACAACCCGCTACGAATCCGGATAATAACCGCCGGTTACTCCAAGTCCGACCAATCGGAAGCGGAGGAGGAACTTTAAATCTGAACAAAATCAATTACAACGGAACGATTTCGTATCTCAGACTCGGATCTGACGGGAGTCTCAAGGCTTACTCGTATTTCCCAGCCGCGACGTATCTCGAATGGGAAGAGAGTTTCTCATTCTTCTCCACTTACTTCGTCCGTCAATGCGGTTTGCCGACGTTTTGCGGCGATTACGGTTACTGCAATCGAGGAATGTGCGTCGGATGCCCTACACCGAAAGGTCTGTTAGCTTGGAGTGATAAATGCGCACCACCTAAAACGACGCAGTTTTGTAGCGGAGGCAAGGGTAAAACTGTCAATTATTACAAGATAGTCGGTGTTGAGCATTTTACTGGGCCTTATGTTAATGGTGGACAAGGCCCAACTTCTGTGAACGATTGCAAGGCTAAGTGCGATCGTGATTGCAAGTGTTTGGGTTACTTCTACAAGGAGAAGGACAAGAAGTGTTTGCTTGCTCCTCTTCTTGGTACACTTATTAAAGACGCCAATACATCTTCCGTTGCTTACATCAAATACTAGCGAGATTTATTTTTACTGAAGAATTCTCAGAGATTTAATGCATACTCGTGTTGTTGTAATGATTCACCGTCTTTGTTTTTGTATACTAGAGTGATATGCTCAGTCCTAGTCAAGTATGACATTATCAAAAGGGAAAATAATAATCGATGTTTCTTCAGATTATCAAAATAATAGTCGATCATTATAATGTGTCCTTTATACAATACTGTATGCAATTAATGCTTTTGTTTTGTATAAATAACATTGAGACAACTGAGAAGAAAAAAAAACATTTTGAGACAACTCGATATTGTTGTACATTTCATAATTTTCTGTTAGTTAATGATTATGCCGTGGGACCATTTTCTCTATGCATACGACTGAATACTGAGAATTTTCTTTTCTTGGTTGAATGAGTATCTGCAAGAAAATAAAAACATAAATTTATTGAAAATTAGGAAGAATCATATCCTAGGAGAGTAGGTAGGTAATGGTTTTAAATATAAACAAAGAGAATCCTTCTTTTAACCACAAAAGTTATGCTATCATTTTAGAAAGAAAAAAACTATTCAACCAACCCTTGAATAATGGATATTCACCTAGTTTATTAGAAAATTTATAGTAAACGATTGGTCAGTGCTTCAGTGGCAGCCAAAAAGGACTATCCTTAATCTTAATTAAGTTTGACAACAAATATTAATATACTCCAACAATAACACTAGAATTCTGTAGATGACAAAACTTTAAATAAGTAAATGCAAGCGTCCATCGCGGATCTTTGGGATTGGGACCTCCATAGATTTATATGTCTGGTTCTATTTGAGAGAATCATATTTGTTTTGATAAAATTTTATAATCATAGAGCGGTTTGGGAGTTTGGCAGAATACAAGGTCCATTGGGCTTTATTTATAGGCCTATTAATTATAGATTTATCGACATCCTTCTTATGTTTGGTTTTTCATTGTTTCAGACCTGGTCGTTCGGGTACCCGTTCGGTTCTGGTCCGGTTCCGGTTCGGTTCCGGTTCTTTCGGTTCTAGAGTTTAGGATCCATATAGGAACCAAACAATTTCGGTTTGGTTCCGGTTCTTTCGGTTCTGAAGTTTAGGATCCATTCGGATATTTTATTTCGGATATTTTTAGGTATTTTGGATATTTTTGGGTATTTTCGGATATTTTTGAGTATTTTTTGGATATTTTAAGTATTTTTGATATATTTTCCAAATATTTGTTGGTATTTCGGATATTTTTGGTTATTCGATCTAAAAATAACTAATATTTTTAGATATAAACTCATATTTCGGGTATTTTTGGGTACTCAAAATATTTCGGTTCGGTTCGGTTCCGGTTTCGGTTCTTTCGGTTCTAAAATTTAGGATCCATTTGAGTATTTTAAAATTTCGGTTCGGTTCTTTTTGCTTCGGTTCCGGTTCGGTTCTTGTGGTTCGGTTATTTTGCCCAGGTCTAGTTTCCACTTTCCAGTTTACATGCACGACAAAGAAAACGCTTGTATACGTAGATATGTTGGTATTTCTACTAGTACTAGATCATACTTTTATCTAAAATTTATGCTTAACAAAGAAAAATCAGTGTTTGTGTATTGTTTTCGTTTTTTCCATTGTTACACATGATAGGGCGGCAATATTCGTCTGACAATGATTGCTAAGCTGAATGGAAACATAATTATAATTTTAATAGCAACAAATACATTTAAATAAAGTAAATAGTAAACAATACTTAAATGCTAATCGTACAGATTAAAGGAAGGGAAAATAATTTGATAGGTCTACCGATTGAAAAAGAAAGAACTAAAGCATTCTTGCAGGTCCCATCTCCTGTCTCCCTCATCTATCACTTAACTTGATAATCCAAAAATAATCATCTACTTAATTTCCATTTACTAAATTAGTTTAATTTTGTATACATCTACGTTTTATGTTTGTTGGGTATGAAATAAATCTGAAGAGCAATCACTTTACTTTCAAGTTTCAGCTAAAAACGAACTTATAAAAAATGATATATTGGAGGTTGATTAATTATAGATCACTAGATTTTGCTGACAAGAAAAATAAAGGGAAATAATATATAGAAGAACAATTGCTTGTAGTTTTTTTACCCCTTATTGATTTGATGCTACGTGTGTGTATATATATATTCCCATCAAATAATTTACGCGAGAATATAATAAGACTATTTCTAATTAGTGTAGAAAATTTTCTAAAGTTTTCCCCCACCATCATTGACATAGTTTCTCTATATTCCCCTCTTCTTCTCCTTCCAAGACCAAAGATAGAAAAACCTTTTCTTTTTTTGATGAATTATCGCTACTAGCTATGAGGTGAAGATCATATCAACATAACCATCAACGATCTACCATGGCTAGTACGAGCAACAAAGGCAAAGGCATAGCAGAAGGATCGTCTCAACCGCAACCGCAACCACAACCACACCAACCGCAATCACCTCCTAACCCGCCAGCGTTAAGCCGGTACGAGTCACAGAAAAGGCGAGACTGGAACACGTTTTGTCAATACCTGCGTAACCAACAGCCACCGGTTCACATCTCGCAGTGTGGCTCAAACCACATCCTCGATTTCCTCCAATATCTCGACCAATTCGGGAAGACAAAGGTTCATATCCATGGATGCGTTTTCTTCGGACAGGTTGAGCCAGCGGGACAGTGTAACTGTCCTTTGAAACAAGCGTGGGGGAGTTTAGATGCTTTGATCGGACGGCTAAGAGCGGCTTTCGAGGAGAACGGAGGGTTGCCGGAGAGAAACCCTTTTGCCGGCGGCGGAATTAGGGTTTTTCTGAGGGAAGTGAGAGATTCACAGGCGAAGGCAAGAGGAGTTCCGTACAAGAAAAGGAAGAAGAGAAAGAAGAGGAATCCAATGAAGAGTCATGATGGTGAAGATGGTACTACGGGAACTAGTAGTAGCTCCAACTTGCCTTCTTAGCGGAAGCAAACAAAATATTAATAAAACAACAGTGGGGTTAATTAATGCATGGTAAGCATTTATTTATATATAATCAATCTCTATTTACTTACCACGTTTCTGATCTGTAGCAATTCTACATATGTATTAAGTACATCTTGATAGTAAGCTTTTGTTGCAGACTTGAGTTTTATACATACGCCATACTACAAGAAATCTTACTTCTATATATGATCTTTTTATATATAACATGTGAATCAGATTCATAACCATCACTTGCTTAATTAGCTATATCTGGGCTTAACTTAAATGACTAATTTTGACGTATATTCGTTTCATTTTACGACACTGTAAACCCTAGGGAGTGTACATACATACACTGATACACACACGAGAAAACCCTAGTTTCGGCTTAGCCAGGTGTGGTATAAGTGTATATATATATATGAATATATGAATGTATGAACATTCTTTTGTTGCAATCATCTGGTTATTGTTTGCTCTTTAATTTGTAATGTACTTTATAGTCTTGTTGGATCATGAATGTTTGAGTTTGCTAAAAATTCTTAAAAAGAATATTTAATTTGATAAAGATTAATGTTCAGTTTCGCAGACTTGTTTTATTTATACCTTTTCAGTTTTCATCCTGTATTTTAGACAGGAGTATAGGCTATCCTAAAACATGCATGTTTGTATGCTAGTTTTGTGTTATAGTAGTGATCAAGAAAAAAAAAAAAAACAGCTCTGTGTATTAATCCCACCGTGATGGCACTTCAATTTTTCCTTATTGATTAAGATCCATGATTATAAAGTTTTTTGCATTTACGTTTGAAATTTGAAAATATATAACTAAAATATTGTAACATGTATTTAATGTAAACACTAATGCAAGTTAGTTTTTTCCGTTTGAAACAGATGTGGTCCAGCTAGATTTCACGTTTTGTTTATATATTAAGTTCTCATGTTATAAGATTTGGTAAATAGAGATAGTACTGAACTTGATTCATATTACATTATTACTTCATTTGTTCCAGTAATGATGGTTAATGTTATATTTCACTCTCACACACACATATGACATATACATATATAGAGTTATATATTAGATGTAAGTATAAACTATCAAAATATTTCAAATTGGGCATTGTTTTTCTTTAAGTTAGGAGTGTAAATGTCGTCAGAACTAACAAGCTCCCAACAATTGGTTTAATCAGTTGTGGTTAATTATAATGGACTTTTGACGGTATACATAGTCTTGGCTTGAAAAGCCAGTCTCTAAGAGCATGATTATTGGTAGTCTCTTAAGACACCTCTTAACTTAAGAGATATGTCTTATAACCGGAAACAAAGATGTTACTATTTGACTATCGAATTTAAGATACTTATATGTATTAATTTCATTCGACTTTCGGGTTAATTATACCTGATCTTTGCAGGATAGGTTTGACTGAAATAAGCTACTACAAAAAAAAACCCTCAGTACTATTTATATTTACCATATCTTATAACATGAGAACTTAATATATAAGACAAATTAACGACAGAAATAGTTCGTTTGTATTGTCCATTACTAGTGCATAACGGGATTTCTGTATTTGGTGACTTAATTTTTAAACTCGACTGCTTAAAAAAAAACATTATTCATTTAAGTTTAGGATCGAAGCTGTTAATAACGATAAGCAAGTCATCTGATCAAACATATTGTCTACGAAATTTGCATCAACGAGGGGATTGAGTAAAAAGGGGAATATATGAATGTTAGTATATATTATATATGCTTGTTGAAACAAAGGGCTAGTTTACTATTGGAAACCCATTTTGGATCTGAATTTTTAAATCACTTTTTGTTATAGGCTCGTAAAATTGTCAACTTTTTGGCGTGTGAAGAGAGAATATCAATACATAATGAAAGTTCCGCGACGCTTCTCTTTTCTTTGGGTCAACTCTAATTAATAATCCTGTTAAATATCCCAATCTCGTCTGTCTGCTATGTCAAATCAAAACAATGTTCTTCAAAAAACTAATCACTTCTTGTTTAAGAACAGAGAGGACAACATCTTACGAATCATCTTGCAGTGAGTTATCATCACTGAAGAACGGAGGGTTACTGGTTGAAGAACTAATCCGTATTTCGAACGGTGACTACAATCCTTTCTATATATTCTCCGAACACGAGCTGAAGCAAGCAACCAAAGACTACGATCAAGATCTTGTCTTATTTCTTGACGACAACTATAGATTGTTTCAGGGAGTTCTTGAGAACAGGGGAACTGTGCTAATTAAGAAAACGAACGATCATGATGAGCTCGTGGAATATTGCATAAGGGAAATCGCTATAGCTGCATACGTCAGCACGAACCGGAATCTGGTGAAGCTTCTCGGTTGTTGTTTGGAGAGCAAGGTACCGATTATTGTCTTTGAATATGTACCAAACGGGAATCTATCTGCTTACTTGCAGGAAGAGAACATGATTCTGCCATGGAAATGCAGGGTTCGTATCGCTGCTCAGGTCGCAGCTGCGATTGTTTATCTCCATGTTGGGAAATCGAGACCTCTGATTCACAGGCACGTGAAGACAGGTAACGTTCTGCTCGACAATAACTTAAACGCCAAGCTATTTGACTTCGGGCTGTCCCTAGAAATTCCATTAGGTGAGACCTATGTAGAAGCTTTGGTTGAAGGAACAATAGGGTTTATAGCTCCAGAATCAGTAGATACTGGCAAATTTAACGAGAAGACTGATGTTTTCGCATTTGGTGCTACGCTTATCGAGATCTTGACTGGACGAGAGCCTCATGATGTGTTCATTGAAGCCTCTCGTGATCGGTCTCCAAGCCTCACTCCAGTTTCCCTCACTCCAGTTTCAGAGCTTTCTTTAATGCCTATCCCTTTACCCACAAGAAGAGATCTTTTGGTGTTCTTGAAGTCGAATCTGATAAAGGACGGGAAGCAAAATGCTGTGGAGGCTAGCGCAGAGCTTGCTGCAAGCTGTGTAGAAGTATTGCCAGAGAAGAGGCCAACGATTGAAGAAGTGGCTAAAAAGCTGAGACAAATTCAGAACATGTAAAGTAGTCGATTTTCCAATGTTTTGTTTTATTTTTTTTGACTTTTTTTCATTGGATTGTTAACTCCCTCCAGTTATAATAGTTTTTTCTGAAAGTTTGGATTGACCTCCATGTCAATTCGTATCGAAAATGTTCTTTAGGGTTTAGGTTTTCATAAAGATATGGGGGCGACATGCCTATGATGACGAACCCAAAGTCATAATTACTCATAAGCAGAGAATTGGGACGAAAATATTACAATGTAAGAGTATAGGGTTCAGCTTGTTCAAAACAGAGATTTTGGGGTGGAAATATTAAAACTTTAAAGTTCGGGATCTAACTTGTTAAAACCAAATACATTAGGTGAAAAACATAATAAAGTGAAAGTTCAGGCGTTGAAATGCAGTAAATGGTAAAAGAGAGATCTAATATAAAAATTAAAAAGTGAACTAATGACAAAAACGGAAACCTTGAAATTCTTCTTCGCCGGAAAACAGAACAAAGAATGATGAATCTTCACGACGATGAATCTCTGAAGCAAGAAGTCATCTACCTTCACTCCCTCTGGCACCAAGGTCCTCCGACCCGAAACCCAATCCCTAGCCCTAATTTCAACCCGATTCAACGACCCAGGTCGAATTACATCCCGCCGGCGGATTTGCAACTTCTCTCTCGCTATGGAGCTGTTACTCCACAGATCATATCCAGAAACCCTAACAATCCTCAAAATCTATACAATAACAAGCGTCCGAGGTCCGATTCGGGTCGAGAATGGCCCGTCAACGATGTGCTTCAGTCTCCTCCTACGGGATCTGGATGGCCTGAATACAGGCCGTGTAAAAAGGCGCGTCCTGTTTCGGCGGAGGAGAAAGAGAAATTGGCTGCGAATATGCTTCAGAGAGATATCCATCGCACCTGTCGCGAGTTTTTCGGTAGAAAATCCGGTGAAGAAGATAGCTCAGTCGCTGGAGGAGATGACTCTGAAATCGATGAAGGAGACGATGATCAGTCTACGGAGAAAGAAGAATCTTCTTCCAAGGAGTTCCAGTTTCTATCGAGAGTGTTTGAAGAGAATGTGAAGCTCAAGGATTACTATGAGAAGAACACTGGGAATGGAGAGTTTTGGTGTTTGGTTTGTGGTGGCACTGGAGAGAAAAGTTGTAGGAAATTTAAGAGCTGTTTAGCTTTAATTCAGCATTCACTTGCGATTCACAAGACGGATTTGAAAACTCATCATAGAGCTCTTGCACAAGTTGTCTGCAATGTTCTTGGCTGGGACGTTAACAATCCAGTTGTTTCTAGCCAAAAAGACGCTCAGGTTAGATTTGATGACTTGAAAGAAGTTAGCTTGCAACTATTGCAGTCTGTGGCTTCAAAAAAGATGATTGCTTTGCTTGTGGGAATTCAATTAATGGCCGGATTATAGTCTGATAATGATCAAAGACAAGCTTATCAGTTTATTAATGTTGTTGTGAGGAAATGTTTTGATCTGATTATGGCGACATGAATTTGCTGGCTCATTGTGATTCTTGAATGGTTCTGGTCATTCAGAGATACTAAACCTTTTTTTTGTTTTTTTGGTTATTGCTCTTGATAGACGGTTGTGGAAGGTGCATCTGAGCCGCCTTCAGACTCGAAGATTCCTCAGGAGAAACAACAGGTCATGTCGGTTGAAGAACACGCAAAGGCTGCTGTGTTACAAATGCAACAGAATGCATCAGAAGGTTTGAAAGACATTTTCACCAAGGATGGTACTGGTTCAGTTGATGAAATTGCGGAGAACGGTGATGAGAATTTGTCTGAGGAGTTGGAGTTAATATCTAGAGTCTTCTCAGAGAATGTTGAGCTCAAGAGTTACTATGAGAAAAACTATGAAGGTGGAGCCTTTATCTGTCTGGTGTGTTGTGCTGCGACTGATACGAAGATGATAAAAAGATTCAAACACTGCTATGGAGTTGTTCAACATTGTACTAAAGTACCGAAAATGAAAATACGAGCTCACAAGACTTTTGCTCGTTTTGTCTGTGAACTACTTGGCTGGGATTTTGAGCTTCTACCACGTAGAGTAATGAAAGGCGTTGCTTCTCTTGCTATATCTAATGCTAATGAGAACAATGAGAACCCATCATCTGTGGTCGAGGTGAGAAAGAATACCAAGAGAACAAGCACTCTCTATTATCCTTTTATTTCTTAAATTAAATTGTGAAGCATTTCAGGAACACATGTGCGAAGATAAAGCTGATAACCCACAGGACAACAATGAGGCTGATGCATGCGTCGGTTAGTAGTATACACTGTACATGATTACATCTAATCACAGTTTTTGATATAGATAGAACCTTAGTTATTGCTTTGAGACATTTTAAGCTGGTTGATGGATTTTTTAAGTTTGATGCAATTAACCAAGTATTTATGTTTTGTCTACGCAGAGGCTTAATCATATTGTTTCTCTTCTACGTATTCAATTTAAGGAGTCAAGAAGCACAAAGTTATGTATATGGAAGGCACTGAATCTTCAGGTACGATCATATTTAGTCTTCGGCATCTTATCAAACTTCTCACGACTTGGTATGGAATCATTAATGACAATATGTATTAGTGTACCCAACTTTTGATTCTGAATTTTGATTATTTAAAAATACTCTCTTCTTTTTTGTCCAAAATAAAATAAAATATATTCTCTTCTTTTCTCACTGAGAATTTTGGAGGTATTATAACAAAAGTTTCCATTAAAGTGTAAATATTAAATAGAATGTTGCAAGACACTGACTAAATCATTTATTTACATGAAACATTTGTTATAAAATATACAAATGTTCTCATAATTTTAATAAAACTTCAATTTCAGAAAAAAACTAATGAACGTCCGAATAAAATATTTTTTGCGAAGTATCGTTTTTACTGTAAAAAGAATAATAATAATTAATTTCGTGATATTAAATAATTTAATCACATGTTGGGCTATCTGGGCCGACAGTTGTGGGCCTTAAACAACCCTCATATTACCCAAATTTATTAAATTTTCCCTCTTAAATCCAATGGGTCCAATACGGGCGGGTCAATATCTTTTTGACACCTCTAAAATTGTTCACAGGAAAACCGCAAACAGAAAAACATAACAGTCAGTCTGGAAAATCAGATCAAAATGGGGAAAAAAGAAGGTTCAAAGATGAACATCGCCATTATACATCCAGATCTTGGAATAGGTACGATCTCCATCAAGCGTTCGATTTTAATATCACCTGATTTAACGTAATTGATAGATCAAAAACGAGTTTAACAGACTTAAATTTTGATTCACGAATCAATTTTTGGATCTCACAGCTAGTGCGTTGTTTCTGGTATATGCAGGCGGAGCAGAGAGATTGATTGTTGATGCGGCCGTTGAGCTTGCGTCGCATGGTCATAAAGTTCATGTCTTCACCTCTCACCACGACAAATCCAGATGCTTCGAGGAAACTCTTTCTGGTGAGTGACGATTTTGCTTGACTTTATTATAGAGCGGAAGCTTTTCTACAAAGTTTCATATTTGAATAAAGATGTTTGCTTTGAAAGAGCTATCTACAGAGAGTTTAGATTCTTGACTCTCAGTTTCTCATTTGGTTTTCTATATGGTTTTAGGATATTCTTCAAATTTGTAAGCATTATATAATCACGGTTTGAGATTTATGATTCATGTCTTGACAACTATCCAGGTATCTTTCAAGTTACGGTGTATGGATCTTTCCTGCCACGCCATATTTTCTACAGACTACACGCAGTGTGTGCATATTTTCGGTGCTTGTTTGTTGCTCTCTGTGTTCTTTTGGGTTGGTCTTCATTCGATGTTATACTAGCAGACCAGGTTTCAGTCGTAGTCCCATTGCTGAAACTCAAAAGGTCATCTAAGGTATTCAAACTTTGCTTTTAGTCATCATATCTTGTCCTCACTTTATACAGTAGCTTAATCTTGAACATATGTGGATATAGGTTGTTTTCTACTGCCATTTCCCGGATCTCTTGCTAGCTAAGCATACAACAGCACTTAGACGGATGTATCGGAAACCCATTGATTTCATCGAAGAACAAACCACAGGTTTGGTTTTCATTCATTTCCTCTTACTTACATCCATCTGACATCAACTGTTCTTATATCACTTGTGGGATTGTAGGGATGGCTGATATGATCCTTGTTAACAGTAACTTCACGGCATCAACATTTGCCAATACATTTCAAAGGCTAAATGCACAAGGAAATCGCCCAGCTGTACTTTACCCAGCAGTCAATATCGACCAGTTCAATGAACCCCATACTTATAAGTATTGTATATCCCTGAACTCCAAATTTCCAGGATAGAAAAGCAAGTTTCCTTATGGCAGATTACTTCTGTGCCGGTTTCTATAACTTCTTCTCTTCTGCTTTGTCTCGAGCAGGTTGAATTTCCTCTCCATAAACCGCTTTGAGAGGAAAAAGAACATCAATCTAGCCGTTTCAGCTTTTGCTATGCTATGCAAACATAAGCAAAATCTGAGAGATGTTACCCTTACCGTTGCAGGCAAGTGTATTTTTATTATTCATATTGCTTCCATAATCATTATCAGATGGAGATTTACCGTTTGTATTCTAACAAAACTCCGTTATTCAGGTGGATATGACGAGCGATTGAAGGAGAATGTAGAGTACTTGGAGGAGCTCAGAAGTTTAGCCGAGAAAGAAGGAGTTTTTAATCGAGTTAACTTTATCACATCTTGTTCAACTGCTGAAAGAAATGAACTTCTCTCAAGCTGCTTGTGCGTTCTCTACACGCCTACGGTAAAAGTCATCATCCTTTTTTGTCTTCCTCCAAGTTTCAATCTCATCTCAATTCTCATGGTTCATGTCAAATGCTAGGATGAACATTTTGGTATTGTTCCGTTAGAAGCAATGGCTGCATACAAACCGGTGATAGCATGCAACAGCGGTGGCCCCGTGGAGACGGTAAAGAATGGAGTAACAGGCTATCTTTGTGAACCGACTCCAGAAGATTTCAGTTCGGCGATGGCTAGATTCATTGAGAATCCTGAGTTGGCGAATAGAATGGGAGCTGAAGCCAGGAATCATGTCGTTGAATCATTCTCTGTGAAGACGTTTGGACAGAAGTTGAATCAGTATCTCGTTGATGTCGTATCAAGTCCTAAAGAAGATTGAGATTCCTCTGTTTAGCGATCATAGATCGTTCGTTAAACAGCATACTTTAGGCTTAGGTCTGAAACTACAGGAGCTTTATTGTTGGATCAATCATGTTGAACTTGAAGATTGGTTAAGTTTAGGTTGACAGTTTTGTTTTCGGTTTGGGTTTGAGGATAAATTTGAGGAAATAAAATCGAATCAGTAAATCGCAGTCTCTGGTCAGATATGGACCAAGTCAATGACATTTCGGTCTATAAAATTTGTGCTTTATTGGGCTTGTGTAATAATCATGTTAACATTGCATGAGGTGGTACTATATGGGCCAGGCCGGATTATTCTACAATATAGATTACACTTTACTAAAACGGTGTCGTTATGGTCTAGAAGCTATAGGCAAATAATTGAAGAATATCCCCACGCGCATGATGAGCGCGTATAGCGCGTGTCAGCAATTCGGGTAGGTTATAGACTTATAGTCCACAAAAATCGCAGGATTTTTAAAAATTTGAGAAAGTGAGCTAAGTGAGGCGCGTCTGAGAAATTCAACCAAACAATGCGTTTTATGGGCTGAGTATTATTAATAGGCTGGGCTTATTCTCCACCATATCGATTTGAGAAAACGTTGTCGTTTTAGATTTCGTTTCTTTTTCCTTCATCGACTTGCAAATTCCAGTTCTCTTCCCTCCAATCCTCCATCGGAGCTCGTTGTCGCGGCCTCACTGTAAATCGCTACCTTCGTTGTATCAACATCTCAAGGTATAAATAGCTTGTGATTTTTCAATTGTAGAATCGGTTTTGTGAATTTGTATGTAATGGTTGTGATTTTCCATGATTCTAGTTTTACTTTTTCAAAATAATTTCTCTGAGTTTTTAGCGGTCTCCGTTTTGGTATTTGCACCAGGAAGCTTCGTTACATGCGTCATGGATGCGAACAATACCTTCGATTCTGTAATCTCTGCTCACGTCTTCATTTTTCTCCTTCGCCGTTTTATCGTCTCCATTCGACGATTCTCACATTCTTACCTTCGATTTTCATGGAATTAGGATCTGATTCATGCCATTTTTAAGCACATTTGGGCCCGAAGATTTCGCGGTACACATCCATGTTTTCTCAGAGAAACTTATTCGCTTTATGTTAAATCTTATCTGCGAGCTTTTTTTATTCGATTGCGATGCAGAAAGGGAGAGGAGCGATGCAATTGATGCTACGGAAGCTGAGGTATTCTATTCAAATTGCAAGTTTCATGCTCATAAATTGAAATTTTCCTTTGGTATCGTAATTCCTTCACTAGATACTGGTGTATGAGGTTAATCTTGTAACAGCTATGATCTTCTGATTTCGAAATTTCAAAATGTTTTTTAAAATGGAGAAAAATTACCATTTGTGATGCTAGGTTGTGTATTTACACTTTGTGCAGATTGCTCTGGGAACAACCAAGAAGAACAGACTTGCTTCTGGTTTGTTTATACACTGTGGCTTACTTTGTCATGTATAATTGGGAGATGAGACATTAATATGTCTGGTTATTGGTTCTTGTAGCAAACGCAAATGCTTTAAAACTCAGCTGTGAACTTCTCAAGAGTTTTGTCTCAGGTCCATGTTTGCATTTTAGAAACTACTTAGTGTTCTCCTTAAGTCATGTTGTATCTATAGTCTATCTAAAGGATTTTTCTCGGCATTCGCAGAGGCTGTGCAGCGTGCTGCTATAATCGCTGAAGCTGAGGGAATGGACAAGATTGAAGCTACTCATTTAGAGAGGATTCTTCCCCAACTTCTTTTGGACTTTTAAGGTATGATTGAGAATAGCACATGCTTGTCCCTGCATCTTTCTTTTGTTTTATTTTGCTTCTGTTGACATTGATGTTGATGAACTAATGAAAATGAAATCTCGTTTCTTTTGCTCCTCGTCTAAAAATACATAACGCCTAGAGCATGTGTTCTTGTAGTGATATGTTATTTGATCTTTTCCTTTGTAGAAATATGTGAAGAATTACCAGGGACTATTCCACAAGAGTTATTCTGAAGATCATACCACTAGTTTGTTTATAGGCTAGGCTAATGTGGTAATATATGGTTCATGTAGAACGAAATCTATATATATATTTGACTTGATTCTGGATATATGCTCTATGTGCTTCAGAGCTGATTCCAATGCTATCACCAGTAACACACCAAAATACTCTGAAATGTAAGAATAAATCTTAGCCATCGTCGATCTTCCGCTCTTAGAGATTTTCCCTTTCTTGATCGTAGAAGGCTGACCTAAAGCGGAAGAGCGAGATGTAGGAATCTTCTTACGGTATGAAAGAACAATTTCTTTAGCCTTCAGATCTGCAGAAACAGCAAGCACAATGTAAGAGCTTGTCTAAACTGAGGATACATTATCTTTCTTATTATCCTCCACAGGTTTACGGTAATTAAGACTAAAGCTATCTGTAAACCAATTGTAAAGAGACAGTACCTTTGCATTTGGAGACAAGTCTTGATTTTGCACAGGCACATAAGTATGATCTTGGAGACAATGCATAACACATAATGTCTCGCTGCCACCTGAAAACCCAAAAGGAGCTTTAAGATTAAGACCATGAGGAAACAGGGCATTGACTAAAATCAGACAAAAAAAGAGAAGTTTTGAATAGTCATAGTCGTACAGTTGCAAGGGGTTTGACATTTGTATGAGTGAAGGCTCTCAAGTAGAGGCACAGTATGAGTGAAGCACTGCAACACAGAAGCTATGAAACAAGTGTTGCCTGAATTATATAACCTAGCACCCTAAAGAATAATCAAACGTGAAAAATTAATCAATTTTGGATGAAAATATATTGATGCCAACAAAAAGAAAAGAGATTTAGGTGGATAGGTAGGGAACATACAACACCGGTTGGTTCAACGTAACGAAACGACCATGAGAATTCCACAGGTTTGGTTGAATACGAGTCTCTGGTGGGGTCTGGATAGTATGACAAACTATCCATTCGGAGAAAATCGTTGTTGTTTGCAGGCGGTGGCATGATTTGAGAATTTCTGTTGTAAAAGTGGAAACGGCGAAGAAGAAGGAGAAGAAGAGTTTTATGTATATTCTTCCTTTTTTTCCATAAACGGAATCTCCCGCCAGTAAAAAAACTTCTTCAAACCGTGAGTGATGACTCTTCTAATCTTGACGACCAAAACCTGACATCTGTCTTTTTTGCTGACATCATCGTCATATGTAAAAAGGTTACATTGGTATGGTTACTACATAAAGTAGAGTCAGAGATTGTGTCTTCTTATCTTTATAATCTCTATGCAAACTCACAAAAATGTCTTTTTCTGCGGATGCTCTAGAGGGTGGACTTTCGTCTCTGAAATTGGCCGCCGACAAGTACCGATCAATCTTGAACGATGAAAAAACGGGAAACATACGGTGGAGATACGGTGGTCCTCCGATTTTCGACACCGTGAACAAGCTTTTCGAAGAAGAAAGAACCCATGTAACTAAAACCAACTCTTTTCTCTTGCCTATCTTTATTTTTATCAACAATATGCTTAGATTGTGACTAACACAAATCACCACGATGTTAGACTATACGAAAACATCATAAAATATAAGTAGTGACCTATATAGTAATTAAATGGTTCACTAGTTTCTGCAGTAATTCCCAAAAAAAAAAGAATCTTTGATTACCATATAATTTCCGATGTGAATAGCAAACATATACTTAAAAGAGTTACACAAGACTTTCTTGTACAATTCCTTGGTTTACACTTTTTAATTCCTAATTTCCTAGTCTTAGAAAATGTCATTATGTAATTGGATGGAAAAGAAGCCAATTTAGACAGACAAAAAAGTAATTGTGGGTTATTGGTTGCAACATGGTCATGAAGATATTTAGAAATATGATTGAGACAATTAACAACTTCAAAATGTCAACTTTACGTGGATGAGAAAACGGGATTCACCACCACTAATCCATTTTAAACTATTTTCTTAATATATCAACATGTATTGTGAGATTATAAAAGATACAAGCAATCATAACTCTTTCTCCATCAAAAGCTAATATGGCTACTACGGAAGAGAGAGATAAGTATAGATCAGTCCTTGAAGATGCAAGACAGGTTCAATGGAGGGATGGTCACCCTCCCGACTTCAATAGTGTGAACCAGCTCTTTGAAGAAGGCCAGACCAAGGTCCTTCGGTTAATTTATGTTTCACTTGAGGTATGTGCTATGTTTATAATTTGTGAATCTGATTCGTTGATCGTGATTGATTTTGAGCGCAGGTGTGGCCACAAGGGTCGTTAGAAGAGACGGTGCAAAACGCTGTCAAGTCATGGGAGATGGAGTTCTCACATAAGATCCGTTTACAGGACTTTAAGACTATAAACCCTGAGAAATTTACGCTCTTTGTCAATGGTAACTAATTACAAATAGCACTTGATCAATATGATAATAAACTGCATAATTACCGAACAAAGATTCAAGTGTCTTTTAAATTATTAGGGAGAGAAGGTTTATCAGCTGAAGAGACGCTTAGGCTTGGGAGTTACAATGCTTTGCTCAAGAATTCTTTGCCTGAAGAGTTTCAGTACTATAAGCCAGAGGAAGAGAGCTTCGAGTCATCACATGACGCCTTTAAATCTGCTTTACCACGCGGGTTTGCGTGGGAAATACTCTCTGTGTACTCGGGGCCACCTGTTATAGCCTTCAAGTTTAGACACTGGGGATACTTTGAAGGAACTTTCAAAGGTCATGCTCCTACTGGGGAAATGGTTCAATTCATGGGTCTAGGAGTTCTAAAGGTATGTCTGAAACATGAATTTGTGTCCCTCATAATCTTTAAATGGTTAAAACTCTAGCATCAGGATTTTACTTACTTCTAGAGGTTCTCTACAGGTTGATGAAACGCTTAGAGCAGAGGAGATTGAGATTTACTATGATCCAGGAGAGCTGTTCGGGGGACTACTTAAGGGACCTCCTATATCAGAGACCAAAACCACAGAAAGTGGAGACAACACTGCAGAAAAACAAAGCTGCCCATTCACACACTAAGAAAAAATAATGATCTATGAATGTCTATTGTCCGTATAATGGTGGTTTATACCAGAAAATAAGAAAAGCAGAAGTGTATTTGACCCTTTAAAGAATATATTGTAACAGTCTCTTGGTTATTGATGCATGGAATAAATTATAAGTTATGTTAGGCGTCACAATGATAATAGTACAGATAAATTACAACAAGAACTAGAATAAGGCGGTTAATTTAACTGACCAATTTCTAGCAGAGCTCAACCTTTGCATCAACCCCATTCTGACATTCATCCATGAGAGCCACGTTCAACATCTCAGTACAGTATTGATCATCAGGTTTCAACCACAAGGCCTGAAAATAGAGGGAAAAAAACAGAAAAAAGAATCATCAGAGAAAATAAAAAATGTATAGCCCTTATTCTGACTCTGATAGAGAAGAAAAGTGTTTATATGTTAATTATTAAGGAAATAATTATCGTTCTCTCATATATAGTAGTGTGTATACCTTGTGATAATATGAGATGGCAGCTGAGAAATTCCCCTGGACAAAAATGAGATGGAAATGGAAAAATTACGGGTTTTGTTATAATCAACGTTAGTACTGTTTCAAAGAAATGACTGGTGTTTAAAAGTACATTCAAATACCTGCAAATGGTAGGTGTAAGCCAAGCCGGAATAAGTGCTTAAGCTTTTAGTTGATAGTGTAAGTGCTCTTTCATAATATGAGATAGCTTCACGGTCCTTTCTGTTGATAATAATTCACAAGTCAATTCACAAGACGAGATTGCCTACATAAGAGGAACACCATAGTAGTTGTGTGTGCAACAATATACCTTAGCTTTCTATATGCATGAGCGAGATTGACCACAGTTGGTTCCCAGGTTTCAGTTAATACAGATGGTATATGGGACAATGTCTTCTCAAACCACCGCACAGCTTTACCATACCTGAAATGTAGTTAATGTTGTTGATTCAATTTATTGGATAGTTCACCTTCTTCCCATTTAATAATGTAGCTTTGTCATTAAATAACATTTGGAAATTTCGGAGATAAGCAGACTGTAGAGAGAAGAGGAACACACTCTTTCATATGATATGCAACAACTCCGAGTTCATTATAAACAAGTGGATCTGAAGGGCATATCGCCTTTGCTTGCATGAAAAACTGGACAAAGAGAAGGGATAAAAATAAATACAATATTAGCACAAAAATAGGTCATCTAATTTGAAGACACCACACAACATTTTCTAACTTGTTACCTGGTCCGCAAGCTTGTAGCTGTGAGTTCGCATATACTCCATTCCAATGTACAGAGTTGGCAAATGACACCTGGAACAAGATAATATCAAGATTCAACCTGTAAAAAACAATTTGTAATAAGAAGACTTCTACAATGCTTCAGGGCTAAGAATGATTCATTTTGGACACAAGTTACAGATTTACAGTCATTAGTTTTGAAGAAAACAGGAGTAACTTGATTACCCTGGAAATAGCCTAGCGGCAGTGCGATAGGCAGACATGGCTTGGTCACCCTCCTCTTGGGCCGCAAAGGAATTACCATAACCTATCCAAGCTGGTGAGAATGAGCCATCTATACTTGTAGCTTTGCTGCAAGACCATATTAAAAGAAATGGAGCTCCAGGTCAGACACATATGCACCTACCTACTACTACTAGAGTTGATCAAGACTGCATAATCCCATAACATAGTTACCTAAAGTACCGCCGAGCTTCAGCATACTTTTTGATACAATAGTAGTAACAGCCCACAGCAAACCATGACAACGCCCTTCAAGACCATGTATGAGTATTTATACCACAGAGCATCAAGCAAAGGAATCATGAAAATTTGGATCAAACATTTTAACGAGATCAAGTACAGAAAACATATTCAACCAAAAAAGCATGCTCTTGAAGTTGATTCATGGTCTTGACAAGCTGAACCATAAAACAGGTTAACTATCCTAGCCAGGATTGGGATAAAAACATAAGAACTATATACATGCTCACCCACTGGCCATATAGCTTGAGAAAAAAAATTAATACTTACTTCGAAGGGTAGTCCTTTACCAAATTGCACGCCATTAGATAGAGCTCATTTGAATTACCAAGTTCCATGGCAGCGGCCAAATGTACCAAGGTACACTTCAGATGAAACGGATCTTTCTCAAGGAGCCTGTCAAATAAGACCAAAAGAGACCACATTGCTAGAAGCATTCGAGTTTCATATTGCTCAAAATTTAGTATCCGCAGTAATATACAACTTACGCAGCGGTTAGTTCGAAACACTTTTGATATTCACAGCATTGATGGTAGTACTCAGCTTTACAGGCCAACAGATCAGTGTTATTAGCCAATGTGGTCATAGATGAGCCAGAGACACTACCACTAGTCTCGTTCTCAAGCTTCTTGAACTTGAGTTCTACCGTGTTCTCTTTGTCATACTGGACATGAAGAAATAGTAAGTACCAAGAAGAAAAGAAAATATGCTTACAAAAAGAAATCAACAGAATAGAGAATCAGCAAGTACATCCAAATATAGGTGCCACATAACTATTGACACATTGGATCAAACACTTAACCACATAAAAATGTTTACCTTCTTTATCAAGCATGAATAGAAAGAAGAGAGCCATCCGTCTTCTGGACTAAATTGCAGTGCAGAAAGCAGACTCGATTCTGAATTTTATGTAATTAAAGTCTCAGTTCCTTCTAGTCATGTAAACGACTGGACCATGAAATAAATAAGACGATAAAATAAAAAACAACAAAAATGCTTAAACTATAACTCACCTTCTTCAGATGTAAGCATATGACTTTCAATCAGGCATTCCAAAGCCTGAAAGGATAGATTAAAGAAATCACATCCATGTAACAGTTTTCTGATATTTACAGGAGGTAACATCAGGTTTTACTACTATACAGTAATGAAGAGAATTTTATCTTCCCACATTAGCTCTGCAACTTCCATGGTAACTAAAAATTACATGCAGCAATTGATTAGGGCGGTAGAAGTACCTCATAGCACAGAGGATCAGCCTTGATAGCAGCTTTGTACCTGCAAACACAACCGAAATTAATGAGTTAATTAAATATGAAGTTCAAGATTCCCACACAACACTCAATCATAATAGATGGATCAGCCAACATACACACAAGTTCCCAACATTTCCTACTAGCACTTAAGTGAATCTTTTTATACATGCTAAGTTCATGTAAGAACACTAAATCGATAAGATCACTCTCTCACAATCATCAAAACGCAGATGACAGATGATCCCCTGAACAAGAAAGATAAGGTGAAAGAAGGCTCACTGACCATTGTCGAGCCTGAGAACGGTTTTGTAAGGCTCCGTATGCTTTTCCTCTTAGAAAGCATATCGCCGATGATATCTGCAAAAGTAGATAACCATATATCAGTTCAGATACTAGCATAATCTTCAACCTCGAATGGTATAGTGGAAACAGTATGTAGTAGTAGTCGACCAGTTAATGTAATTCCAACAGTTTCACTAACAAACCTTCCAGAATCTGAGTAGATCTAAATTGAAATATTATACATTTGAAAGTTGTAAAAAACTTACATTAATTTCTCGGTCCTCTCCATCTTTATCAAAATCTATCACGTTCCCGTCTTTAGCATCATACACAATTCCATCTTCATCAACCTTCGCATCACCAAGCATCAAGAGACACTGATCCCACTCCTTCAATTCCTCCTGAGAAAACACAAAAATTACCGATAAACCCTAAAACCTTCCATTGAAGCGAAACAATCTGAAATTCCTAAACCCATCCCACTTAAAACAAGAGAAATAGATAGAAAAATTGGAATTACGAGGCACTTGGCGGCGAGGTAACGGAATCGAAGATCTCGGAGGACAATCTTAGAAGCGTTAAGAAGGTGAAAGGCGCGACGGTAGTGGCGGCCAAGGAATAGAGCTTGAGCTTGCATATATATGTCAGCTGGATCATTGGTAAGAGCCGCTACTTTATCGGCGAAGAAGATGGCTGACGAATACAAGTGCTTACTGACGCAGTCTCGAACCACGCCTCGGATCTTCTCAATTTCTTCTTCCCTCATAATTTCCTCGCCTCTCGAATACTTCCAGACGAAATCCAGAATCAGCAAGATCTAAGAAAAGTTCGTAACAAAACCAAAAAAACGGAAGATTATTGGGAGATTTTGTTCGTCCGCTTTCTCTAGTTGAAAGTGTTTGAGCGACAGAGGCGGGACAAGGGAAGAGCCTCGGCGGGAGTGTGAATATATTTTTCCACCCACCCCTTCCATAAATTATGGGCTTTAAGCCCATTGTGTTCAGGCTTGACGTAGTAAATGGTGGAGCCCTAATGAGGTTTGGGCTTTCGGCCCATTAACACAGTGCAAAAAAGTTAAGTGACGCGCCTATAATTAAATATGGGACCCACAGGGCCACGAGTTAATCGTTCTACTATGCGCTGGTTTGACTAATTACACGAGTCGATTATTCTATCGTGCGCCACCCCTGTTATTTAGCCACTAGTGGAGTAGAACTGTTGGAAAATACAAGCGTTACGATAACCCTCAGGCTGGTGAATTCCACGAGGATTCGTCTCTGCATATATATATCACCCTTCTCCATGACCATGAGCCTTCATATTTGATTTCTTCATGCTGCTTCCCGAAATCGCAGGTATAGATTTATGTCGTTAGGTTCCTTGTGAAATTCAATAGATATTTTATCCAACATTTAGTCGACTTTTTCATCAAATCATGTTGTGTTTTTCTTCTTCTTTGATTTGACATTTGCGATGCAGATTAACATGGATAGAGGAGGAGATGCGAAACGTGAAAGAAGAAGCGATGAGGATAGGCTGAGCAACTTACCAGAATCCTTACTATGTCAGATAATGTTGAATATCCCGACCAAGGATGTGGTTAAGAGTAGTGTGTTATCCAGAAGATGGAGAAACCTCTGGAGATATGTACCTGGTTTGAACGTGGAGTACAGTGAATTTCTAGACTATAACGCTTTCGTGAGTTTTGTTGATAGGTTTCTGGGTGTAGAGAGAGAGTCCTGCTTCGAACGTTTTAGGTTAAGGTACGATTGTGATGAAGAAGAGCGCACTATTTCTAATGTCAAGCGGTGGATCAACATTGTCGTCAACCAAAAACTTAAAGTTCTCGACGTTTTGGACTACACTTGGGGGAATGAGGAAGTCCAGATACCTCCATCCGTATACACATGCGAGAGCTTGGTGTCTATGAAGCTCTGTAATGTGATCTTGCCTAATCCTAAGTTTATATCTTTGCCTTTGGTCAAAGCTATCGAGCTTGACATAGTTAAGTTTGCCAATGCTTTGGTTTTGGAAAATCTCATCTCAAGCTGTTCAGCTCTTGAAAGCTTGATTATAAGCAGGAGTTCCGTTGATGATATAGATGTTTTACGTGTCCGTTCTCGGTCTCTACTGCGCTTCAAACATATTGGTAATTGTTCTGATGGTTGGGAGGGATGCGAAGTTGAAATTGATGCTCCTAAGCTTGAGTATCTGAACATCAGTGATCATTCAACCGCAAAGTTCAGTATAAAGAATTCGGGTTCTCTTGTTGAGGCGAATATCAATATCATATTTAATATGGAAGAGCTACCAGATCCAAATAATCGGCCAAAGAGAAAAATGATTCAAGATTTTCTAGCCGAGATCTCTAGTGTCAAAAAATTGTTCATCTCTTCGCATACTCTTGAGGTAATCTTTGTCTACTTTGCGTTTAAGTTTTTTTTTTTTTTGTTGAATTCGATGTTTTGGTGCTTAAGCTTTTTCATATAAGAAACATAATCACCTATATTTACTTTGCAGGTTATATTCGATTTGAGTTGTGAACTACCCGTATTTCATAACCTATCTTCCTTGCACATAGACTTCGAAGACCACAGCTTGACAATGTTGTCCACCTTTCTCCAGAGCTGCCCAAATATAAAATCTCTTGTCGTGGTTAGGGTTATTTTGCTTTGAACAATGAACTTGCTTTTCTATAATGCTAATGGTGGAACTATCATATGCTTAGCTTGTGTTTCTTCTATTCGATTGTATATGCAGGAATTTAAGGATTCCTCAGAAGAGGACGGAGTTGGAGTTTTATCCATACCTCGTTGTTTCTCAACAACACTCGAATATGTTAAGATAGAAAGGCCTATCACAGGGGAAGCGAGGGGGATGAAACTAGTTAGTTACATTTTGGAGAATTCAGCAATCCTCAAGAAACTGACTCTAAGCTTGAAGAGTTCCAGGGAGAAAGAAGAATCTGTCATTCTCAAAGAACTCCTTACAATTTCAAGACTCTCTACCTCATGCAAAGTTGTTGTTTCTGAACCTCGTAGTTGTTGGGTACTTGCTTAATGTGAAGTATATGTATTCTTTATCGTTTGTGATGATTTTCATGTTTCGTTGCTTGGAAGACAATCATGTGTTTATTAATTTTAATGACTATGTTCTGTCCATTTTATTATTTATTCACTAGAAATTATGTTCTAAGAGAAAGACGAAGGAAGAACTTGTAGATTTGGAGATTACTGTGTGGTCAAATCCTATTAGCCCATTATGACTTACCGATGTCGTATTAACTAATCGGATCATTTACCGAATTGATCCGAACCGGATTTGGAACAGAGTGAAACTCTGAAGGCTGAACGGCCGCCGGAGAATGTGGAACGGGTAGACAAAAAATATGTATGTTTTGATATAGTTCACGATTTTTAGGAACTGTCGATGATCGATACCTTTAATCAAATCACTATTACAAGTTTTTAAGGATTTCGTTTCGATTTGATATATGCGTTATGGATGAAGACGGTGAGAAACGTGTTCGTGCCAAATGCTCAGGTGAAGTTGATTGGATAAGCAATTTGCCAGATTGTTTGCTATGTCAGGTACTCTTGAAACTTCCCACGAAAGATGTAGTCAAGAGTAGTGTGTTATCCACTAGATGGAGAAATATGTGGAAGTATGTACCTGGATTGAACTTGAGTTATTGTGATTTCCATGTCCGCAACACATTCTCGTATGACCACAACACATTCTTGAGTTTTGTCGACAGCTTTATGGGTTTTAATAGTCAATTTTGTTTTCAACGTTTTAAGTTAGAGTATGATTCTGGTGGGTATGGTGAGACTATAATTGCTCTGATTATGCGGTGGATCAACAGTGTTGTTAGTCGGAAAGTGAAATATCTCGGTGTTTCGGATGATTCATGTGACTGTGTTGATTACGAGATGCCTCAAACCATTTACACTTGTGAGACCTTAGTATACTTAACGCTCGATGGACTATTCTTGGCTAGTCCCAAGTTTGTTTCTTTACCTTGTCTTAAAGAGCTCCATCTAAGTATTGTCAAGTTTGCTGACGATTTGGTATTGGAAACGCTCGTTTCACAGTGCCCAGTTCTAGAAAACCTAACTATCAACAAGAGTTTCTGTGATGATTTTGAATTTACATGTGTGCGTTCTCAGTCTCTATTGAGCTTCACTCATGTTGCGGACAGTGATGAGATGTTAAATGAAGATCTAGTAGTTGCAATTGATGCCCCCAAGCTTAAGTATCTGAGGCTCAGTGATCATCGAATTGGTAGTTTCATAATAAAAAATCTGGCTTCGCTTGTTGAAGCTGATATCGATACTGTCTTTAACTTGAGTTGCAAGAAGATGTTCGATCCAAATGATCTGAAAAAAAGAAATATGGTTGGTGATTTTCTCGTCGGGATCTCTAACATAAAAACATTGATCATCGCTTCGAGTACTCTTGAGGTAACTTATATTAAATTTGCTATTTGAATGCTTAACTCTATTATAATCCTGATACTTTTTTTTTGGGTCGTAGGTCATTTATGATTACTCAAGATGTGAGCCACTACCCTTATTCCATAACCTAACTTCCTTGCGTGTTGAGTTCTATGGCTACAGGTGGGAAATGTTGCCAATCTTTCTTGAGAGCTGCCCTAACCTAAAATCTCTTTTCGTGGTGAGGATTGTCTACTGAACCATGAACTTCCCATCTTAAGATGCAAATGGTGAAAGTATATCATATATTGAACTTATGTCTCTTCCACTCGGTTAAATGGTACTTGCAGGGATCTGCTAATTATAGGGAGAAGGAGGGAATTAATATCTTGTCCGGACCTCGACGTTTCCTATCATCTCTCAAGTATATTAAGATACAAAGACCATTGAAAGGAGAGGCGAAGGAGATGAAACTAGTGAGTTACTTACTTGAGAATTCAACAATCCTCAAGGAACTGACAATATGCTTGGATAATTCCATAAAGAAAGAAGAATCTGTCATCCTAAAAGAACTCCTTACCATTCCAAGACTCTCTACATCATGCAAAGTTTTCGTTCTCTGATGATCCTCATAGTCATCACCAATAAACATAAAAGGTTATTTGTCTCTGAGTACTTACTTAGTTAATAAGAATTCTTTGTTTTCTCTTAGTTTGCGATGATTTCATAACGGTTGTGTTCTTTTTGAAGATTCAGTTCTCGTGACCAGGCATTAGTATTCGTAGCTTGGTGAGTTGTCAAATACTCCTTGATTTTCTCTAGTCTTGCAAATTTTGGGGTTTAAATTGCATAAAAAGAAGAAACTGAGTGACAAAAAAAGGCCACCAACTTGACGACTAAAAGTAATAACCTAATAGTAGCCCATTAAAAGCCCAATTACCTGATCAACAGTTGTAATTCATACTAACGATGACGTTTATAACTACTTAACTAGGGTTCCTAAGGACGGATATCCGAATCGGTTAAACCGAATTGGATACAAACCGGGTTCACACAAGTGTATCTCTTTCTCTCTATCGCCATTCCCATTTTTTGATAAGCCCTCATTTTGAATTTTGGTTCCATTTTGACCTATTCTTTCGTGATAGTTCGCGATAATGTCGGTATCTTTGGATTCCTTGATTTTCTACAATAATCTTATTTAACGTTGGAGGGAAGATTTGAATCGATTCTCTCTATTCGAGGTTTTTCGATTCGGTAATTGCGTCGCACATTCACATGGGTGAAGCTGGAAGGAAACGTGGTCGTGCCAAAGGATCGAGGAAAAGAAAGATAGAGGGTGATTGGATAAGCGATTTGCCAGAATCATTGCTATGTAAGGTACTTTTGAATCTTTCCACTAAGGATGTGGTTAGGACTAGTGTTTTATCTAAGAGATGGAAAAATATCTGGAAATGTGTACCTG